TACAGGGTGCGTCGCCAATTCAAATAAACTGAAAAATGGGTCCCCCAATTATTTAAAATTGGTTATAACTGAAAGACTATGATTCAGATCTCAGTGTCTTGTATATTGCTGTATAGCCCGCATAGATAGCAAAAACTTTTGTATTTAAGGTTTTCACCTATTGTACAGCGTGTTCCCGATATTCCGTGCTAAATGAGAAATGTGTTAAGTGTCCTAAATTTGCAGATTTCAACTTCAAATTTAGAAGATAAGCAAATGTCCGTGTCCACATTTAAACTGTCGAAATTGGGGGCAATCAAATATTACCAAGCATTTTTGAAATTTATTTGATTTTTTTTTGGTTAGTTTTTTTAGCTTCCAGAAAAATATGTGTTCCTCCATCATCGTTCATCCGATTGGCAAATTTCCTTAACCGTCAGACGCAGAAGATCCAGTGCAATAACATTTATAACAGGCATTTTTTCGATTATATACAGGGTTTTCAAATTATAATCAAAAATTTAAAAGACCTAGAAAATTGTTTTTTACAGCCACAAATCAAAAATCATAAAAAATATCGCTAATTGGTTCAAGGGCTACAATTTTTGTATTTGAAAAAATCCATATTGAAATCGCCATTTCGGGGGCTGTCAAGACGCCATGATGTCATTGATTATTACGGAGCACTGCACGGTTCCAGAAAAAACTTATTTTCTCGAAAACGATTTACTATTTTCAAAAAATTCTTGGACTAGGACGCGTGTAAAATCCAGGGCTATAACCTGTACCTCGAACAATGATTGTATCATATACAGGGCGTGGCGTTTATGGGCAAAAAAACTAAAAATTTCCGTTTTTCCGCTATTATTTGTGCAAATTTTGATATTTTGACATTTTACACAGGGTGCATGCACAATTAAATTACATCGATTTTGTGAAAGTTGCATAGCGGTCCGCAGGAAAATAATAAAATTATAAAAAAATATATAATAAAAAGCTCTTTCGCGATAGACGTGACCCCAGTGACGATTTTTCGAAAGCAATCTTGTTATACTCGGCAACTCATATTTTGCCTGTAAACGGAATTATCCGGTGCGTTTGGGTTCCAGGCACGTGTCTCTCCAAACCGCACCAGCGATCCGTTCCGTTCCGTTGCGGCATCTAGTAAAGGACAACAGCGTAGCGAAAAACGGGAAACTTAAATTGAAATCGCTTTTCTCCCGTCGGCGAAATCGCAGCGCCGACAAACTTAAGAGTAATTACGCATTCGACACAACAATCTAACTTTACTTGCTGGCCCAATTGCCACGGGACCGCAAGCTCTAATTGTTATAACCCATTTTCGACCCACTGAACGCGCGTGCCAGATTTTTCGAGACGCACACTAGACCAGATATAACGTTCTCAGACAACCAGATACGTCACCACGCGTATTTCTGACGTCTGACGAGGTAGAGACCTGAGTCGCGGTTAAGATTGCTAAGTTGTTCCAAAAAAAACTTATATAAAAATCCGCTATCAGGTCTTCAAAAAAAAATTTCTACCCATACATTAAGTCTAAAAATTTTGATACACTACACACTACAGCATAAGTTTTTTCTGTGCTCCAGAGAGTGCTTCGTCACTCCAAATAATAGACAATGGAAAATTAATGTTCTCATTGCATTTTCCGAAATTTCGATTTCCAAAATTGTATTCTTCCAAAGGCATCGCCTTCATACGCCTGGATTTTCCTATACTTCTCCAAGTATATTGAATTCCGGGATTTCCTGTTCGTCATTTAAGTGGTGTTGATTTTCCCGTGCCTTATTGAAAACTAAAATTATGTGTGACAGAATACAAAATTCACTAAAAAGTAACAGTTTTTTTTGTCAACACTCTACTTTAATATCTTTTACAGAACTCCTGGATTCCTCCTGGGTCGGTTTTTGCTGAGTCGAACTTGCTGACGTTTCGCCAATCATGCTGGTTTCTTCTTCAGAGCTTGACTGAATTTGGTTTTGACGTTATAATTTCTTAGAAGTTTTGATATGTGGTCAGCGATGTTTTGAATGTAAGGAAGAACCACAGTGGCAAGTGCTTTCGGCCTCATTGCTATTCGATCTGTGATGGGGAAATTATTAAAGAGAAGAGCAGAGGTAAGGCGTTTCAATTCTGGATTCAGTGACTCGGGCTGAGATTAAATGTCTAAGAAAATCTACTAGAGATTCTTGACCATGAAGCCAAATAACACAAGTATCATCGACGACGACATAATTTTTGTTTTAGATGAAAGATGTCTAGCGCTTTCTTCTCAAAGACTTTCATAAATATATTCGCGATGATTGTTCAAATATTTGTCCGTTATATGTTCCAGACATTTTTCAATTAAGGTGAGAAGATTTGGTTTCAGATTCTCGAATGATATTGAGAGTTTCAGGAATAGCAACTTTGGTAAATAGAGATTCTACGTCAAAACTATCTTGTGTATCTAACGTAAGGTTTTTTTAATTGTTCAATGAAGTGAAAGGAATTAAGTACGCAACTATCAGTTTTCCCTGTAAAGAATTTTAATAAAGAAGATTTTTTCACCGCATCTGATAGAGAAGAACCCTTAATAACAGATTTTAAGCTTTGCAATATTAGATTTAGGAGGTTTTCATTTTTTAAAGATTTTTGAGGTTTCAAATCGAATTTCCTCTTTTGGGATAATACGTAGGGCAAGGAACCTTTTGAAACAACTGATTTTTCTGTTTGCGAAAGTTAGTGCGATGATACATTTATTACAGCGTTTGGTAGTTGAGAAAAATATCAAATCACGAAATCTTTGTTGATCTGTGTAATACAAGTCAGTTTTGCTTTCTATAGTTGTCATATTCCTTGGTTTCACCCAGGACATGTTTTTCATTATGACTTCGAAGAGAGATGTACAACATAAATAATGTAATGGAAGCTATTTTCGACCAGTGTAAAGAAATGACTTTTGCTTTGCATTGCTGCCACATCTTTTTTCGAATTATGCCAATATGGCTTGTTATTTGCCTAACAAGAGCAAAAGATAATACCTTCGCACGTAAGTGTTTGTAGAAATTGGATGCTTGAAGGGGAAGTTAATCTCTCGTGCCAAAGTCCGAAACGCCAGTAGGTTGGGGTCCAAAACCGACTTATCGACTGCTTTGTTATTACAGGACTCAAATCTCAATTATAAAAGATTGAACAAAGAAGAGAAGACAGAACAGAGCACTGCCCCGGTGGAAATTGGCGAATGCGTCGGGAAATTTAAAGTCATAGGGCATATGCCAACACATTATTTCTGCTTGACATATAAAACAAGCCTGCTACAACACCACGCTTATAAAATTTATATTTTTGGCCTGCTTCCAAAACTTTACTAAAGTCGTATCCCCTAATTAGATGCTTGCAGGGAAGGTTATTCTCACTTGCAAGAGGTATTATACTGAAATGACTCGAATCTCAGCAATAAAGACTGAAAAAATCATGCACCAACTAGGGGACCAGACTATTCTGATACGTAGGCGGCTCAACTACAGGTCGATAATAAAATAATCCATTCCAATGAGTGAGCCAGCAACGGTGTTCCATGCAGACACCACACGGCACCGATCAAGAGAAAATTTGCGGATGCGCCAGGAAAATATTAGATGTTGAATGAAGCGTGGACAGATAGGTCCACTTTCTATGAACTGCTTTGTAATTGCAGGACACAAATACGAACCAAAAAAGAAAAGAAAAATGATCCACCAATAAGCACAAACCTACTCTGATAAGCTAACAGCTCAATAACTCAGAAGCTGAATTATATGAATCCCGGGCTAAAATAAAAACTTCCATTCCAATAGCACAGCTAGCAAATAGTATTCCAAGGACTGGAACACAAGTGAAAATTGGCGGATGCGCCGGAAAATTGCAGTACCTGCATTATTGGGTCTCATATAAGTTATAGGATATGTGTCAATACATTATATTTGCTTCATATGTAAAACAACCCTACTACACCTCTATGTGAGATATTTTAGGATACTGAAGTCGTATCCAGGTAACGGAACGTTAGTCTCGTTTGCAAGGTCAAGAATCTAATTACGGCATACGACTTTAGTAACCTAAAATATTGCACCAGGCGTTGGGAGAAGGTTAAGAGGGGTACTTCGGTGGGGTGTTGTGGTAGCTTGTTTTTCATATCAACTAATCAAAACTTTTAACTTGTACAAGAGACAATAAAACAGGTAATTAAATTTTTTCGGCGCATTCGCCAATTACCCACAGGCAAAAAGTAATTTTTCTACTACAGTCTGTAAAATATCTAATTACACAACGATCTAGCGTGCGGGAAGCGTCAGTTTAGTTTCATATATTTTAGTTTCTACGCCTTTTTGAGTTGTTGAGCATTCTGCCTCTTAGAATAGTTCTGCCCGTATTGATGGATCAGCCTGTTATGGGAGAGGTATTCTATAAAATGCCAGTAGATTGGCCCCAACCGACTTTCTATGGACTGCCCTGTTATTATACAGGACTAAAATCTCAACCATAAAACTATTCTGAAACACAAACTGCTGAACAGCTCAAAAAGTAGAGATCATCGCACTAGAAGAGTATCCAAGAGAAATAAAGACGATTGCGGTTGCGATCTACATCGACAATTAACCAGCCACAAACCAGTGTGCACTCCAGTCGAATAACCTGCAAGTGCAGGTTATGCCATGAACAACATGCCAAGAAATACTTAAGAATAAAGCTACTAGACCACTGCCGGTTCACATCTCAGCTTAATGGAAGAAGGAACCAGTCACAGAAGTACTGTGGCAATGTGAAGGCCTAGCGAGAGTGCTGAGCATAACCAAACTACACTACACTGCAACCTATGGAGTCTAATCAGAGAGACAAACTAAGATGCGGCTCAATATCTATGGAAAGTCCCGATTATTCATTTAGCTCACAGGGATGGGCTCTTTGATTCTTGAATCTTACAGTAAACAATACTTATTAGTATATATTAAAATTTATTTATTATATGTACAGTAAATATCAGAATTTGATCCATTACAATTTTTGACGTCGCAACATAGATGATGTAAGTGCATGTATTACTAAATACACTAAATACTCATAAAACAATAGGGATACAACTAACAGCATTGAATTAAGACATTTTTATTTACTATATTAACAATATATAAAATATATGTCATTTACTAAATTTCTAAGTAATCTTATAAAATTCTTTTTCTTTTCTCATAGGAACACATGCACTTTTTGATAATGTTGAATGGTCCTCTTGAAAAAATGGCGATTTATGACGATGGCGTTGTTTAAAAGTCCAAAAGGATTTCAATTCATTTTCGTAAATCTTAATACTCTTTTCTTTTTCCGTATTTGGTTTTTTGTTTGGCCCAAAACGCCCACTACGTGCAGTAAAATGAAGGTAAAAAGTCGAATTTTGAGAAAAATTAAAAATCTAATAAATAAAGATAACAACAACGACAAAATAGCTCGAAAAACACTACAAAAAGAAGCCAAAAAAGCACTAAACTGTCTACATCGTCTCATTGTGTCACTACCCATCATACCGAAATTCTTATCGTTTAAAATAACTGAAAGTACGTTACAAATACTCGGTTTACTGTAAAAGTTATTAAATAAATTCCAAAATAAATACAAACCACCCACATCAACAAAAGACACGTGAAAAGTATATTATGGTAGCACCTAATCGCTATTGACACCTAAACATATTTTATGAACATCACAGAATTAAACTAACGCTGCAATTAAATTGTTAAGAGAGAGAAAAACGGAACTCACACCTCCTCAACATCGGAGATTATGTCCAAAAAATATTTTTCAATCGATTTGTGTTATATAATTACTCTGTAGATATTTACAAAAAAAATGTCTTTGGTTGAGACTAACAATTACCGATGCGTAAATACTAAACGATTTGAAAAACATGTAAAACTAAAAACTATGGCCGTTATTCGAATTGATGATGAAGACGTGGTTTTTTTTTTATAGTGGACTACATCACGTGAAAGTCACCGGATATGTTCCTAAATTTCTCTGCAAACAAAAACACATTTCATTTATAATCAATTAATAATCAATATTTGTGGTACGTAAAAGACATTCACGACGACATAAGCTTTTATTTACATTTTTTAAATTAGGAGAATATTTATTGTTAATCGCGAAAAAATGTTACCACTCGGTGCTCCGAATTTTGTGTTTGTGCTGCCATCTCTCAATGAGTGGCTTACGTGTTTGGTTAGTAACGAATCTCTAATTTTAATATCTCAAAAATTCTCGTGGAGGGACGGGGGATGCAGAAGTTACGCTTTCTTTCTACTGAAGAAGAAGAAGAAATTTAATTACCGACCCATCTCTCTTACATCGGAGATTTATTCTGTCGTGATGTAAGTCAACGAATACAAAAGAAAGTGTGTCGTAAAACACAACCTGTCCTAACTTAAAAGTACATTTTGACATCAGTGACGTGCCCAGCGACGGCGAAATACAAAAAACTTCGGCCTGAATGTGGGTTTAGATGACACATTATTGAAAAAAGTGTCTAACCAAAACAGAAAACAGCGACCACACATCCACTCATTGAAATATGTGGGAAATAAGAGTTGGAAATATTGCCAATTTTTGAATTAGTTGAAGCTTATTTGTGTTTTATTTGTCCATGTTTATGACATAATCTGACCTTGATATTTTAAATTTATAGCAAAAAGACAGTTAAAAAATTTTTTTTTGAAAAGCCGTAATTTCTTAATAGCTTGGTCTCGTTAAGTAAATCATCATTCTTATTAGTAAAATTATTATTATTATATTTTTAACGAAACACAAGATAGAAACATCGTGGTACGTCATTTGCTCGCTGTCACAGTTACTATTAATCCTTGGTTAATTGGGGAGGTATATTTTAACTTAATTAAACAAAAACTGAGTTGATAGCGAGCAAAAACTTCTATACGACCGAAAGAAATGGACGCACAGTACATACGAGTAGTCCACGAAAAGGGCGGAGAGCCAAATGTCACTTGGCCACTGATATTCTAGTTCAATCATAGCTGGGGGGGTGAGCGTAACGGGAGTATTTCTTACATTCTTGGGCAAGAATTTTGAGAAATATTTAATTTTATATGCGAAAATCTACGGGGCTTAAACAACAAAATATTTTTGTATTGCCACGTATTTGCGGAACACTGTGTATAATTGAAGACGTTTTTAAAACACGTGTCTTGCTGCCCTTCTTAAAACAATTTTCTGAAATTGAGGCATTAAGCTGTAAGAAATTAATTGGAAACTAGAAAGGTTTTTTTTATGTGAACTAGGAGAAAGAACTCTTTGATTGTAAGTCACAAGTGGCGGATACTTGTTGTCCTCCTCGTATGTTATGATCACCAAAGTGTTCGCCTAAGGCTTATAATATAACTGATTAAAACTGGAATACATAGTGCGCAATGAACCTTGATAAAGCCTGCTGCAGCTCACCTTGCAAGGTAATCTGGGGTAACAATCTAAAAAAAATCGTTCTGACGCACTACTACCAGAGTTTTCCGGGCAGCCTTCAAAAAGGCCAGAATGGCCATTCTAGTAGCCAACATTCGAAACGAATAGAAGCGCGTTTTTACTTCCCTCGTGTTAGCTTATTATGGTTTCGGCTCAGGGTGGAATGCTGTTGTACTTGAGTGCTCGAAACGACGACTGTTTATAGAAAAAAAGGTTGTTTCTTTTCTCTTGAACAGAAATAACCTTTTCCAAAACGAAATACTCCCTATAAACAACGCCAACATTAGGCAAAGGATTTCGTTATAAACAAATCCCTTTCTTTGCGTATTTTCTCCATCCGCCTTTTTGGTAGCAGTCGTTTTCCGAGAACCAAAACCAAGAGACCTTTGCAACTAAAAACCTTAAAGGTTGATTCATTTTATAAGAAACGAAACGGGAAAGAGCAAATAGCAAAAAGAAAAACGCTGCATTTAGAGATGCCATTGGTTCAGAAGAAAATCTCATTGTTTGCGTAAGGCAAGTATTTTTTAATATACCTAAATATATATTTTCTTCGTCGTTTTCCTGCAAAACACCTTGCGAAAAGACAAATCAACTTCCATCTTGTTTGCAGAACGGTAAAACTATCTTGGCCCGAGTCATTGAACACGGAATTAAAACACCTTATATCTGCTCTTATCTCTAATAATGGCCACTGCTGTCCAAAAATCTCTCAACATCTTCGATCTGTCGAAGACAAAATTCCGTTTGAGATACCAGGAGTTTACAGCATTCCACGCAAACGTAGCAAAGAATATATTGGAGAGACTGGACGGAAAATATCAATAGGCTCAAAGAACATGAAAGAAATCAACTCATCAGCAGTTGCGTGCTGCAGGTAATCAAAATTCTTCTACCAATGAAAAATTCGAGAACCTACAGAAATCTATAAGCTAAACACTCTTAATCGCGACCCAGGTCTTTACTTGTCACCAGTATGGGAATCAGTCATCCGTTTATGCCCCTCAAGTCGCATAAATGATGTAAAGTATTTTGGAATATTCCTAGATAAGAACTTATTGCTCTTCTTTGGTATCAACAACTATTTATTACATAACCTGAAGGATAATGACAGAATCGCAAAATATTAAGTGTTTATTACGCTCATGTTGAGAGGAGAATTAGCTAAGGTATAATTTTGTGGGGACGGTCCACCGATTCGACTAACGTGTAATGGTTCAGAAAAGGGCCACCAGATGCATGGCCAGTATTTCCAAATTTATAGCCATGTAAAACCTAAAGACGACCTTAGAGTTCCTTATGCAAAACATAATAGAGGAAAGGCACCAAAATATGAGTTTAGCACCTATTTATGGGACCACATATTTTCTCGCCATCTAGCGACAGCGCCCTAAATTAATTCACCGGAAGGTGAATTTTTTAAAAAAAAAAAACAGCCAGGAAAAACAACATTTGCTCACTTTTTGGAAAAACTTTCTGGAAGAAGAGCAAAATCGGCAGTTACAAGAACAACTAATAATAAAAATGGGGGGATTCGGTTGTGGATCTTTCTAAGTCTAAGAAACCTGTGGCAATTCCATCAACCAAGATCAAGCCTGATAATTAAAAAAGTCCAAAATATGTTTGCCCAACGCCATCAACCTCTTCAACTTATGGTGCAAATTCTAATAAAAAGAAAGGTAAACTAAGTTCAATAACATTTACTCCATACAAAAAGCACTTGAAAGAATCCCTCACAAAGAAGCTAAAAAAAAGGAACAACCAAAACCAAAGTGTTCAGGAACAAACGATAAACAATTCTACGCTAAAAGTACCAAAACGGCAGCTCACGATGATGCAGTGTGTTGTTTTCGAAGTCGCTGGAATGTGGCGTCTCGATTAATGAATGAATCTGTCTAGGTCTCTTAATATGAGACAGTATTTTACTGGAAGCCCAAACTATCGCATGCCAGGAGCCCAATTTTGTTTTTATTACTTTACAAAGATAATAAGGATTTCGAGGAAATTAAATTTAAACATTAAATTGTTGTTAAAATGTGTCGCAGATTAGGTGCCTCTCCCTCCAGTTCTTACAGAATCCCAAGTGTACGTGGTGTACGATTTTTTAACTTTTTACCGAAAAAAAAAAAATGCTTGATAATTTATGCGCATTCAAAAAAAAATGAAGGAATATCGCGCCTGTACTTTAGTTAAAGTGTCTCTTTCCTTCCTTGTTCGTAGTCTTGGATTATTTTTTTTGACAATTTGTCGACTTGGATAATAAAGATTATTATTATTATATTATTGACGTTGCAAATAATCTGTGAATCGACCTTAACGCGCCATTTCGCTACTTACAAGGGAAATTTACGAGATATCCGGAATTGCACCGTTTCAAAGCCAAGACGGTCTCGTCATCGAATCGTACGGCTGCCTCATGCTGAGCGCAGGATGATACCCGGGAGGATATGGTCCGGGTGGGCCGAGCAGACTCTGGTTGAGCACGCCGGCTTGCAAATAATGCTGGTAGAGTTGCGAGCTCGTATCCATGAGCTGCGCCTGCGCCGCGGGCGGGATGAAAGCCCCGCCCAGCGGATACGCGGACGTCCGCGATTGGTGCGCGGCGTTCAAAAAGGCGGGGTAACTTTGCGTCACCGTGGGCTGATTGCTTTTCCCGGCGTTGCCGGCGGGGTCCGTCGGGGGGCGGTGGTGCGCTGCGGCGGCCGCCGCCATGTAGTAGTTCGGAGCGGTTCGAAAGTCTTCCAAGAAATTCGAGTAAGCGTCCTTGTCGCCGTAAAGACCCGAACCGAGCCCGAGCGCACCCGACGCAGTCGGACCGAAATTGAAAGCACTGCCCGGCACCACACTGGACGTTTTTAACGATATTGCACTGGGCTCGAGCGGCGAAGCCGACGAATTGGGCGCCACCTTGAGGCCGGTGTAGCTTTGGAATCCTTGGGACATCGAGGGGGGCGTGGCGCCCGGCACGGCTTCGTTCGGCGGACATATCGCGGCCGCTGAAATGAAACGGAATGTTTCGGTCGGGATTTTTCCGGATTTATACGAATCAAGCGGGCCCAGTAATAGGTAGCGCGAGCAGATATTTTTTTAAAGGAATCGACACAGGCTGAGAAAAATGTAGTGCATTTATTGCCTAGACAATAAAATTTTATTGGATAAAATGGAGAGATATGGGATTCTTGGTAAAGCACTCAATTGGATACAATCATACCTTTCAAATAAAAAACAGCACGTCATCGTGTAAAGTAAAAACAATATAACACAATCTGAAATCTTACAAAATAATTAACATTTTGTAACCTTTTTTATTTTTTTTTTATTCATTTGCATTCGGAATTAAAAAGTACACCAAGAACTCTCAGTTCCGTTTTTCGTTCTGTTATAATTTCTCTCATTTTATATTGATATATGATAGGATTTGCTTTTCTGCTGAATGTTAAGATTTAACACTTATGATATTGAAATTTAGTTTATTTCTCATAATCGCTAGTCTACTGTACCTTTAAACAATGCGGAGGAGTGGGGAACCTGTTTCAAGTACCCACAGACTGGCTCCTCTTGGGAGACCAATACTGAATTAATAGTTCACATGAACCTAACAAACGGTTTTTCAAAGATGCAATTCTAAAAGTGACACCACGCCCACCATTGCCACACCACTCTTACTTTACCTGCTTTATTCTTCTTCTTTTTGGGTTTCTTATCCTGACTTGGCACTTGGGGGTTGTTTTTAAGGTCGCACTGCGCTTGTAATTCATTTATATGCCTATTGTATAACGAAGGCGCGCCCTGCATCGTTTGGTTGAAATTATTTATCCCCTCCATGTTGGTCTGACTAAACATCTGAGATCCGTTTGCCATCGACTTATTGAAGATGTGAGCTGCCCCAAGTCCTTCGAAAAACCACTCGTTAGCCCGCGAAAAACAAGCATTCCAAGGCAGAGCTACCGACCTTTGTCAGAATAATACGAGGTCGCTGTTGGCTGCAATCCCGCCATCATCCTGTCCTCGCTGTTATATCGATCGACGATGTGAGACAAATTTACATCTACCGACGTACTGTTATAAGTACCCCTTGTCGATAAATCGGATTTATACCTACAAGTTCCGCATTTCTCGTTAACATTGTTGTTAAATTATCTGGTTTGAAGAAATTAAAAAGAAAACTTCATATGAACACATGTCCTACAGGGTCGTAAGGTTTCCAAAAATAAAATCTATTTTTTTAATATCTGTACTCCCACTTACCATATGAATTGATAAAATTTAAAAAAATCAACACAAATGATTAGAGATTTAAAAAAAATGAGGTACACTAAATAATGCCTCTTCACGGTATGGCGGAATTACATACATTAAAAATATATATAAATATAATTTTAAAAAATAAGCATATATAAAACATCCTGTATATTTTTTCATATTTCAATTCTAGCTAAAAAAAAATTGTATAACATATTATATAGCTATACTATATGCAATATATAAATTCCAATTTGAAAAATGTTTGCTTTTTGATGAGGAATTATGATTTTGCTTGAGTTAATAAAGTTAGTCAGTGTTATGCAGAATGTATCAAATAAAAAAAAAATCCAAATACCATTAGCTTATTTAATGGAATATTCTGTCTGAAAATTTCCTCATAATAAAGACACTCGGTATAGCGCTAGCTAACGGTATTGACTTAAACACTAAAATCGTAGCTTCAGCGATATTTCAGTCAAACATCATCTTTATCAAAAAACAAAAAGCACATATTTTCCAAAAGTCCCTGCCATTCAGACATATTTTCAAAATGGCAAAAATGAATTGACTCTAAAATATAAATATATAAAAATAATTTAATATTCTTTTATTGCCTACGGTTTCCAAGATATGCGCTGGCTTATCGGAACACTATCGAGACACCCTGTATATTAATTTTACATTCAACTTACGTTCCGGACATTTCCTGTTGCACCTGAGCTGCCAATCTTTCGGCCACACTCTCAACTGATCTATTAGAACTGTAATTGTTTCTAACTTGCTGCGTGCTGTTAAGTTGTTTCACAAATCCTGACATAGAAACTGATTGCTAAAATTAAACCAACAATTAGAAGCTCCTACGGTAATAGACTACAATAAAAAAAAATAGTTGCAAATGAGTGTCCTATATACAGGCTGTCGTAGCAAAAGAAATTTTCACTATTTTACTTCTTATGACTAGATTTCAACATATTTTCTTAACGACGCAGATAAACAAATCAAAAATATATAAAATGTGATAAATAATTTTGACGTGTTACAACACACAAAGCAAAGTTTAAATTTCTAAGCAATCACTAACAAACAAAATCAGAAATTTGTTAATAATATTTATTAAATATATAATTCTTCAATTATGTATTTAAATCAAAATTAAAATTACAAAAATTTAATGTTTGTTCAAAGGATTAAAATATTTCTGTAACCAATAGCAACAATAAAAACTGTAATTAATAATTAGTTATAATTAAATACCTGATTTCATAATAAAATTTGAAAAACTTAGTATTTTTGTATGTGACATTTTTTTTAATCGTTCGATCAATCTGCCTGGAATTGGTTTCATTTAATTCCGCGTGAATAATAAAATCTATTTTATACATTTTCGATACCCACAACTCCGCAACTCTTATAAATATGCGTATTAATTTTTATTATTATGTTTAATTTTGGACATTCTGTATAAGTGTAGACAACAACAATACCAAAAAAAACGGAAGTTAAGCCTATTTTCTAAAAAATTTTGCCAAATATGGCGATCAAATTTTTGAAAAATACAAAAACATATTAAAAATATTAATTTTATATATACAATAGGGAAAAATTTGTCAATTAACACCAAAATCTTATTGTACAACAGCCTAGCTGCTCCCCACTTGGAATTTTGCTCCACACTTGTGTTCAATTACCAATTTATAAATTAGAGCAGTTGCAGATTGTTCAAAATAGCGTCATGAGAAATATACTACAATGTAACAGATATCCGTCAATTCAAAGCATGTTGAGTGTATCAATTTCTTGTCTGTAAAACAAAGAGTAATGTTTATGTATTTATTTTTAAAATTAAACAGTAGTGTGTGTGTTGTCTTTCGGTTCCAGTGAAACAGGCAAAAACATAATGTACGTATCTATACTCCCAGAAAAAATTTCTGCAAGTAGTGGACTAAAAAAAACAATAAAATACATAGAAGAACCTAGCAAGAAAATTTCGAAACATCTATCTAAATTTGGTATTAATATTGTTTTAAGACTGAAAACACCATAGGCCATTTTCAAAAAAACAATAGAACTAAATTACGAAAAACTCAAAAATCCGTAGTCTACAAGTTGAAATGTGGATCTTGTCTCAAAATTTATATCCGACACACAGGTAGAATATTTAAAAAACCCATAAACGAACATAAAAGGGCGGAAAAAAATAAAAATTCGGATTCTAACTGTGTCATTCACTTAAATTCAGAAATGCACAACTTTATAACCTTATACCTGTAATTAAAAATCTATTACCACCTGTTTTTATATATAAGTGTCGGAAAATAGTAATGTTTCCTATTTGATAAAGGCACGGTGTTGCCGAAACAGCTGTCATAAAGTATTAAAAATTCCGAAAGTCTAATAATTTGTGTTAAATGGATTTTCATCAAGTAAAAGCCACCCCAGTCCGATTTTTCCAGAATTTCGTTTAGACATTAACTCTCCCTATAGTTTTTACAGCTTACCTGAGTGTTGGGAAGACTTTGAACTTGCGGCGTAGTGGACTGAATAGTCGTTCTGATATAGTTCAATTCCGACCGTGTATACTGTTGCTGTAGGGCTTTCGAATAGTTCACTTCGGGTCCCGAGTAACCCATGTTCGTATACTTGGTCATGTCCAATTTGGTCTGATGCTGTGGCAACGCCCTCGTCGATGCTACACTCACGGGATAGTTTGGCTCAGAATTGAAATTGGTAGGGTAAACGTTCGACTGATTCGGTGCGGCGTTAAAATCCAAGCCGGGCGAGGAAATCTGGCCGCTATTTATTTGCTGTTGGTGCTGGTGCTGGTGCAAAGACGACATCTGTTCCACAGCAGCCGATGTGGAAATGTCGCAGCTCTTGTTAAACGAATCCGACACCAAAGACTGTTTCACTCCGTCGTCTAGTTTTTTAGGAACTAAAGATACCTAGAAAGATATGTAACGGCCTTGGCGAAACGGTTCCGGTCAGTTTGGAGAATTTTCTAGGGACTTTAAAATTTTAAATTTCAATTTTTAATAATATTTTTGGTAACTTACTCAACGCACATTTTTCTATAAAACAAATTTTGCCTATTTAGACTATGGAAACAAGTTGATGAATCCAGAATTTGTTATCGTTGCATACACATTGTCTGTCAATTAATAGAGTATAATAAATATTTCAGCAGCAATTATCTTATAAACAAAGAACACAACATGATAATGTGCTGAAAGCGTGCTTTATAGTTGGTTCAAAATAGGCAACGTCATTAAAACTGTCGGAAGAGAATTAGTGAAGGAGTGTATGTTAGAAGTTTGCAGTGTTTTATGAAAAAAAAAAAAAAGATTTTGGAAAAATTATTTTCCCAATACGAACTGAACTGTCGACTGATGGTTTAAAGCAACATTGGACCATTTTCCATAGCATTGGACAAGAGCAGGAACCACTGATAAAAATTTGCCAACGCATAGGTTTCATAGGAAATTTGAAAGAAAAATCAACTGAATTAAATGTACAAAAAGATGATTTAATTGAATTGAATTTGGATGAACGAATCAGCCAAATATGACGATGTGGCATATTATTGTGAAATCATAAAGCTAAGCAAAAAGAAATGGCACATCGGATTTTATGCAAATAAAAAATAAACCGCTATCCGAATTGAGTGACCTAAAATAAATATATGGCTCAGCATTTCTGGCCGACCTTATAAAATAATATATAATTACGTCGATCAACAGGCCTGAACTAACTTGATATGGTGAAACATGGGTTCTGTGTCCAATTCCATATAACATCAGTTTTGAACATTTTGAATGTGAATTTTGAAGATATACATACGCCGTCACAATGAAACTGTGACAGTACTAAAGCCTTTTAATATGTATGAGAGACATTGACGGCTTTCATAAATTAATTTTAGATTACTATATGGCATCTTTCATTTTCTCGTGTTGTGATCTCTAGCCTACAGTTACAGCCTACTTTTACGACTTTTACAAAAAGGCAAAACAGAGTTCTATATGGAGAATTTTATGTGACTTTTATAACTATCAATTTTATTTATTTTTGTTTATTAGGATTAAGTACCAGCATACGTTGAGTGACAGAATCGTAAAAGCTGTTCAGAATTAATATGTTACTTGCTTCGTCGAGGCATGTCTCAGAAAAAGAAAAGTACAGTTGCCTAAGATCGGCATAAAGACGATAACACACAACTCTTGTCTCTAAATTTTTTTTTTATTTTTACGGGTTTCGATATAAGATGTCACCCCTTAGTAGACCCTTACCCTTACTTACCTGGTGTCCCAAGTGAATATTCCTATTGACAAATTCGTTTGAAGTGTCCTCGAGCTGACCGAGGTCTGCGTCGCTATATACCCTCTTCTTAACGGGAAACACGGGGCTGCTGCTTTTCTCTCCGTTTCCGCCGAAAACATCTTCCGCGCCGTGAAAAGTTTCCACGCCCGGGGAATGTTGAGGATGCGGCGAGTGCTGGGAATGCATGTTGGGCGAATGTAAACTAGGGGAGTGTTGCGACTGCATACTGGGAGAATGCTGCGAGTGGACGCTGGGAGAATGTTGCGAGTGGACGCTGGGAGAATGTTGCGAGTGGACGCTGGGAGAATGTTGCGAGTGGACGCTGGGAGAATGTTGCGAGTGCATGCTGGAGGAATTTTGCGAGTGAAGGCTGGGCGACAATTGAGGGTGAGGAATCGGCGAGTGCGGAGAGTTTTGATTAACAGGTGAAGCTTGATTACTGGCCGGAGAGTTTGCCGGATGGTTCTGGCAAATTTTATTCTGATATTGATCGGTTAACGATTTACTGGTGTCGTAATAGGCGGGACTGGACGTATTGGTATTGTACGGCGGCGTCGGATTGGTACTGGAGTAGTTGGGAGTGTGGGTATAGAAAGGCGAGTTGGCGTAAGAGTACAGGGAACTGTGGGTGGTATTGGGCGCGTACACGTGTTCGTTTGACGGAAACTGCGAGTAGGGGCTCTGCGGATTATCGCGGGGACTACTGGCTTTGTCCGGGCTACTTTTGTTTGACACCGTGTCCTGGTAAAAGCCCACTCGAATCTGGCCATTGAAAGAAGGATACGCTGCCGATCTAGGAGATATATCCGGGCGAGGTGACGCCATGATAGGCGATGCACCTGAAGGCGACCTATAAAGCGAGAAATATGCGACGCTTCAGCCCTTGAACCTTGAAATGGAGTGGTTTTAGCATACAAATTTTTCAATCTTACAATCTGTACTGATTCAGCAATGGTACCTAATGGTGACAGTTATTGAAGTTCTGTTCATTTATGTTCTTAACAATTTGTCTACATTGGTTACAGTGGGACAAATTTTAAGGTGTTCTGCAATTCTTGAAAAAAAACATACCTTAACCAAAAACGGAGAATTATCAATTTCCTCATTTATTTGTTCTTGACAAACTTCAAGCATGCAGATCATTATGTTTCTGTATATTTACCCAATAAGCAGAATGTAACTATGCCCTAATATTAATAATACAAATGCCGTATAATAATGAATGTGAACCCTATTTCCGTCCAAGCTTTATCGCCAGCAAAAAGTAAGCAGGGAAAACACGTAATTCGATATCATTGTAGCATTAGGTGGCAACATTTTGTTTTTATATTCACATCATTATCTTACAAAAAGTTTGAGGACATTTTCTTAAGCTCATGTACGGTCATGTAAATACAAAAGTTTGAAGATTTTTGATCTGTTATCTTATGCAAATGTCAGAAAAAAAAAACTACCAGCGCAATCTGTCAGAATAACAGCAACATCATTATTTTTAAATGTAACTTTTTTTTCCTGATTTCATTTATTTATTGATATTTCATTTTTAAGATATTTAAGTTTAAAAATAATTATCGGTCGACTTTTGGACAACGGCCATATTGCCTTGATAGCAACCATATTATCTATATTCGCAATTGTTTTAACAATGTACTACTTTTGACAACCAATCAAAACTAAAAAAAAAATCCGCAGTGTAAGCTAAATAACTTAAACATTTCAAAGTAGAACTTAAGTTATGATGTCAAGTGTCGTAATAGTACAATAATTTACCTTGGAATTAAAGTAATATATTGAGGTCTTCATCAAAATATTTTTCTATTGTCCTGGTCTTCCGTGTGACGCTATTTCGTTCCTCAAAATTGTTTAATTACATTTTTAATTGAATTTATTGAAAGAACTCTTCTACCGATATTCTTTTTTGACCATATTATGACCGTTTGAATAATATAAGTTTATTATTTGGCGTTCGTCGTCCTCAGTATAACCCATTTCAATATATACATGAATCAGACTCGGACGAAGATGATAACTAGTTGTTCTTCCCCTTCTTTGCTCTTTGTATTATGGGTTTTTGTTGTTTTCACAACACTGGCAGTTTTTCGAAAATAAACCTATCTAATTGATATTTGTTAAATAAATACGCCACCGCACCAAATTGAAAAAAATCTCATTCATAACGGAATAATAATATGCACCTAAGTACTTGGCATTTTTTACGAATGAGTTTTTAAGACCGAGTGTCTAGTAGGCTCTACCATTTGTATAGTTAACGTTCACGTTGCAAAAACCCTTACAAAATAGAATTTTAATTTAGTTTTTAAGGTTGCATATCATTTGCATTGCATTTGCATTTTGATTACGTCACTATACGTGACCTAATTTCACAATTGCAATTTCACAGGACGCAACTGAAGGGCAAGCCACATAAACCTTGGTCACCATTGAATAGAATATGAACCCAGAGCATGGCAGATGTGCCTACTCCTTGTACAGATGGTGCACTACCTTATTGAAGACCGCCCTGGAACAACTTGTGGTAGGACACCGGAAGGTTTCCTCATGGCGACCTCAGAATCAATAGCATATATAAGTGTCTCAGATGTCGGTTTGTAATTGTATTTGTTTATTGTGACGCATAACACAACAAACAAAGATATGACGGACAGCAGTTTTAAATTCGTCTGACGCACGCCCATGACGTCACACGGAGCTGAAAATTTAAATTTAACTTATGGGATATGATATGATATGAAATTTGTTAATTATAATTGTTTGGGGTAAAAAGCAAGTTGCTATTATATTTGTAAAAACCAACTACGTAAAAACTTCAAAAAATCGTTTCGTTTTGCTTTACAAAATAATAATAAAAAAATTTAGGTGCTTAACGATGATCCGTGAATGTTAAGGATTTTTTTAGTAAAAATCAGTCTATTCTATACATTATATAGATTAATTATAAATGTACAGTTTGACAAGGTTTTAAAAGCAAAGACATTTTTTTTATAGAATAGAGATTTTATGGGCTAAAATTAATTCTAATAGCTATTGCAAAGAGGAAAGGCGGCTGTTACTTTAATTTAAAGCGAAAAAAAAAAAGAAATCTAACATCATAAAAAGGAGAGAATTCATCAAAATGTCAAACTCTTTCGAATGTTTTTCTCATTAGGGAACCGAAACAGCATCAAGTCACTCCAAAAATGTTTTATCCCGTTATCTGTATCGCGGCCTGTCACAGGAACACCGCGTTTTGATAAAAAATATAATCAGCAAAAACACAACGCAATGATATCTTATTAGCGATCCCTTCAAATCAAGCCTTCGCGTGACGTTAGTGACGTGACCCGTTGGCTCCGCCTACATGCGCAACGTCATATCGTTGTTTGTTGTATCGTGATTGCGATTGATTCATACCTGTGTAGCGGAGACGGATAGGGGGCGGGATAGGCGCCCCTCTCATCCATCCCGACCCGAGGCGAGTCCAGATCCTGACTGAAAGACGACCTCTCCGATACGCTGCTACCCGTACTGATCCTCCTCTGCCTCGTGACTGGCTGCGGACTATCCAAACTCGGGGACGGGTCGGGGGGTGCGACTTTTTCCATTTTCCCCCCAACTTCATCCTCGTTAGCATCACTTTTCGCTTCCGACTTCTTTTGAACGGCGGGAGCTTTCGGAGCGCCGAAAGCTTTGAACCAGGCGCTGAGATTGGGCGTCGCTTCGCCGCCGGTGATCGGCTCCTGAGCCGATTTGCCCGAGTTCTCCTCTTTGTCGACCTTCTCCGTTTCACCTTCCGACCTTCGGATCTGATCCTTAACCAAGTCCGGCAGATTTGCGTCTTCCGTCGCGGCTTTCTCGGGCGAATCCGGTTCCACGGCTCCCCGCTCCTCCTTTTTGAGGTCGTCGACGAATCTATGCTTTCCGAAACTGTCCAGCACCGACCCCAGACTCAATTTCGGCGCGTTCGTGTCGGTTTTCACTATGAGAGAGTTCTTGGTGTCTTTGATTTTGGAAAGGGGACCCAGAGGGAACATCTCGTCCACCTTGACGGAACTCTGCACGCTGGATATGAGGTTGCCTTTGCTCTTGCCCGGTTGCAGCCTATCGATGGTCCTCTGGATTTCTCGCCTCTTGAAAAACTTGACCGGATCCCTGAACGTCTTCTTTTTCACCTCCTTGGGAACCGGACCGTCTTTTTTGACGCTCAAAATTTTGTCCACCTTTTTGAGTTCCGTCTTGTTGGTGCTGCCGAGCAAATCGAAATCGTCCAGACCCAGGTACGACGGCGAATTGCTAGCGGAGCTGAAGTCCGCGAACTTGGGCGTGTCGTCCAGCCATTTGTTGATATCTTTGAGCGTCTGCTCGGTTGCTATACTCAAAGCGTCAAAGTTGGAGTGGCTCTTTGGCGGTTTCGGCACGACCGGAGGCTCGGGCGCTTGATATTTTTTACCGCCGAGCTTTCTATCCGATTCGCTCTGGATGCTCGCCTCCTCAACATCCCCACCCCTTTTGGATTTATGCGACACTTTGTCCTTGTGCCGCGGTTTGCTTTTGTCGTCTTTCTCGACCTTTTTGTTTTTATCTTTATTCTCTTTGAGATGATCGTCGAGCTCAAACTCAAACTCGCATTGCTTCAGCCGGGCTATATCGTTCTTTGCCTTCAATTTTTCAATAGTTTCCCTCAGCTTGTTATGCTTGTCCTTGGGTTTGGGAGAAACAAGTGAGGGATAATCGACATTTTGCTTCAAACACTCCGGAGAGAGAGTTATTATATCATCGCACACGAAGTCCTCTTTTTTCCCGGACTTTTTTGCCTTCACCGGCTCCTCGCCATCGTTGGGCTCCTGAGAAGATCGTTTCTTGCCTTGCTTCCTCGGGGCGAAATCGAAACGGCTATCCGGGCTAGAAGGAGGTGGACTACTGACGTAACTCCTCGCGGGACTGCAGCTCGGGGCGGGGCTACTATTCCTGCACGGACTCGACCTCTTCTTCTTGTGGGTCTTCTTCTTCAAACTCTTGTCGTCTTTACTTTGTTTCGCTTTCTTAACGTCGGTTCTCTCTTTTTTCGTCCTAGTCTCCTTTTTGGATTGTTTCTTCGAGGCCTTTTCGCCTTTTGGGTTTTCGGCAGACTCCACCGATCGAGATCGCTCTCTTCTGCCCCTTTGATCGGAAGATTTTACTCCCCGATCGCAATGCTGAGAAGGAGATTCCGACTTTTTCTTTTTCCCATGTTTCCCGACATGGTGATCTTCCTGTTTCATTTCAATATTCTCTATCGTTATCTCCTCGTCCGACGAAGACGTCCGATCCAAATACTTTTCCGTAGCCGTTTCGAACACGTGCAGCAAGTTGTCCACCATTTCGGTGTATTCTGGAGGGGAAAAAAATTCAATTGTACCTTTAAGCTCCGTCAACGCGCGTGACCAAACAAAGGTGGTTGCGGTGTGCACTGACTTTAGCAAGATTTTCGATAAAATACGTTAAAATTTATTATTGAAACGGGTTGCTGGAGACGGTCTGGGCGGAATATTTCTGATATGGATCGAGTCCTATGTTAAAGATTGGAATATATACAGTCTGGCCAAGATAAGGACGTCTATCGTGCGGACATTGGAAACCATAAAAGATGCAAAATTTACAGGTACTGTTGAGGAAACTAAAAAATTCTCAGCAAGCCCTTATTTAAAAACTTGTGGATTATTTTACTGGAGAACAAAATGAATGGAAACCGCTTTTACCCTTAAACAATGCGAGTATTTAATGATTCCATACTAGAGACCATCTCATTTTTATGAAAATTATTAATTATAAAAAAAAAATGAAACTCCCTTGTTCCAAACGAATAATATAATTTGTAGCACTACTTCTTTGCGCCAAAAGTCGAAAATCTATATCTATATTTTTTATGGTTTTTATATCGAAAAAATTCGTTCATTTTAATGACCACTTTTCCACCTACTCTCGCAATTTAAACATATTTCGTGAATATTTAAATGAGGTGGATTGCTAGAATCGGATCAATAAAATGAGTTTGGTTACATTGGTAGAGAATGTGCAAAACTTTACATAGTAGTCCCTTTGATAAGTCTCAGATTTTTCGACATATTTTATGCCCCCAATAAAAGAACGAATTTTGCAGCAAAATTGTCCACTCTGTAGAATGGTAAGAACTGGAAATGTGATACACAAAAGACCATAAAATTTTGCTCAACGCCCGAAAATAGCATCGATCGTTTTATTGAACCAATTCTTTTCTAGAGCCATTAAACTCTCATTTCATCAAAAAAAATATTGGTGAAATTTTACCTTTTGATAAAATAGACAATGATTAGTTTGGACAAGATGGCGCTCCCGTTAACAATTCCAGGATATTATCTAGATATCTAGAGGAAACCTAGGCGAAAACGGGATAGGCACTACTGGCCCGGCAAAGTGGCCGGCGAGATCATCCGACTTGACACCATCAGACTTTTTTTTTACCGGGTTAAAAAAATGTATAAAACGCCACTCCAAAATGAGAACCGATCTTATAAATAACATTAATGAGCCCATAAAAAATGAAAATATGTCAGTTTAATGTGTTTACTTTGCTAAACTTGTTAAATACATATAGAAAATTGTTTCAAATTTATTATTTGTTGCTGTCAATGTTTGTTTCGTTTGTTTTTCTAGTCGGGAAAAATACATTTTATCATTTTCATGGCAGCATCTTAAACATGCGTTTTCTACTTGGTACCCCACGCGTGGAATTTATTTGGACTTTTAAATTTAAAACGTAAATATCTATTTTGGGATTTTTAGGAGGGTCTCCATTGGAAGTTTTCGATTAAAAACTTCCATCAAATAGTTTTTTGTTTTGTAATTTTTTTAGACAAAATATGTATTTTCCTTATTTAAATTGATTGACGAAAAATGAAATATGTAAATTTTTGAACCCACGCAAAATTGGAAAAATATACAGGGTACTTTATTTAAAATAAGAAAATTTATCTCACTTCCTGTAAAACCGGAAGTGCTATTCAATTGTTTTTTTAACATTACTAAATTTCAATGTATTCATTTTTTTTTTGCATTCATCGCTTGGCTAGTAATTTCATTACGACTTAAATGACAAATTAATTATTATTTACCGTTTTCTACTCCGTTGTACAGTCGGCAGTTTTCCACAATCAGGTGGAAATCGCTTTTAAACTTCGCAAAGGTTTTGTAATAACCTGCGTCGAGCCGATCCTCCATCCTTTGCAAGTCCATCGGTTTTCTAACTATGGAATAGTAATTTGGGGCATATTCTTCCTCTACGGGATCTAAAAATGGCCACGCGTCGTCATGGTTTTTTACATAGTCCAGTATTTTGTGCATCCCCACTTGCAGATCTTCTTCCGTCTGTTGAAATCTAAAACGAGATATCCAAAAGTGGACATAAAAAAAAAGAATACGGAATGGTAAATACAAAAAAGAACGACTTTTTTACAACACGTTAAATACTTCTTTTGGGATTGTGTTGAAATTTGGCAACGTGATTTGTAATGATATGGAGTTCATTTTGGTTCCATAGTCTATTATAGAATGTCGTACGGTAATACATTGCAAAATTCTTTCTTTTCATCAAGTGCAGGTAGTACCACAGAAATTTGGGTCAATTTATGGGTTACATCCATATATTCTGACTTGCCATCCGGTTTAATGCCCTATGTTATTGGATTGCATAGCTTTTATTGCCGCGTGAGTGTCGGTATAGATCGCAATTGTCTTATGAATCTTTTTCATTTCCATTCCTCTTGCACAATGTTCAATTGCGGTGAGCTCAGCTTGGAACACTGTTGCTAACTTCGGAATAGACATTTTTTGTTTTCGTCCTGGCTTCATATATTTAGCTCCTACTCCTTTGGTTTTTGAGCCATCTGTGTATACCAGCCCTTATAGGTGGCATTAAGTAAGTATAAGCACTTTTTTTGTTGGAGAAACTGCGAAATTATGTAAATAGAGAAGTTGTGCGCGTACTTTTTCCTGTAGAGAGCTAAAGATACTTAATGTGATTTGATTACATTTTTTGGATTGAGATGCGGCCATAATGGGTGTTTTTGTTCGATGTATAGAACTTTAAGTTGGCATTAGTGTCCAAGATGGCGACCGATTTAACAGCTGTCAAGTGATTTATTCTGTTTGGTTTGGCAATTCATCATGAATAGACTCACGCCTGAACAACGCTTGCAAATAGTGCAATTTTATTTCGAAAATAATGGTTCTGTGCGGAATACGTATCGCGCACTACGTCCATTTTATCGTCGACAAAATCGTCCATCAGAGCAGTTAATTCGATTAACCATGGAACGTTTTCGCACCACGTTTACTATTATTGATCACTCGCATCCCAGAGACGCCGTCCGGTGCGTACAGAAGAAGCTATTGCTGCTGTAGAGCGTAGCATTGAGGAAGACCCGAATAAGTTCATCCGCCATCGAGCACAGGAATTCGATCTGTGTCCATCTACTTTATGGAAGATTTTGCGGAAGGATCTTGGTTTATGTGCTTACAAAATCCAACTCGTGCAAGAATTGAAGCCAAACGATCATCAAGTAAGGTGTAGATTCGTCGAATGGGCCCAAAACGAATTTTGTTTAGCGATGGAGCGCACTTCTAGTTGAATGGCTGTCGCATTTGGAGCGAAGCTAATCCTCGAAGTGTATGTCGAAACACCGTTACATCCAGAAAAACTGACCGTTTGGTGCGCTTTATGGGCTGGAGGAATCATTGGTCCGTACTTCTTCAAAAACGATGATGGCCAGAACGTTACAGTTAATGGTGATCGGTATAGAGCTATGATTACTATGTAAAGCAGTATACTCTTTGGACAACTTCAAATAACTGAGAGAATGGATTGGGGTAATCGTTTTTTATGAAATCACATTTACAAGAACAACTGAGTGTGTGTGTATATTGAAGAATTATTGCTAATCTTCCGGTAACGTTCTACGTTTTTGTTATTTAATTTAAATAAGCCACTAAAAGGTCTTTATTTTACTCTTGAGCTTTTTTCCTTTTCGAGCGAAAAAACAAAAATCATTAAAATTGACAAAACGTATTTTGATTAAAATTTATTTGTTACTCTTGTGATTATTTTAAAATGACTTCTTCTTTTGGGTAAATAGGCATTTTACAAGCAATTTCTTTCAAATGACCCAGAAATCAAAGCCCAAAGAAAAAAATTTGTATGCTTGTATAACAATGATGAGTGTGATCGACACAATGAGAATGTGCGTCTTTGCACGTCCCCTGTAATACATATCTCTTGCAGCGGGGTCTCTATGGTTTCCAGAAACGGATTGATAAATAAATAAATCTAATTTAATCAAAGAGATATTGCAGTAAAATCTGTAAAAGTTAATTCGGTTCATTTAATCAAATCATAAAATTTTGTCTTACTATGGTATTGTCCTGTTAGACAACAATTAAAATAAATCAATAACTCATTCTTCAGAATCGTACACCAATCACAACTCAAAACGAAAGTAAAGAGCTTCTAAGATTTTATGGCAAATTGTCTGGAAAAGATCGAAAAACCAATACGATCGCGAAATAAAAAAATAGAGTTATGAGGAAAATAATCTGAAGCATAAAAAAAATCAAGGTCATCTTCAATATTTGCTTAATTGTAAGAATGGACCAGAAGTGACAATTTTCTTAACCAATAAAAAGAGAAAATGCGTTTGTTTCAACAAAAAAAAAAAACAAAGACCAGATGGGCTATAGTTCCCCAAACTTAAAAATGTTCTAATCTTATTCATTCCTAGGTATGCGAGCTTCACTGTCAACCCCGTGAAATTGCACTGTTGAATGAACAGGGCAAGTCAAGTAACAGGCAAATTATTCATTAATTTTTTTTATTCAGTAATAACCATAGAATTTCTACGAAGAAGCATGAAAATGACCAATTGCTTTTGAATGGGATTATCCAAGGGTGGTCCGTAATAGAAAATATATTTATGCCTACCTGTGTTTAATATTCTTCGGTTTGGTATACTACTTAGTTTTATTAGTAATCATTCTTATTTCGTGTGTAATACAGCGTGTGTTGAATCGTGTGCGAATTACGCAAAATACGTGCGAGTTTAGTGTATCTCAGGAGATGCTCCCGCGCAAATGTAGAAAACACTATTCTATTGAGACTAAGGAAGTTATAAACAATGTTTATTTGACTCTCATTGAACGTAGTGCCAAGCAAGTATCTTTAGAAGAAACGGCCACACTGACGAAAATTCCAACATCAACTGTATGGCAAATTGTAAATAATCCCATTTCAGCGAGGAAAGAAAGAAGCGATGCTGACATTTTATCGAGTGTAGATTAAAGTGATCCAAATATAATGCTGCGTAAAATTTACCGGTTATACGAGGAACAAAGCGTGCCTACATTAAATATCTTAATTAGGAGGCTTGAAAAAGATGAAACCGGTGTTAAATGTGGCAGAACTACCTTATGGAAGTGTATTCAACAAAGGTCAATTATTTACTTGGATGAAACCTGGTTCGACACTTAGGATACTCCGGAAAAGGGTTGGGTTGACTCAACTGATAAGTGTAAAACAAACGCGACATCAAAAAGAGGTAAAAGAATAACTATTTCGCATGCTGGCTCTAAAGATGGTTTAAACTTTCTCTGTCTGCGAAAAATATTAAAGATCCTTCTCTGGATTACCATGAAGACACCACACCTGATTTATTTTAAAGTTGGTTTAAAAACAAACTAGTTCCAAACATTCCTCCTAATAGCGTCATTGTAATGGACAATGCAAGTTATCACAGTAGACAGTTGACTAAAACCCCTTCCTCATGTGACACAAAAGCATCAATCCAAAACTACATGTATAATAACGACATTTATTTTCAAGAAGATTATACCAAAAAGCAACTAATTGAGGTTCTACAAAGCTTGAACCTACAAAAGGAATACGTATGTAATAATTATGCAAAAATTCTATAGAATAGAAACCAAAGTTTTTAACATCAAGTAGGTAATAAAAATAATTTTTAATTTTATTTTAGATTTAAACAAATAAATATTGTTTAACATGTTTCCTAACAAAACATAATTAAATAATAAAAAATAATTAAATTCTAAGCAAAGTACGGACCTGTTCGGCCATATTTCTTATATCTATGAACAGACTTTTTACTTTGACACCATAATGACAATATAAACCATATTACAACCCAAAAACTGTAGTAGATAGTTTTAAATTTTTCGTGGCGTGACTAACTGGTCCTTGCCACAGTTGAGACCGACCAATTCGTATTCTGCCATTAGTTTTTTGTACCTCGATTTCTGCAGAAAATCGACTATAAATTTGCACGTTCCATCGCCGAGCGGCCTCCAAATAACACTTGAATAAATTCAAAAATTTTAACGATTGTATTTAACTTTAAAACGTAAGGAAAAATAATGTCTCATGAAATTCTGTTCGCAATTAAAATGCAGATCATTTTTGAACTGTTGATGGTACCTTGGACATTTACGGCGAAATGTACATGGTTTTAACACTGCGACGTTGCCGATTCTTCGCAAAAGTGGCGTCAACATTAAAATTTTAAATGGGACGCCATGTATTTTAATAATTTTTCAAAGAAACTTCCCCAGGCTACTGTAATACTTTTTATATAAGTTCTGGATTCCTCCTGCGTTAATTTTTGTTGACTCAAACTTGCTAACGTTTCGCCAACCATCCTTTTGGCTTCTTCAGAACTTGACTGACCCAAGTTTTATAAAAAGTATGTATATTATTACTTACGTTAATTATTTTCTTTTTTTTTTAATGGAATACCCTGTATATTATCACGTATTCTACGAGCAAATGAAATTCCCTTTCTAATAATATATTATGAAAATAGAAAATATGAAAAAAAAGAAACTTTTGCCAACGAGAACACAGAACACGACATTGTTTTTAGTAGTCTGTGCCGAGAGTCGTTTCTAGCTTGCGAAAATACATTAATTAATATGGGAAATAGTGTTTTTCGTTTAAATTTCTTCCTTTAAGTTATCCACTGAGCGGTAAAATTAAACTTTTATCAAAGCCGACTTGTAATATTCCGCTAAAAATATTTAAAACAATAGTAATACACACACAGTCTCTAGGAAAACAATAACACATTTAAAAAGGTCTGGTAATGCTCCTTACAATTTAATGTTATATTACCTAATCACTTTTTTTTTTATACTTTACTCACTCTAAATATCTATGTTATACAGAAATATAATAGAAAGTAATTAATAAGTCTTTTTTACCCTGTTTTAATAATCATGAAAGCCCTACACCAGATATATGACGAAAAAAAAATCGCTTTCAACCTACCAGCTTTATAGAATTACAACGAAGAATAGTAGTCCAATAACTAGTGCCACTTTTACATTTTAAAAATGAATACAAGCTTCAATGCTTCTACTATTAAATTACTTAACTATTGCCTTTATTAGTATAGTGCTCAACAGTCTGGAACCATCTTTATGCAAGGCATATTTATAGAATTGAACAAATACACAGAAAATTTCTGAGGACAATGAGAGTTAGAAGAAATCAGGCAGATTTTAAGCTCATTAATTATATGGTTGATTGTCCCATATTATTTTCTTCATCGATGCTCTCAGTTTCATCAAAAAATACAAAAATCGTCCCTTTGGGCGCACAAATGTTGATTTTTTTTGACGCCGGCTTTAATAGTATTGTCAGTTTCTTTTGGAGTCATATAAAGTCTATAGTAATTTATTTACTTAAATATTGACACTTCTGTTTTCGTTTTGGAATGTAAGGGAATAATTATGATGGAATAATCGAATGGTTTATTTTAGTTGATTAGTTCTATTGGTACATCTTGTACTAAAAGTTGATAAGGTCAGTTAATAAACAAATAAAAAGACCAAAAAAAAAAAACAAATTTAAAGGTATATAATCTTGCATTCTTCCTAATATCTATCATTCATTTATTGTCAATCAATAATTCTCCATTTTTTTAAGCAGAATTATTTCAGGAACAAAACACGCCCTCTTTTGGCTATTTGTCCACAACGTTTCTATTTCCTAAAATTCAAGAATGGTGGGAACAAAATCCCAAGACCTTTGTCGCAAACCTCAGTTGTTGCTCTCAGCAACAATTGTGTATTATAGAGAAGGCAGTAGAAAAACATATTAGTCATAGATCATAACCTATCAAAATTTATTCCACAGACTACTTCTGCCATAACAAAAAGGTGCAATTTTTTTCAAATATGCGTTTTATGTTTAACAAAAACAACTGGAGAGTCAAGAAAGTTGTACTTTTGGTGGTTTATTCAAAGTAAATAACAAGAATTGCAAAAAGGTGAGGTTAGGCTTCACGCGTTGCTAAATCATACAGGGTGTTATTTTACTAACATACAACACATATAATCTATTTTTTGTGGCGAATCTCCAGCCGAGAGTTGGCGCATGATTTTTTTTAAACACTCTGTATATAATACACGAAATATGCCTAGAATTCCCGAAGGAATTGAAAATGCAATGAATAATTTTGCACATTTCTATAGATAGCCGTTAAAATATCCAATTGTAACCTAAAATTACTGTTACGAAAAACTCACATTTCAGAGGATTTCAACTTCTTCTTGGTTTTGTTGGCAGTAGACTGGATGACTATTTGTCCGTCGGATGCCGACAAAGAGTTATTGGTTTGCCTGCCGATGATCGTAGGCGTTGTGGAGCTGGAACATTTTGAAACCTCGTCTACCAATTTATCCAGTTTTTTTGTTTTCTTCTTCTTTGAATTGTCTACAAACAAAATTATTTTCATATTACAAAATTTTTAGTTCTTAGTTAAGTTTACAAACCACAATCTACTTTATAAACTAGGCAAATATTATGATAACTCACCTTGACTACTAGTAGAGCAACTAGAAATTTTCCTGAGCCTTCCTCTACACTTTTTTTTGCCCCCCATATCATAACGATTCTCGGAACAATCGCTTACTTCCTCCTGACCTTTTTTATGCTTCAGGTTCTTTTCCTGGTGCTCTTTCTTTTTATTTCCCAACTGTATTGGCTTTTGGCTCTCTTCCACACAATTTACCACATCTTGAAGTTCTTTGCTTTTGTTTTGAGTTGCGGTCGGTGTGGGATCCTGGAGAAAGGGATAAATATATCTTTTTTTAGTTATTTCGTGTCTAACGGGAAAATTCCAAAATAAGGCAAAATTTTTAGTAAATATGGGGTCAAGCAAAGTACCTTTTACATATTTTAATGTGGCAATCAAGAGCATTACAAAAAAGATATCATTATTAAGTTGTATTTTGGATTAAGTTAGATAATTTATTTATTTATCAACAGCTAACTGGAAAATATAAAATTAAAGATAAATACATATTAGAAAGGAAGTACAAAGACAAACATTAATAACTTAACTAATTAATTAATGTTCAAAACCCACTTTAATTAATGTGCAAACCTGCTCGCGAATATGGCGAAATTGATACACCTCATGCAACTATGAATGACCGTAACATAAAGTAACATGCACTTTTCTCCCTCATTTGTTGTTTCCCTAGAGATTTAAATAGGATTTGGGCATATATTAAGAAAAAAAATGTAGAAAAAAAAACACCACAACCAAAGTGAAAACTGTTAGCAGCCACATTGATTGTTAAATGCCAAAAGGTATTAATGTTTGACTATTTATTTCAAAAGTGCTTCAATTATCCACCATAGCGCACTAGGGGAATATAGCCAAGAGTTTGGGACAAATATTATTGTGCAAATTCCTCTGTCCACCTCTAGGAGGCATGATTTGCATGTCATATAAAAATAGGTAGGGAAAAACTATAGTTCTATTCTATATGTTGCTGATTAAAATGAAAACACAGGTATGCCAATCCAGAGCTTGTTGCGTCTAGTTGCTATTATAACCAAATACAATAAATAAAATTTGGCGGTAACCAAATGCAATTTGACTTTACTGTTTTTCCATTTTAATTCTATGACATCAAAACTGAAATTTTAATCACGACATTGACACCTTCGTTCCGTTACTCCTCAATATAAAGTTTAAAACAAGCTCCATTTTGGAGGTATTCTCCTCACCTAAATAAAGAAAAATGGGTTTTTCTATGGGACCACAGCAATTGCGTCCCCTAGCAGAGAAGATGAGGAACTTAACAATTTCTTTTGTGGTACTTCCCAAACTGCTACAGCTAATAGTTGCCAAGGCATCTATGGAAAAAATTATCATACCAATGACGACAGATTAAGTTCGGTGGTTGGCAGAACAAAAGCACACTGTTGATTAAAAAAATAAATTCACAAACTTGCTCCCAGAAATCAACTAATAAAATAAGTAGAAGGAACCAAGTTTTGCTTTAGTCGCCCTTTTTTCCCTTGTCTTAAAAGGTTCTGTCTAATATGTATGAAAATGTCTTACTAATTTTTTAATACGATCAGATACTCTTCTTGGTTGGGTTTCCAACAACCTTCTTCTCGCCTGTCTCTCTTTCTCCTGAAAAAGTCTGGGTAATTCGGGAAGAAAATTTTTACTGAGAGTATGGTACAGGGCCCTCTCGGCTTTAGAAGCAGAGCTCTTAAACTTTTTCGTCAACTGAATCCAGTCTTCTTCTGTGAAACAAATCACTTGCCAGATTGATTTTTTCTTGTTATTTTTTGTTTTGTAGTCTTCGCGGTAAAGGCGGGTACCATAGAAATACCAATAGGCAGACTCATTGCAATCATATCCGAGAGGCTCCACTCTTAAACTATCAGCTTCCAAATTTTTTAATTCCTCTAGCACATCATCGGCATCTAAAATGGATGGAAAATAAATATTGTCACAAAAATCTTTGACTCACCTAAACGAAAATCACATAGAGCATGTAATATGTCAACTTTGGTCCTTAATGGTAATAGTGTAAAGTCAATGTCGGTATTAAACGGATTATAACGATCGTGTTCCTGACATTTTTGGCGAAAAAGACGCCTCAAAAACATTTGATAATTAAATGTGGATATTTCATTGTTCGGTAAACAACCACTGAGTAACTTGACTATCAGTTCTTGCAGCCAAGAAGTTTCTTCAGTTCCATCCGTAAGTAGGGCTTCTTCGAGATCCTATATTAAAAAATTGGTGGGTTGGTGAATTTGGATATTTGGATATTTACCTCAATATCAAAATCCAAGAGATTAAAGGCAGAACGAAACAAAGAGCAGAAGTGAGCAATACTTGGCACCTCCCACCATGACTGTATATCTTAAACAAATTAATGCAAACATAAGAAAATGTTTAAACAAATAAACGCCGAAATAATAAACAGAATGAAAAAATAAAAACACACCTAGGATGCTAATGAAAGTTGGAAACATAACCTGTTCATTGATCAATACATACAAGGACGCAAATATTTTATACCTAGCGCCTAATACTATATTCTACCATAGTTAGTGATATTTTGAAACAGTGTTTGGAAAATGATAACAGACTTATTGTATTGAGTTTTTGATTTTTTTCTGTTGTCATACATCAAGCGTCAAACAAGCTTTTCTTTTTACTGGACAGATGACAGTACGACAGAATTCCCAGAAAAAGATTGTTTGTTGGGAATAGTAGTAATGATGGGGGAATTGGTAAACCCAGAACTTCGTCCGAAATTTGATCATTGGGCTATGCTTTGCAAATATCGATGTGGTTTTTTTTTGTCAACATTGGTTTAGAATTAATATTAATTTGGTAAAGGGCCTGCAACAATTTTCTCAGCACCTATCTATATTCTTTGCTATGCTACAGTCAACTTTGTAGAAGTAACGGCGCAATAATCTATTCATTATGCAGGGATATCCGATGTTTTGATTGATGAGACAGATGTTCTTTTAGCTATTCGGTATGGCGGTTTATTTCATTAGCGCGTACGTTTTTTCTGCACTGATATTCGGAAAAACTTTCAGGCGTAATTTGCATGTAAATTAGGGATATTAGGTTCAAAAAATGTAATCCCGTGGTATTTCCCGATTGATGTAATCGGGTATGTAAGTATAATATGTACACAGTGCATACAAAAAAACATTCCTTAATCTTGTTTATCTACTTAATGCAAATTAGATGTGTACGGCTCATCCGAGCGTAGAATTTCTAAACGCGCCCCTTCCTGGCTGATGACATCTACAAAGGAAAAGAAGAAGAAGACCGCCAACACCTCACAGTTGTTTGGCCAGAAAGAAACATGACAATTTTGAAGGAATTCGGAAAACCAACTAGTAGTACACTGATACTACAATGTATTCCAAGCATTTTGCAAATGTAAACAAATGATGTTTTAGGTGAAAAATTTTGAAGGTTAGCAAGTTAGTAGTTACTAACAATTGTTAATTCAATTATAGTGGAAATGAAGATGATCATTTCATTGGTACTGGTATTACGACTCTCCTAGTGGCTTCGCTTCTAGAAGAAAATCAAGCCCAAAATATATAAGAAATGTTTTGATTCGGAGAAATCCGCAACATTAAAACTTAGGTATAGGATATTACATATTTTTGCTGTTTGTTTTCTAGACTGCTTTGGAATGTCAGGCAGACAGAATGAGTTTCCTCTGGAAGCTCTTAAGGTACATGGCCCCAATTATTTGAAACATGCTTTGACCAGCTGCACGGATCCTTTAAAAGCCATAGAAGAGTTTCAGGTATTTAGTTTTGTATTGTTTTTTGCCATAGACATTCAAAGTGAACAATTCAATTAGGTTTGTTGTCATACCCAACATAGCTTTAAAACTGTTATTATACGAAAAAAGAACTTTTTTTAGCAAATATAAAGTAAATAACGGCACATACGTGTCTTTGCTATTCATTTGACAAACTTTAATGTGATAGTTAAACAAGTGTTTTATGTAATGATAGAATACAGGGTACTTCTTCTTTATGATTTTTTATATTGAATCCGGGTACTCAAAATAAGTGGATGTTTTACTTTTGAATTTTGCACTTAATATTTTTCTTCCTCCTAAATAGCTGAAATACTATAACTTTTTTTTAATAAACAGTCTTCAATCTTGTTTGCAAAACTTGCGTTTGCTTTGTGTGCCAAAATAAACACAATTGGGATTTTGCAAAACTTTTCTTGCACTTTACCATGAATCATATCCATATGATTTTCATGTTAGTATAGATACATTTTTGAGGGTTTTTTCAGTCAGGCCTTCTCAAGGCGTTGCGGTTAAGATAATGGCATCGGTGCAGTGGAGGTCCGTTAAAGTAAAGTAAAGTTAAAGTAAATAATAAATAAAAATAAAGTTAAAGTAAATAATGTGGTATTAAATAAAACCAATTAAAAAGATAGAAAGATATTTGCAATATTCAGACTGCAGGGTACTATGTGTGTATCTTTAAAAAAATTACAGAAATATGCAAAGTATGTTCATAATAGCAATACTTCGTGACATATTATTGTTCTATCAATTTTTTTTTAAATAAAAAATGAAAACATTATTTTTCCTCCATATTTGTGCCCCTAATAATTGGCCTTTGACCTAACGTTTATATAACAAGCTATCCTTTACTTTAAACAAGGAATCACCACCTTAATTTTCGCATTTGCTTTGAAGCACCAAATGGTTCGACTTAAATAAAATTCTTTATATTATAGATGACCTATTCAACATATGTCAAAAGTAAAATAATTTTTTTAATATTTGTAATCCCACTTTAGATGTTTTAATAAAATTTGGCACGCATGTACTATGTATCAAGACACCAGCGGTGGGTGTACTGAATTTGACCTGTCAATTTTGATGGTACGCCATTGATTTGATTGTAAAAATAAAAATTATCCAATCGTTTCTAAAGAAATTTAATTTGATTTTCGCTTAAAAAAATGAAAAGCCTCTTCTCTGCATGGTCATAACAATATCGAATTTCCAAGTCCCGTTAACCCCAAGTCCACTAATAATTCGAATTGCGTTTCTTTGTAATCTGAACAAACGGTGCCTGTCACCAGCATGGCCCCGTATTAAGATACCATATAGGAGGTGTAAATGAAAAACTTTAAAATATACAGTTCTTAACACACCAGGAGGGACATTTTCGTTCACGCGTCGTAGAAAATATAAATTTTTGGTCAGTTTCTGAGCAACAAAATCTATATGGGAGTCCCACTGAAGCTTTGGGTCAATATAGATGCCAAGAAATCTGGTATTTATTCTATTAAAATTAACTGTACTTAAATTTCGTATGGAAAAAAATACTCTCTCTGTTTTATCATTATTTAAAACTAATTTATTTGCACTAAACCAGTGTTCAGCCTTTTCCTGTGCGATCCTGGAACGCTCAAACGAGTCTTCTAATTAATCCCCAGAAACCGACACCAAATGGCTTTTAAGTGCTGTTCCAATAAATAAAACTAATTCAGGGTGGTAGCACTGTCCTGGAAACACAAAACATATGAATATATTCTTTTGTAATACGCGCTGTGTAATTGTGATTTTATAAATAATAAGTTGAATAAATTACATGTTTGGATTTATGTTATTTCGTCCGACTTTGTTTTTTAATTCGCTGTCACTTCTAGATAAACCAAGCCGCAGTGGTGTAAGGTGGTAATTATTTATTTATTATTTATCACAATTTTGGGTCGCTTACAGTACTTAGTACCAAAAAAAATAGCAACCACAATGTTAGTTCAAATAGGTGGATTTATACAAAACAAACGTAAGTCGGATGTAGAACATTATACAAAAAAGAGGAAGATATTTAACACTCATACACTGCTAGGTTATACTATAAGTCCTAATATTGGAGTATTTGATATATCGTTTAAACTGCAGCTGAGACATTGAAGCGATATCGAGGTTAAAATTCGAGTTATGTGTATTATACGAACTTTGCATTGTTAGCAAAGGGGAATGCTGCCCTGTGTTGGTTCTACTATATGGGATTTCAAAGAGATTAATGTATCTTAAATCTCGGGCGGGAATTCTAAAGTTAAGTTTCGACAAAAGATATGGAGAATTAATTTGTGTTTGTTATTTTGTAAAGCATACACAAGTCTGCCACAGTCCGTTTATCTTCCAAACCAAGTATTTTGAACCGATTTTTCATTGGGCGATAATCTCTTTCTTCTATACGAGTGTGGGTCTTAAGAGGCAGAAATTTTAAGAATTTATTTTGAATGTTCTCGATTCTGTTGATATGAACTGCGTAGCGTGGATTCCAGATAACAGATGCGAAGGAAATTGTACTTTGAATAAAAGCATAATATAAGAAAATAAGCGTTCTGGGATCATTGAAGTCCCGGGAATTTCTATTAATAAAACCAACCATTCTATTAGAATCATTTATTATTCTTTCTATATGGTGTTTAAATGACCACTTTGTGTCAAGTGTAACTCCCAGATCCCTTACTTTGTTCACTCTTAACAGGTCATTGTTATTTATTCTATAAGTAAAATCTATTTGATTCACCTTTTTGGTGAACGAAATACTGTGACAAAAATCTGATTGTCACTGCAGTATCTTTCAAGCCTGATGAGACCCTGCTGCATTTTAAGGCAGTCCCTGTGGGTCGCTACGGTACGAAATAATTTCAGATCGTCTGCATAAAGCAGTATATTGCTTGCAGTATTTAAAATAGTTTCTTATATTGTTGATATATATAATAAAGAATAGTGGGCCCAGGTGACTACCCTGAGGGACTCCAGACGTTGCATGAAACGGATCTGACACATGCCCAGTAATCGACACAGTGGGCTGCACACTCCCACCTCAGCAAGTCTCGAAGATTACCACCCGATTTATTTATGACCTCATCTAAACTATTTTTTTTTATATAAATGTCTTCAAAGTAAAGATCATGCTGACTAAGGAACTCATGCAATACCTCCTTTTTGCTGCCGATCGTTTGTACTTTTTTAGTTAAAGTGCTGTGATATTGTGATATTACTGGTGGGATATTCACGGAAGAGAATTTGTTACCCAATTTTCAAAAAGTTCACTTTTCATGTCCTAATGGTACTTCAATGAACAGTCTTTAATATCTGTAGATCAAACGCTTTTAGGTAACTAATGGAATTTTATTGCCCTCGCTTCGGCCAATGTTGCCGTTATTAGATCTCCACGGAGTGAGGAGATTAGATTTTCATATGTCCGTAGTTGAGGTACATTGAGGTATCAATGAATTTATTTGCTTAAATAAAAACGATCTTTGTTAGGAACTGCGCGAAAAACTGATCAGCCACATTAATGAATTTGGCAAACAGGAGGGTAAAGAGAGGGATCACAAATTGAAGGAGCTGTTGAATAAGAGTTTTCCTGTTATCAAAGTGAAAGCGATGAGACCGATTATTATGTCTATTCTGAAGAATATCCCTCAAATAGACGATCACTATCTGAAAGTTCTGGTGAGGGACAGGGATTTATATAACGACACCAACACCGAAGTGAAAAGACAAATTTGGAAGGACAATCAATCTTTGTTTGGAGACGAGGTGTCTCCTTTGTTAAGCCAGTATATTACAGAAAAAGAGAATGTTCTGTTTGACCATTCCAATTTGAGCGTTCAATTTTTTGGACCGTCGCCAAAGGTGAGTTCTCAAAACATTTATTTTTTGAAAACTCGACTTTAGCAAAAAGGTAACAGGAGGCGGAATTGCAATATTCATTTTTTACAGCCATAAGTATCGATAACATCAAAAAGTAGATTTCTGAGGCGATTGCGGTTACTTACCTTGCCACTAGTTTTTTGAGAATAGCGCAATAAAAATTACTCTGTGAACAAAAAAAGGATATGACTTTCTTACATCATCGAGTAATTAAGTAAAACCCAACAACCTCATGAAAACCGCATATCAATGTTTATATCTATAACTTATTTCATAACAATAGTTCCAAAGCATTTGGTATTGTTGATCGTGGCATATTGATTGAAAAGTTAAATATTTTTGATTTTTGTCAACAGTAAAACAGCCGCGGATGAGCAGTGTCAGATCAAATTATATTAGAGAGATTTTTTCTTCCTTTCTAAACAACCAAATAATCTTAACCGCGACTCATAGCCTTCCAGTTCCCATTTTCATCCCTATTATTTCCGATTTGGTTAGGCTGATTTCTCTTTATATCATCCTTAATTTGTCTTCTAATTTTCTTGTTGGGATCCCGAATTTCTGCTCTATTGGCAGTTCTGAGCATGAAGTTTTTCATTATGGTTTCATTGAGAAAATCTATGTTAAGGTTGTCTAGGTTCAATGTCCCTGAACTCTGAGTAATCATTCTGTGGTCGCTATTGTATTTATTACATCTTGTTCTAAATTTTCAAAATCCGTTTCCTTCTAGGTAGATTATTCACGTGTCATCTGTGTCGTGTTTAGTTTCATATCCAAATTTACCTGTTCAGCTTTCATTTTTATCCATTTGTTCACCGATCTTGGCATTGAAAGCTCCTATTATTAGCGTGTATCTACTGTTATGATTGGTGGGGTCTTATATTATAAGGGGTGTTTTTTTTTTTCGATGTATAGAAGTTTAAATTGCGATTGACATGAATTTTAATTATCCAGGAGAGATAATCTTGTGGCATTACATTTTAAATATGATTTCTGGCATATGACCGCCACGGCTGGCGCGGATGTGATCCAATCTGGACGTCCAATTTTCGATGCCTTTTTCCAACATTTGTGGCCGTATATCGGCAATAACACCTCGAATGTTGTCTTCCAAATGGTCAAGCGTTTGTGGCTTATCCGCATAGACCAATGACATTACATAGCCCCACAGAAAGTAGTCTAGCGGTGTTAAATCACAAGATCTTGGAGGCCAATTCACAGGTCCAAAACGTGAAATTAGGCGGTCACCAAACGTGTCTTTCAATAAATCGATTGTGGCACAAGCTGTGTGACATGTTGCGCCGTCTTGTTGAAACCACATCTCCTGGACATCATGGTTATTCAATTCAGGAATGAAGGAGTTAGTAATCATAGCTCTATGCCCATCACCATTGACTGTAACGTTCTGGCCATCATCGTTTTTGAAGAAGTACGGACCAATGATTCCACCAGCCCATAAAGCGCACCAAACAGTCAGTTTTTCTAGATGTAACGGTGTTTCGACATACACTTGAGGATTAGCTTCGCTCCAAATGCGGCAGTTTTGTTTGTTGACGTAGCCATTCAACCAGAAGTGCGCTTCATCGCTAAACAAAATTCGCTTATGAAAATCGGGAACAACGGCAATCTCGTTTTGGGCCCATTCGACACATCTACGCCTTACTTGATGATCGTTTGGCCTTAATTCTTGCACGAGTTGGATTTTGTAAGCACGTAAACCAAGATCCTTCCGCAAAATCTTCCATAAAGTGGATGGACACAGATCCAATTCCTGTGCTCGATGGCGGATGGACTCATTTGGGTCTTCCTCAATGCTACGCTCTACAGCAGCAGTAGCTTCTTCTGTACGCACCGTACGGCGTCTCTGGGGATGCGAGTTCCATGGTTAATCGAATTAACTGCTCTGATGAACGATTTTGTCGACGATAAAATGGACGTAGTGCGCGACACGTATTCCGCACAGAACCATTATTTTCGAAATAAAATTGCACTATTTGCAAGCGTTGTTCAGGCGTGAGTCTATTCATGATGAATTGCCAAACCAAACTGAGAATAAATTACTTGACAGCTGTTAAATCGGTCGCCATCTTGAACAGTAGTGCCAACTTAAAGTTCTATACATCGAAAAAAAACATCCATTATATATTTTCATTTGTTTGTTCAATGCATTCAACACATTTTTCGGAAATCAGGAATCCTAAATCATTCAAACTTTCTTCTTCTCTTCCTTTGCAGTTAAAACATAACCAGATTGTAGTGTGATGTACTCTGCGCCTCTTCTATTCACCTCTGTTTATGTCCCATTTTAGACCTTTTCTAGTTCTTATAGTTTGTCGTCCTTATCTAGAGATCTCACATTTAATGTCTTGGGGATTTATTGCTTCCCCCAGCTTCTTCGAAGCTGACCCCATTTGATAAACCTGCCTGGGAGCTAGCCATATTGTATTTTGTGTTGGGAGGAATTTTTGGTCACAATGTCGACTTGTAAAGAATTGTGCTTCTATTTTCTTTTCAGGTAAGACGGCAGGGTGAAGTCGTTCAGAAGTTAGCCCACATGATAGGCAATAGCGTCAAACTCTACGACATGGTTTTGCAATTTTTGCGTACCCTATTTCTCAGGACTCGCATAGTGCATTACTGCACCCTCCGGGCGGAACTGTTGATGGCCCTTCACGACTTGGAAGTCCAGGATATCATATCGATCGATCCGTGTCACAAGTTTACGTGGTGTTTGGACGCTTGCATTCGCGAGAAAAACGTCGACATTAAGCGATCGCGCGAGCTGCAGGGCTTCTTGGATAACGTGAAAAGGGGACAGGAGCAGGTACTGGGCGACTTGTCCATGACTTTGTGCGACCCTTACGCCATAAACTTTTTGGCCTCTTCGGCTATCAAAATTTTGCAGCATTTGATACACAACGAGAGTATGCCGAGGGTAAGTCAAAGTGGTAGACAGTGATTAGTAGCAATACACAATAGTAATTGAACTTCAGTTGTTTTCATTTTTTAACTTCTACATCGTCTCAGGCAGTTGTCAGTGGACTTAGCAGTATAATAGGCTTAGTATGGTACCTATGATGATTTGTCAAAGGTCCCGAGAGTTGTAGGTAGATGGTCAGTAGTTGACCTAGCTACTATTTCTTAGGCTCCAACTGACTGTTCATATTGTATTATATATATTTATGGTATTAGCAGTGTTTGTCATATTGGCGGACGAAGTAAGTCACGGCCAGATATACGGGGTGAATCGACGATAGAGTAAAGTTCATTATCTCATTGTTTTCAAAAGTTATGAGAAAATGATAAATGTAAAAGTTGTAAAGATTGCCATGGTGCACAATTCGAAATTATATTAAAATATACAGGGTGGCTCAAAAAAGAATACCAAGTAAAACATACATTTTTTAAATGGAATATCCTATTTTGTTTTTTTTTTAATTGTTTGTTTTGAAATTCTTCACCTTTTTAATTAATTTCTAATTTTCCATTATGTTATTTGATATTAGCATTGTTCGAAAATGACATAAACGAATATATTTGGATCATTTTGAATTGAAAATCTTGATTTTATTAGATGGGACACCATATATATTATTATTTTTTATGAAAGATCTTACAGACACCTACAAATTTTATTAAAAATGTCATATACCTATTTTTATACTTTGTTATTTATTTTAACTTTTCCACTGTCTAAGACTAGAGCTATAATATGAGTTCTCACGACAGAACTATTAGCCAACAGGGCTATGTTAAGGTAAAAAAAATAGGTAAAGCCAATTTTGGTGAAAATAAAAACGGCCAAATTTTAAATTCATAGAAAAAGTAAATAATATTAAATATTTCATTATTATTATGTTGCAATAAATGGATACACATGTTTAGTCTTTTTAGTATATTTTCTTCGGCGTCCCTTAGCGTGAATGGTGTTATTCTCCTGCACACGTATCCAATTTTATTTTGCACTTATTCTGGTGTAAGTGGATTCACCTAAAAACACGAACTTTAACAAATAGTGCAAAAACAATTAGGTTCAGGTATGTATTATTATTAATAAAAAAGTTTCACAGCAAAATTAAAAAATAGGGTTTAACGTTTAAGAAAATGTATGTTTTATTCGTCACGCTTTTTTGAGCCACTTTCCGTACTTTAAAATACCTTTTCATAACTTTTGAAACCAATGAGATAATGAACTTTACCGTTGACTTACCCTGTACCGTGGCACGACAGCACTTTATAGGATTCTTTCGGAGCCATTTTTCCGAAATACCGGGTTGCAACCGATTTATTCTTAAATTAAATGACGCTATTTCAATAACACCCTGTATAAGCTCTTATGGTCTACTCTTGAAGTGATATAACTGCCCGAAACCTTGTGTAATATATAAAATAAAGACAACAATCGACAAACTAGTATTTTTGTATTTTTTATTTTTATTTTAGGACAATACAATTCTGATTCTTTTGCTACGGATGCTCGCATTGGGCCTAAGCGCATGGGTAATGATCGATTTACAGGATTTCAAAGAACCTAAGTTGGACAGTCAAGTTGTAACGAAATTTTTGCCAGCATTGATGAGTCTAATGGTCGACGACCAGGTATAATCTTAAAATTCATTGAAAAGAGGAAAAATTTCACTCCCAAGGGAGATTTTTTATTCACTATATATATATATATATATATATATATATATATATATATATATATATATATATATATATATATATATATATATATATATATATATATATATATATATATATATATATATATATATATATATATATATATATATATATATATATATATATATATATATATATATATATATATATATATATATATATATATATATATATATATATATATATATATATATATATATATATATATATATATATATATACATATATATAAACAGGTATCTGCTATCTGGTGACGAAATATGAATTATTTTCCTCTTTTTCCAAAATATGATACTGCTAAAGCTTTTAACTGAGCTGTCATTTGAACCCACAGACGTGTAGTTTTTTTTAATGCGCTCTTCGTAATAATTTTCATAATTCCTAAAATGTCAGATTGACATAATTCTAATAGCTAGTAATGGAAGGCCATGTTGTTTAACATTAATTGCCAAAGACAGATTCCAAAGTTTTAAAGCTTGCATTTTAGATTTTGCACTTTGTGTTACACAATAAATAATACCATTCAAAGTAATACATAAAAAGTAACTAATAGTATGGTGTGTCTCAAAGTATATCGTTTTGAATTTTGACTGACCTTTTCGCAAAAAGTAATTACGACCTTTATATATCTATTTGTACCATAATTCATGCTGAACCAGAAGAGGGAATTATTCCAATTTGCTTGATGGTGTCTGCGAAGAATATTATGAAGACTATCACAAAGCATAACGTTAGAGTTCTGCATTGTGGATTCTGGTTAGTTTCCGTTAGCGCGAGTTGCATGTGGCTCCCTTGCGGTGTTCAATATACAACCACACGGACTTGACATTGGGCACATGTAATGGCAACCATTTCTGAAAGCTACCAAGAAGATACTGGGTTGAAAATGATAACAGTGTCATTGTAATTGATGATGCAAGCTATTGTAAAACGAACCAAATTCATCAAGTATAAAAACTAAATTTCAAAAATATCTGGTCCACCTAATTGTTTTGAATCGAGTTACAAATAAATTGCTTACAACTTTTAGAAACGTCAAATTCCTATGCTATTAAAAAACAGCCTGTATCTAGTAGATTAGCTAAACAATATATCTTCCTCCATGGCAATGCAAATTGAACCCCATTGAACAATTGTGGCACCAAATATAGATATTTGCACCGACAATAACATAGAGCCCATTGTAATTAAATTTGGTGGACTTTTGAAAGCACCTTAAAACTTCATCTTTGGTGCTCCGTGCTAAAAGTGTAAGTGCCCAAAAGGTGCGTGGGTCACTGGCGCGCGGAAAGCACTTTGGGGAATCCCATAATTTTGTTGCATTCTGGCGAGCAAATGAGCGAATTATTCATTTTTCAAAAGTGTGTTAAGTGTGGGTGGCAAGAAATCGAGTGAGTAAAAATAGAGACAACATATAGATGCACAATTAAAACATTTATAGTAGCTATATCAGATAGAAAAAGTTCTACTTCAACAAAATGGAGTTAAAAGAAAACCGGCCAAAGACATATCTTTACACGCACCAAAAATTAATAATATGGGCATCGGCGAGGCATCAAATGTCTTCGATAATTTAACAACAAAAGAGATTGGTAAAACTATTTACTAATCTAATCGATAACCATACCTTCTTAATCTTCTTAATTGAAAAACAGCTATCAGTCTTCGCGAATATATTTACGTTAGTCTTTGAGAAGAAGGCCCTTAACACCTTCCTTGATTCGGGAAAATATAAAGTTCAGGGTTAGTAATTGAATAAAGAGAAAAAGATCTTCAGGTGGGTCGGTAGATTAAATGGACATTTGCATTATGGTTTTTATATTAAAATTAGCAGTATTCACTGCCCAGTTTCTTGTAAAAATTCTACTTATAACGACAACAACAAAATTTAATTACTTTATATTAAAATAAATCTATCACTGGGGTTAATCTTATAAAAAGTGTATGTCATGGATATAATAAGAAATAACTAATATGTATTATTACGGTTCAAAAAGACCACTTTTACCCGAGGTTAATGGTCAAACCAAACAGGCGCACTAGTGACCCATCGGATAAAATAACAACCTTTGGTTAGCTAGCAAGCTAATGGAGATATCCAAAGGCAACAGCAGCCAAACAATACCTGGTTCCGTCTGGGCAGAACACTCGGCTTTACATCAAACCCAGTCATTTTTTTGTCAAGCATGACTTTACAAGTAAACGAGACATCGCATTCACATAACCCGAATGTGGAGGTGCTAATCGAACCCAACCTGCAGCAATGACCCGTAAGAACGTGGCCACGCCTTACTTTTTCAGTGTTCTGTCTAGAAGGAAGTAAAATGGGCCCGCTGTGGCGTAGGCCGCCCTCCTTACTTACAGATACAGTGTTGGAGAACTACAGTCACCAGTACTATGACGTCACCGATTAGTGTGATAGACAATGACAATTGTGCTTACACTTGCTCATTATTTATGTGTTCTCCTTTGGATAGGTACCTTTTTTTTAAACAACATCTATCGTTTCAGGTTCGTCAACTATCCACGAAATTGCCGCCAGACGAAAGGGAGGCGGCCATTACAATTATAGAACACTCTGGTCCGTTGCCCGATGCAGTCGAGGCTTACATTCAAGATAGCAGCGTAGCGAGCATTCTGACGATGTATTACACCTTGCATGCAGCGAGACTAAAAGACAGAGTGGCATTGTTGAGAATCCTTACCGTTCTCTCAAACTGTAAGGACGACCGCGCTTTCGAGGATCCATTTTTGCATTCATTTGTAAGTGTACTCGATTACGGTCCGCCGTACGGAGTTGTTTGAATGTACAGGGTGTTTCATAATCTGTTACCAAGGTTTCAAGACGATCACTCAAAAATAAGTCCATATAAAAATGAAGACACATCATTCAAAAATCTTTTGATTCATATTTATTTAGAGGTAAAGTCATGGTACCGCAATTAATATTTTTTTTAGCATTGCGCCACTGGAATAAATAATTTTATTCTCGTATAAAAATAAAACGAGGGGAACAAAAAGTTCCATTTCTGATTTTAAAAAATAATCTTAATAAAAATCCTTGTGACGACAAATTAGCTTGCCAAGTTTTGTGACAATCAGCTAGAAGGTTTTTGAGTAATTAATTTAAAATAAATCCATTTTTTTATAACCTTTGCCACACCCTGTATATTACAAACGAAGCAAGTTGGTTTTGGTTATATGAAAAGGAAAGACTTATTCTTGAGGGATTAACGTGCCCTTATTTTTCTACTGAATTACAAAAAACACCCTGTATACACGGGGTGTTATGAAATGACATCATATAATTTAACGAATGAATCTCATGATCGAGGGACCAATGAAACAATATTCCTGACAACGGTTGCATTTAATAAGCTCAAATATGAAGAAGACTGTTTCAGGGCACTTATTATTAACACTAAATGGTACCCAATTGCTTGCTTTTCACAAAATCACAAATAGATTAGAATAGAATAAATTTATTAACTATTTTTATACAAAGTAAATTACAGTCAAAAAACTGTAAATGTAAAACAATTAAATATAAAAACTAATCAGAACTATTAAAACACTAAAAATAAGTACAATTAAGGAAAACACAACCAATAACAGGTACGAGATTCTTTTTTTTTTTTTTTTTCGAAAACAAAATTACTCTCAAGATATCCCTGAATCGAATAAAAACAATGGGCAAGCGATATTCTTTCATTTCTCTTTTAAATGTTTTATTCGAAAGAATTTTAACAGATGTGGGCAGTAAATATATTGCCCACATCTGTTAATAACACAGAGTACAATTTGTGACATTTTCTTTGTAAACAGCGATTTCCGTTGGTTGTTTATTGCCGCAAGGTCAATTGTTATAAACGAGAATCTTCTCAAAATTTTTTTCATAGTTGCTTCATAAATTGCTGTTATTGGCATAGGTACGCCCTTTAAATAAATCTCTAAAAGCTATATTGTGAGACTCCATCGTTCGCTAACCTCGAGTTGGTAGATATTTTCAAAATATGGGTTTCACCTTTGTTTGAAAGAAGATTACTTGATCCTCGCGGTACTCCATATCTGAGATCCTCAGTGTTTAACGAAAAACATTGGGACCTATTTTTCAGGTAACCATCGGGAAGATTCAGTCCTATAATTGACCTGATCGTGACTTAACAAACATTACCATTCCAAATAAAACACCTATGCTAATAGGACGTCATTGTCGTTATTCAAGAGTGGCAGACTCTATTTATGAATTTTAAGTTAAGAAGGAAAAACGCCCGCGAGAAAACAAGAAAGACAAATTTCCTTAATTGAAGGCAATCTTTTGATCGCCTCTTCCTCAACGTTTTAAAAAAATGTATTAAATTGTTCCGCAGAGAAAACCGGTTGTTTAGCACATGACGCATTTTTGTTACGCTCTCTATTTATTAGTCTCCGCCCTACTTTGGTTTATTTTTTACCTTCAGTAAATAACCTTCAGTACTATTTACAAATCTTCTGGATTCGCCAATCATCCTATTGGCTTCTTGGTGCCTTAACTGAAACTCTCTGGCATTCTACTCTGTACCCGCTTATATAAGGAGTCATAGTTAAGATTATTTGGTTGCTTTGAGATTTCTATAGATTCTCCGATTTCTCTTTGGTAGAAGAATTGATTACATGCAAGAATTTCAGTTTATCGAATAAGATTTGATGTCCGGTTTCGTGATCGTGTTCGGCAGCTGCTAATATTTGGCGTAGTCTTAAGGCTCCTTCATGTTGATATTTTCCGTCCAGTCTCTCCAATATATTCTTCGCTGCATATGCATGGAATGTTGTAAACTCCTGGTATCTCAAATGGAATTTTTTGTCTTTGAGACATCGAAGATTTTTTGACAAATGGTATTTCTGGTTTTAACGTTATATTTCTTAAGAACTTGTGATATGTGATCATTGATGTTTTGAATGTGGCAAGTGCGGGGTTTCTTTAGGACTCATTGTAGTGAAGTGTATTTTGTGAAGGAACGCTTAATATGGAATAATGTGGAAATTATTAGAGAAAAGACTGGATGTCAGGTGTTTTAATTCTAGCGTCAGGGATAGTTTTACGGCTCTGTAACCAAACCGATGAGTTTTGGGTCGGATGGTATGTTATGGTATGGTCTTAAGGTACCGGCTGTGTCCGTAACTGGCCCGCATTTAAATATAAACATGTGTATATAAACATAAACATGTGTATATATATATATATATATATATATATATATATATATATATATATATATATATATATATATAAACGTGTTTTTATCACTATATACTACCCCTCCCCTCCTCAAACACTGTTGAGGAGGTGAGGAGCTAAAGGGGGAGGGCTTGGACAATGTCTCGGATGGCTGATTCCCATTTTGGTGAAAGGTAGAGACCTGAGTCGCGTTTTTTTAGAGATTTTAAGTCTGATTTTCTATTGAGGAGAATATCGAAGAATGCAAAATATTATTTGTTTCTAATTCAATGATAAAACGTATGTTTGGATGTATATTGTTTAATGGCTGCGAAAATCTTCGAGTAATTCTCGACCCTAGGGCTGAATAACAAAAATATCATCATAGGTAGCGTTTCGATAATTTTGGTTTTAGATGGATGGTGTGTCTAAATATATTTGCGACGACTGGTAATAATGGAGAGCCCATAGCTGTCCCTGATATTTGTTCATAAATTTGACCGTTAATAGACATACAAGCATTAGTCAATTAAGATGAAAAAGTTGTTCTCTAATGGCGACGGTTTGAGATTCCTCTCTGTTTTCATTTTACGCGCCAAGTATCGGTCCAAAAGAAATAGACTACTTGTTTTCTGATACGTTAAGACTAGGTTTGTAATGGTATCGTTAAATTGTATATTTTTAAATACGTAACCGAAATTTTATTCGTTGGTCTGATTTGAATTGTCGACATAAATGATGTTATTGGTTAGTTTTGCACCATAACTATGTACAATAACCCAAATTTGTTTCGCAACGTAATTATTGAACATTAAAATAGCCATTTTTGTCCAATTTGAAACGAACAAAATATTATGGTGGTGTGTCACTTCAATAACACCCTGTATTTTAACTTAAATAAATTTCGTATGTGGCTTGCGCCATATTCTATGTTAAAATTTAGCCAGTGCCTCTCAATTAAAATGTCGTACTAATCGTAATAGGTATTTTCTTATAGGTGTATTTCCTCATTAACAATGGCGACGAATTCCAGGCCGAAGATTTTTGTACGGCACTGTTTGACGAATTTTTTTCGGCGGGACTCCACCGAGATAATGTAATTCGTCATTTACTGAAGCTCTTATGGTACGTCCATTACAAATTGCCGGCCAGCAGGCTTCACGCGCTACTGAAGTCGCTGCAGCCGACTCACCAGCACAGCGAAAAAGTGCACAACCTTTACAAGTTGTTGCAAGAGAAAATCACGTCCCAAGAGGGGACCAGCGTAAACACCGAAATGGATATCGATATTAATTCGCCATTGATGAATGTTCCCACACCAGCACCTTATCATCATCATATATAAAATTATAGAATAATTTACGCTGCTGAACAATTCAAAAAATAAAACCTGTCTTTTTATGAATACTTTGGACCAGCTAAACTTTTATTTAACAATATATACAGTAAGGGTGGATTCAAGATTCAAATTTTGGAATGTTAGCAGTTGGTCAAGGATCTAATGTAACTCCTCCATAGCTATAGATCTTTATCTAGATTCGTTTTCTTTTTTTTTTTCCTTTTTTCTCATTGTCTTGGTGGAATCTGCATTTAGATTTATAATGTTTAACAAAGGAATCCTTAGGTGACTTGTCTTACAATAATCTATATGCGACGTATGTTGGTGAAATATTCTGTAGTACCTCCAACCCTCAAAACTCGCTAGCCTCTGCATGCTACTCAAGCAAGCAACCAACTATTCCATAGGCTATTGTTTGTCTTACCATTATTAGGTGCACCCAAAGAGTAATTTTTGAGTTTAAATCACAGTTCTTTCCACACGTAGTTCAGTGCAATTGTTGCCCTAAGTATGATGCTTTGAATGTGTGATTTCCAAAAATGTAGCCTCTGCCCAGGACTGTAAGGACTCGCCTGTTAGTAAATGTCACTTTTTTCGTGCTTCTATAGCCGCTTAACTCTTCTTTGGCTCTCTCTAGAATTTGCTGAGACGAGATTGAACGCCCCTTCTAGATCTTGAAAGACGGGCGCAGCTATATCCTTGTCTTCTATGCTCTTGAAGAGTAGAATGTATAATAGAATTTGTTGAGGCGAAATGGAACGCCCATTCTATGTCTAGAAAGGTGGCCGCAGGTATCTGGCAGAACGGCTTCTACCATAAGGCGAAGAAAGGACGGACCGCAAACAATCGGGGGAGGGGGGGAGAGTAAATGAAGGTTGCTTTAAGGATTGTGTGTTCGTTTTGATTGATAAGCCGGATACTAGATATTTGTTTGTGGTCTGGCGATCGGTACAAGTATCTCTTATGACGTCAAAATATTTGTGTTAGTTAGAATTACATGTTACCATAGAACAGCCACAAATATTTTGTTCACATGAATCATTAAAAAAAAAAAGAAAATAAAATTTTACAGATATTTATTTTACTTATTCTTCATATTTGCAACCAGACATAAATAATATAAATAAATAAAAAAAGCTTTAAAACAAAAAATAATAACAATAAAATTGTTAAAGTTGTAGTTTAGCAACAGAGAAACAGGCAACTCTTAGAGTGGTAGTGGCAGGGAATTTAGTACAAGTAATTAAGTAAAAGTTTAATTAGGTAGAAACGAAAATTCAATCGTGTTAGCATACATTTTGTTTGATTAAGCATATTTAGATTATTATTTAGATTATCTCTACGGAGATTCAAATTGTGTTTAAAATCGCCTGAATCATTGTCAAATAATATTTGGATGCAGATTATATGGAACTGGTACTATCAACGCGGCATCATACAATTAGCCAACTATAAGGTTAAAAACCTCCCTAGAGAGTCTGAAATCCACAAATCCAAAATTTATATCGCGTTTTGCGTCAGTAGTAGTTTTTTTCTCGAGGATTCTGAACTCTGAAGTCGGGTGGATTTGAACTTAGAAAATGTAGCAGTTATAACGTTAATTTTTTATCTTTTTTATATTATCTATCTGAGTCTCATATTCAGCTAAACCCTCAAAATTTCGATTCTAATCCGGTAGTAATAAAAATTCCAGGCCTTGCAGTCTGCTATCGATAAATTTACTTAACCGCAACATTGCCACTATAAAGCGTTTTTTTTATTTAGTTTTTAAAGCAAATTCGTTGAACTCGCTCGTTTGATAAAGAAGGAATCTGTCTAACTATTTTACCGCCATTTTCGAATGATAAGTGGAACAAACACGAGATGTCACTTCTTCATAGCTGTACGACGGCATGTGGCCTTTTACAGTCTATTTTAGTTTGTTGTTTGTGTGCGGGTGAAAAGGCGGAACAATGCTCGTTAATTTAATACTGTTTGGTGTGATACCCGCAGTACTTGCCGAGTTGTATTTCTCACAATCTGGTTTTAATGACGTATTACGGGAGTATATCAAAACGGGCGCGCAGACAGAGTTCGAAACTTGCAATATCATTGTGACGGACGACGAATCCTGCGACGCACAGTTACACACGTACGCCATGTTTAGCCGCTGTTGTAAAAAAATAGTCAACGACTTGGCGAATACGAGATATCTGAGCGATAGCGAAACGACCACAACGATTACTTTGGTTGGAGATTTGGACCGTCTGGAATCGGTGTCGGAAAGTCTCGTCAACACCAGCTTCTTCCGCAACCGCGGACGTTTTAGATTTTTCATTTGCGGGCAATTGGAAGACGATTCGAGGATCGTCGACAGCTTACGGATGATTTGGAAAAGCAGAATATTAAAAGCCAGTTTGGTGTACTTCTACAACTCGCTAAGGGTAGCGTCTTACGACCCATTTTCGGAGGAGATACGAAACGCGAGCGCGCTGTCACCCGACCACCGCAAAAACGAATTCTTCCAAAACGTAAAAAACCTCCATGGACATAAAATAGAAGTGGCCGGGTATTACAACCCCGTGAATACTACGGACACGACGTTGGATACAGTTTTATACAAAACTCTAAATACAGTAATGAACGCTTCGCTTCATTTTACCATGCTTGATGCGAATGAAAGTTATACCAACGTTATAACAGCCCTGACGTCCGGAAATGCAGACATTTGTCCGCTTACCAAATCCATGGTATTATTTTCGCAGTACGAAGACGTGGTGGACTTCACGTTTCCGCATATGATGAACGATATCGTCGCGTTGGTGCCTAAACCTTCACCAATATCGAATTCGATCGGCCTTGCAAAGGTCACCTATAAGATGACCATCTTGGTCACTATTGCTCTCGTGGCGGTGGAGATTTTATACAAAAACTTGCGGCTACATCGGAGAGAATGTTCTTTTTCAATGGGATATTTCCTTTTCAGCATGTACGGAATGCCGTTTGTGAAATTTAAAAACAAATCTATACTGATCGCCAGTCTGATGATCTTCAACGTGATCGTTTCTGTTATGGTTACCGTTCAACTTTTGCAAGACTTCATCAAACCGCATTGGGAGCCGAGGATCGTAAATTGGGAGCAGCTGCAAAAGACGAAATTAGATATATACTCCCCGTACTTGTTTGATGAAATAAATTCCACGCACGAAGTCAGCGCTCCGATGCTAATCTTTAAACTGCTGCTGGAAGAAAAGTTAAACAGAGCATTCATTTTATCACACTACGTGGCAAATGCGGTCCTTCTGAGCATATGGAACCCCCACTTGGAAATTATGCCCGAGCATATAATTCCGAGCGTCGGCGTATACGTCGTGAGGAAAAACTCCCCCTACTTGGACACCATGAACCACGCAATTGCGTTATTGAAGGAATTGGGAGAGAAGACGTTGCAGCCTCCCGCTACCGAGAAAATTGCCGACAGGGAAGTTTTGACGTTTGAAAATTTTTGGGTAATCTTCCTCTGGTTGTTAATCATGTACTTCATTTGCATCGTCGTGTTGGTGATTGAATTTTTGATAAATTCATAGAGATGCTAACAGTAATTGACGTGTCTCAATCACTTTCTTTTTCTTCAGTCACAAAAAATTATTAATTCCGCACAGGTGTGAGTCTTCAACGTTAAAAATTATCGAACTTCTGTCTGTCAAAAGTGAAGATGATGGTGCGACCATTAGTTGGATCAAAATTTCGGACGAGAGAAGAAAGAAGTGGATCGGACACTGATGGATCAGATATATATCAGAAAGTATAGAAGAATGGAAATGGGGAGACCTGATGATGTTTTTGCATTAGTATCAACAGAACCAAACCCTGGATAGCCATCGCAAATCATAAAACAACTAAAGGCGTTGTTGGAAATGAATAACTCCAAGTATTTCCACCATCTATTATGATGTAATTGAAAGTCTAGTCTACAAGTTCAGCTAAAAAAAAAAAAAAGTTGTACACCCTTAATGGCTCTTGACCACAGTTTAAAATTTATGTGGGCGGAGAACTACTAAGTTTCTCCACATGCGATGATGAAATTAGCGGAATCGATTTTAGGAAAAGGATATCGGGAGTGAACGCAATTTCAGAAGTCACTCGATCACTTGCAGCAAGGGCCGGGGGCGGCGCATAATTCATATTTAATGAAGCACTTTTCGTTTTATACCAATTTTTTTGGAGGACACTTGTACAAAGTGCTTGGAGATATAGGAACAATCAATTACAAAATATTAAGAGTCAGCCAATAGAGCCGTCTACCTTTCGTATTCTACCCTAACTGATCTTTTGAAAAAAAATAACGTGAACGCTGTTGGAACCGTAAGGGACATAAACTTTTTCTTCTAATGGTGTAACATGATCGGCACAAAATCTGGGGAAGAAAAGAAAACTGACAGATTGATGTACTTTCTTAATACTCCCTTCTGTAAAATAGCTAATTATACACTGATCTAGCATGCAGACTGTTATTTAACCACCTCAGGTTCATTTCACACGGATCCGAGCCATTTCGGACATTTCCGGCACCGGTTTGGGAGGAATCGGATGTTTTCGGAATGTTACCGAATTTTGAAGTTTGTTAATTTTGACGGTCATGTCAGTGAAAGTATTCGTGTTGTTTTGCAAAAATATACCCAAAACTAACGATCGTAAAAAAAGTATACTATGCAACACGTTTGGTAAACATTTTTTTAAGTCATTCGTTTATTGAACACTCGCTCCGCTCGTGTCAAATAAACTCGTGAGTCAAATGCCGTTTACCACACTTATATGATATACTGTTCCTTAACATTCACTGTCTCATAAAATCGCACATAACTAAAGTGACCATTTATTTTTTAACTCAAAACGGGACAAAAAAAATAAGCTTCAGGTTAAACGTCTGGCGGGAAATTCAAATTTTAAACAGTATTTTTTTTAATTGTAGCCCAATTAGGCAAAACTTAGATAGGGTTTTCGATTTCGCGACAATAAAAAATATTTATTTACGTTACTCTAAATCGATATTTAAAAACTGATTAAAATTTAAATTTCCCGCCAGACCGTTACATTTAGCCTTCAGGCTAACAAAGAAAATAAACACAACTTTTTAATTTTCTTTATTTAGAATAAGTGTTACTTAATGGAATTATACACTATAATTATTTTCCTATTAATTAAGTAATTAAAAAAATAATAAGTAGTGAAAAAGACTCTTTCTACTGGAGCATTTGTTCCGGGTAGACATAAAATGTATTCAATTAAAATACAAAAATTTTCATGTTTAAGATTGTTAGAACGAAAGTGTTTGAATACTTCCACCCAACGAGTTTCTGTTGAGACTTTTAAATTACCCCATTCGGTAATTTTTTGGGTAGTTTGAAATTAATGTGAATTCGTCAAATAAATAAAGAAAGCAAGCCCACTGTTTCAAGTATTCACGAGTAGTTTTATAAAATTCTGTTGCCGTATTTTTCACCAAGTCTTCATTAATATTAGTGCCATTATCTTTTAGTTTCACAATTAAACTACGAACAGTAAATGGAAGAAACTGGTTGGTCTGTTTCTGTGCCAAATTGTCTTTGAGATGATTGATTTCTTTTGCCGATACAGTCTGACCCTCGACGTTCAATACAGCTTGATGAAAACTTGCTGACTGAGCGTGTAAAAAATTAAGCCATAATTCTGACGTGGGATCTTCAAAAAAGTTTTTCAACAATTTGAGACATTTTTCAATGCTCAAAAAATAGTCTTTTAACGGTTGGAACATTTTTAAAACTCTCTCCAAAGCAGGCATAAGCGCAAGCCACCTGGTTTTACTGTAACCAAGCATTTGGTGATGTTCTATTTCAGCTTCAGCGCAAAACTTCTTGAGAGCTTCCACTCGAACCGTGGAAATATAAAAAAATGAATATATTTTGACAATAATGCTTTCGTAGTCTAAAGGTAGATCATCTGCAGCGGATTTTATTGCATTGTGAATTATATGGGCTCCACATCCAATACCTATCAACGGTTTTTTCAGATATGATTGTAACTTGGCTAATACATTGTTAGTTCCTCGCCTAGCGACACCTCCAAAATTGACATTAGCATTGTCACCACAAAATGCCACGACTTTTTTTGTCAAATTATTATCTATTAATACTTGATGTAAATAATCTACAATGATGTCAGAAGTTTCACCTGGTTGCTCTTGGATGTCTAAAATTTTTACTGGCACACCTTCATAAGGTTGAGAAAAGCGCACTACGAAAGGATAAATTTTTTTGTTGCCGTGGTTTGAAGCGTCGTTTAAAATTGTTATACAATTGGACTTATTAAGATCATCTTTTAAACTGTCGATCGCTGAACGCCCTAAAACATTTACCACAATAGCTTCGGTTTTTGTACGCGCGCATGTGAATTTCGGATCAAAACATGTTTGAATTAATTGGAACGAAAACTGTGGATTTCTTGTATGTTGTGATAAGCCCAGACGCCTTCTGCAGCAGCAATATCCAAATCCTTTGAAGTTGGCGCGTTTGGGTTCTTGAAAAAGTTTAACATGAAGAACTGGAAGCAGCGGCACGATCGGCATTTTTATGTTTTTCTGACTTCAAATGCTGTTAAATATCACCAGCATCACTATGGGAAACACTAAACTTTGTGCCACACTTTTCGCATCTGACATCTGAAGCAGTATTAGTTTGCTTAATAAAAGGGTATTTTGCTTGTAAGTTGACATGAAATGAACACTTGCGTTTCGGCATAACTATAGGCAAAAATCCAAAACAATATAAAAAAATAATTATATAGCAGTTTATCACTAAACTCCTTCACAAACTTTACGTAAAAACAAAACAATAACGAGAAGTCTGAGTGCGTGCACGTGAATAGCGTAATAAACAATAAACAGGAACGAACAGCGTGCGCGGGCGGGCGGGGGAAGCACCGATCGACAGTGATGCGAATCGTCTGTGAATCCCCGCCCGCGCGTGTTTCGTGAGCTACCTGATTTAAATTTTCGCGCTGTTTCACAAAACGGGACAATTTTGCGTCCCGGAGCTTTGTTTGGGGACAACGGGACAGGTGACCTATAAAAGGGACAGTCCCGTTCAAAACGGGACGTATGGTCACTTTACGACATAACCCATCCAAACACAGTAGATAAATCGGTGATAGATGTGACATAATACAGAAAAGCGTTTTTGTTATGCTCCACAGCGCCCTCTCTTAATGATTTTTTCATTCAATCTAGAACAAATTGTAATAAAATTACTAATACAAAACCAAACTGTTGTTTATTATTATAATATTACTTTTGCCAGTAGACTCCTCCCCCTTTTTCTTACTTCCTATCCTAATCTCTTACAATTTAGGTAAAATTGAACTCTGTGAAGGTTCTATTTACAAAACTTCTGGACTCCTCCTGCGTCGGTTATTGATGAATCGAACTTGCTGACGTTTCATCAATCATCCTGTTGGCTTCTTCAGAGCTTAAATGAAACTTATTCGCATTCTAGTCTGTACCTGCTTATATATTGTTTCAGTCGGGGCGGAGCTAGACGAGGGGCATGAACATTGTCTCAGATTTCCATATTGGTGAAAGAAGTTTAAAAAGTCGTTCTAGTGTGTTTTGTGGTTTTAGGAAATTAGGAAAAAGGGCAGTACTAGAGATTCGAAAAAATATGTGTTTTTAATAACAATAATAATATTTATTCAGTAGACAATGATAATTATAAGTTAAAAATAATACGTTACATTCAAAGTACATCTACAAAAGTAAACAAATCGTAAAACCCTTAGTTGTGCGGAATCACATTTCATAAGTTTTGGTTAGTTTAATATATTAAACATTTTAAAACATCAAAAATTACATTGAATTTTTAAAAAAAGTAAATCTGGTTTTAACGTTTATTAGGAACGTTTCATGTGTGGTCAGTAATGTTTTGAATGTAATTAAGGACTGCAGTGGCGAGTGTGATTTTTGGAGATTGGGGTGCTTAGAAAGCTTAATATATCCAATGTCGAAATTATTAGAGAGAAGAGCAGATGTAAGATGTTTCAATTCAGTGATTTGGGCCGAGATAATTTTACGTCTCGGTAAACAAGACAATAACGGACGCACAAGATTTGTAAACAGAATGAAAAAATGATAACACGACATTTTGCTGGTATTTCAGTAATAAGTTCTTTTTTATTAATCTCCCTACAATGGCAATAACGACAACATATCCAAATTTTTGATTATTTAATTTGAATCGTGAACCGCCAACTTGATCAATGGTACCAGTTGCTTCCTCGATAATTTGGTATTATGAACCCTTAACAAGCATATATTATCGAACCCCGTCGGTATCTCTTCGAACTGAAAATTGTACGTAGTATCGCGTTCAAATTCCTTCAACAACCGAATTCTCATTGGATCTTCCGTGTCCTCGGAAAATATCGCTACGTCCCGTTTAACTACATCGTTCGCCTCCAAACCGACTAAAACTGCAAAAAACAAATCGTGTTCTCGGCAAAATTCGGCAACGGCCCCGTACGAATCGACTAGTTTCAAAAAATTTTCAACGAGCATCGGCAGTCCGGGAACCAAAACTCCCTCCACAACTTTTAGGTCTTTGTAAAGCAGTTGCTTTGGAGATAAATGCGAAACGTCGTTATGAACACGCCACAGCCTGTCGAAGAGATTTTTTCGACCTTCTGTAAATTCAAATTGTTTCTCCAGTATGTTGCATACTTGTAGATCTAGATCCTTAGCTTTTCCGTTTTCCGGTAACAGCGCAATAGTATCGAATACAATGGTTTCTAAAATGCAATAAATAAAGAGGTAGTGATGGAAAATATATAGCCATATGTTAGTATAGTGGCAGTACGCCCTCTGTTACAGATGGAGAAACGACCGGGTAAATGACATCTGCTTTTAAGTTATATGTTCGGTTATACGCTTTTATTAAGTTATTCTGTATTCTTTAGAAAAGTGTGCACAATAATAGATATTTGATACGGTATTCGCAGAAACATGTGAAGTTTACATGTTTTATAGTTACTTCTAATAAGTAAGTAAATAGGTTTATTTAGCACATGGCTTGTATTATACATACATCACTACAAACATTTATTTTATAAAATGGCACTAGGAAATAAAAATACATATAAATATAGTACAGTTAGTTTTTTAATATTTTAGCTCGGAAGAGCATTGAAGAGGCGAAAACCATTTCCAAACAAGTGTTTTTGCATATAAGTCGTTCGCTTAAACTCTACATTGAAATTGTTCTTTGACCTAACATCGTAACTATGCTTTTCACTTCTTTGGGTTAAGTTGGTTTGAAGATATGGCGGCATTAAAATATTTTTTTATTTTATGTACGGTATTCAGTATTAAATCTGTACTTATGCATATCCTCTGCACCACAGGCCAGTAAGAACTGCAACAATTAAAATAGGGAGATATTATTATATTATATATCAATAACCGACACCATTGATTTAACCCCTGACATATTATATAAAGAATTCCAATCTTTTTTTCCAATTTTCTTATATAAACAGTCAATATGAGCCGAAAACCTGAACTGACTTCACATGTATGGAAGTCAACATAAATATCATAACCATGCTCAAAAAAACATTGAAAAATGAATTTTCTCCCAACTACCATATACTTTGTCTTATCCGAGTTAGCTTGAGTTTATTTTTAAAAACCATGTATACAACCAAGACAGCACCGAGTTGATAACACCAACTACCAATAAGTTAAGTTGGGCATTTTTAAAATTTTTCTGTACACTATTGAACCCCTGTCATTCCTAATACAGCTTTATACCGAACCTTTCACTAGAGTTTTATTATGCCTATTACAAAGATAATTTATTATCCATTTTACGACACTTACATCTCCCACTTTTTAATCAAGTCATCAAGGCTGAGATCATCATATTTGTGTTTGTTTATAGGATGATACTTACATATAAGTTTATGTGTGTGAGATAACACCTAAACATTTAAAGTAGGGACTGTGTATGTAATGCTTGTTGTCATCCAAACTGTAATAAATGGTAATTTACTCTTTCCCAAGCATTTGTTTCTCTCGATTTTACTCATTGTGGATCTTTAACCATGGGTTCTTTGTCCAACGGAAAAAATGCTAACAGTTCCAGGCGTGCTAACTAGTGCAGAAGTGCCAGAGATTTAGTTATCCAAATAACGAAAATCACTCATCTAGGGGCACGGATCTCAGCTTCACGCAAAGACAATTCTAGTGTAAACGTCATATTTGGTTTTGGCATTGTTTTTTAAACCGATATGGTAGATAAATAAGAAGTTCTACCGTTTTTCTAACCAAAACTAACAAACACATTGTTCTTTGCAAATCAGGTCCTAAACAGGTAATGATTGAAAAACACAGTAGAAAGTAATATCAAAATAGATATCGTCGGATCCTAAGGTATGCAACCTGACTCATTGTTTATGGTATTTATTCAATATTTTAATATTTTATATTTAGGTGAAACAACCCAGCAAGAAGTTATAAAAATCATATCTGCAGGATATAAGTGTAAGAGATCTTATTGTTGTCTGTGAACCGGTACTACCAACATTAACTATGTCAATCAACCAAATATTTGTAAGAGTATATCCTGAAAGTTTAAAAATGGGTAAAGTACACCCGTATTCTAATCAGGTGATCAAAATAATATGCAATTGGATTTGAGAAGTTTCAGTAGTACTGTTTGCGCTGTGATAGTTTTTGTAAATTGTCTAACTTCTTTTTTTTTGTAGTGGATCTAATTTAGAGACTCTCAAGCGAACTGATAATGAGCATTAGTATAGGTAATCTGAATTGTTGTTGCATCGTGGGTGGACACCTTGATTGAAAATAAACGCAAAAAACAGTGTATAAAGTATTCCAACAAAAAGTGCAAAATAACTTTCAGATATAATTGACAAAATTCAAATGTGCCAGGTTTATTCTATAAAATACTTAGACCTTATTCTTGATGGCTTGTTAATTGTACTTACAATTTATTAAGAAAATCATACCTTTCTTACGAGACAGTACAAGTGTACAAGACTCTCGAATAAGACAAATGATTTGATAAATATCTGGGACACTTGCGGTAGTGTTACCTCACTTCCTCCCTGTGTAAACCTGAACAGTTCCTAAATAATAAAAATGTAATTTTAACCAACGTGACAGGATTGAGGTGGTCCAATAAAAAAAGCCTGTTAATGAATATTTTGTTACGTTGGTATTCTTCAACATTGAATGAAAGCTGTATATTCTGTGATTCTGTGTTACCACCAATTCTGCTGTATTGAAGAGGCAATCAAACTGCAGTTTTAAGTTTTAGTCTTCACTAACATTTTGTTCTACAACAGGTTATTTTACTTGAAACAGTATTTATTGTGCAATTCGGATTCTGGGGAACGCTTATTAAACATGGAAACGTCAGAAGTAGAGTAGGAATCCACTTGCCAGGCAAATGCAGAGCATTATCATAGTAAACCAGTTCAGACAGAAGTAACAAGAATGCTTTCGAAAAATCGTCACTGGCGGGCGCGTTGGATCACTATGGAACTTTCGCAAAATCGATGTAATTTAATTGTGCATGCACCCTGTATAAAATGTTCTTCACATCTCGTCGAACTTCAAAATTACAGCAAACATCGGTAAATATTAATATTTGTACAAATAATAGCGTTATCGAATGATATTTTTTCAAATACCTCGCGCCTTGTATAATTGACGAAACCAGAAACTTTCACGACACGGTTTGCGATACTGTTCCAATAAAATTATCCCATCTTTAACTGTTTTTCATTTATCGCCAATAATTTACCCACAAAAACGGAAATTTTTACAATCATTGTTCGAAGTAGACGTTATAGCTCTGAATTTTCCACGCATCCTGGTTCAAGAATTTTTTGAAAATAGTAAATGGTTTTCGAAAAAATAAGTTTTTTCTGAAACCATGCAGTGCGCCTTAATAATCAATGAAGTCATCGCGTCTTGACAGCCCCCGAAATAACGATTTCAATATGTATTTTTTCAAATATCCCGAGCAGCGTATGTGATAGACGAAACCGCAAATACAAAAATTGAAGCCTTGATGCGGCCTATGACACCGTTTGAACCAATTAGCCATATTTTTTACGACTTTTGATTTGTGGCTAATAATTTACGCTGTAAAAGAACAATCTTTTAGATTTTTGCCTATAATTTGAAAACCCTGTATATAATCGAAAAAATGCCCGAAATAAATGTTATTGCACTGGATCTTCTGCGTCTGCCGGTTAACGAATTTAGCCAATCGGATGAACGATTATGGAGGAAAGCATATTTTTGTGGAAGCTAAAATTACAAAAAAAAAATTAAAACATTTTTAAAAAATACTTGGTAATATTCGAGTGCTGCAATTTTTACTGTTTAAATGTGGACTTTTACTTCTCTGCTAAATTTGAAGTTGATATCTGCAAATGTAGGACAGTATTTCTCATTTAGCACGGAATATCGGGAACACCCTATACAATAGGCGAAAACCTTAAATACAAAAGTTTTTGCTGTCTGTGCGGGCTATATCGCAATATAAAAGAAAGTGATATCTGAGTCATAGTCTTTCAGTTACAACCGATTTTCAATAATAGGGGGACAAATGTTTCAGTTTTCTTGAATTTGCGCCGCACCCTGTATATTTTTGAAAAATTTTTAAGAATAAAGTTTAAAGTTTATCTTTTGCTTCTTCTGGTTCAAGAATTTTTTTGGTCTCTTAAACACAGTTTTTGAAAAATCTTGTTTTTTGTAGACCCTTGCACATGCGATTTTTTATTTTTTTAGAATACTTTCCAAAAAATTCGATTTTATCGATTTTCAAAAGTAACCAGAAGCATAGTGTTTCAGTTTTTATTTTTAACGCGATGCAAAAGAAAAGTTAAAAAGTACCTTAGATTTAGTAACATGGAAAGTGTGTAGTACTGATAGCAGTGAATTAGTGCAGAACAGTTTAAATGTGCTCTCTACCCTCTACAAATTTTTGGAAAAGTGAAATGGTGTATATTTTTTTAAATTTTTATCCATATAGGAATTGTTCCTTCATACTTACGGTACAGCATATAAGCCAAGGGTTTCGTTAGAATGCTTCTGTCCTTTTTTAAAATCTCATCTGCTACTAAAGTACAACAGGAACCAACCTGCTCTATTCTCAATTGAACTTTCATTGGATCCCATTTGTTAGTGGTATCAATGGGTCTATGGTCTACAATTCTTTTCACATGTTTAAATAAAGTTTGGTCTTGTTTTGACAAGATATGATGATCTACTAGTGTTACATCACAGTCTTTTGGCAAGGTAAGTAATTTTTCTAAATCAATGTTGTCCCTAAAATAAGGTTTTTAGTCTAATCGTCAAAGAAACTATATAGCAAGTTATGTTCAACTATGTGGGATTATTAAAAATAAAAATCACCTCTTATTAAATTATAGTGTATAAAAAGACTCAAGTTTCCTACTATAATATTCCAATAAAATACTTTGGGGGATATTAGGTGGAATCTAAATTCTATGAATTGAAAAAAACCGCGTAATACTGGTTGGCACCTACATGTTTTTACCTGAACAGTAAAATGGAAAGATCAATACCGGCCTCTTTCAGCACGAGACAGTTTTCATTTCGGAGAGAAAATTTTTGCCGCGAAACGTTCAGAATAGGAAGTACTAGAGTGCCTTCGGCGGAGCGTGTTTCGAAAAGAAAATATCCATACAATAAAGCGGATACAGTGGAATCCAAATCACAAGATTCATTCCCAAGAACCAGACGTACTCGTCGAGACTTTAGATCTGATCGGTCCTAAAACAAGCCGCCGAATTACACCCATCGTTTGACCCATTATGATTTTTAACCAGTGAGTTTTTTGAAGATTTCAAAAAACTTATAAATTTATCCATTAGTTAGGTTAGCACTGCAGAACAATTATTTTCAGAGACAAGCGTCGTTCTCTGCTGCTATCACAGAATGTCGAAATTTTCACTTCTTCCTTTCGTTTTGGCAAGGTTCTGAATTGAATTCAATTTTTTTTTTCAGAACCTAACTTTAAAATAGACTATCCGCGGAATGCCATAGAATAAGATTTAGAATAGAACATTAGAGAATTCCCCCCTAATGCGGATAATCTGCAAGAAGTTGTAAAAAGAACTAGAACATTTAGACAAAAGTGGTTTAGGTTCAATTATACTTTTAAAAAATTAAGTATTTTGTTATATGTTGTTTTTCATATACATTTCATATAATTTTGATTTCCAAGCAACTTTCTAAAAATATTTCGCATATAAGGGCGATTTTATATCGGTGTACTCTCCTCTGATGTGGTCAATGTTACTCAAGTTACCGCGACAATTTAAAATAAAATAAGTCGGCATTAACAACATTATCAACAATAATATTGACATGTTAACAAACATAAGAAACAAGTTAGACAATGTTTTATTACCTGTTAAAGAAATGGTTTATGTTCCAGATTTGTCAGTAAACTTAGACTCTGTAGTTAACAAAGGGTGTGCAGTATTATTTACAAAGGTAATTCAAATTATGAAGCAATAGCATCACCCGATAGGGATTTATTTAAGTTAGACGTGAAATCTGAGCACATCTAGCAAATATATTGTTATGGCACCATAGGTTGGGGCATATAAATTTTTGTAACTTGAATAAATTGACAAATGGTATGGCATCAGACATAAATTTTAAAAAAGAACTACTTGAGTTGGTGCATTCCGATCTATGTGTATTAAATTGGAGGCTCACAATGGGAGCGATTTTTGATCCAAAGTTGTCATGGAAGTCACTAACTATAAAAATGATGCAGAAAACCTTAGGCGGGTTGAATATGATGCGATTTATAAGTAGAATCTGGTGAAGGACACATCCCTCTACCCTTCTAACCTTTTACAAAGCTTATGTCAGACCACATTTCGATTATGGAGCCGATTTTTTGGGTGGTAGTTCAAAAAAGACCATTGCTCAATTAAACAGAATTGGAACACAGAAGATATATAAGAAAGCTGCCAGTTTAGCAGGCAGTAAGAAGAGTGAGACTTGGACTCCTAATTTTCATTTGGTTTTTACACATGTTTCAAAGGATAAAGGCCGTGTAGGTTTTGGTGTTTACAATTACAATACGAACCTCAAAATGGGACAAGGAGACGGTCAAGCTTTTGAACGGATTGAATTCAATGACATCAACAAGGCAGTAATCCTTTCACACTCCGAAAGTGCCCTTGAAGATACCAATAAAACTGGGATGGATGCAAAGTCTAACTACTTAACTTTGGAGGTTAAAAATAAACTAATTACCTTAATAACAACTCAAAATATCTGGATATCAAGCCACTGTGGTATAAAAGAGAACGATTTTGCCGACCAGATTGCCAATGCTGCTCGCTTAGAGCCACAGGAGAATGGAAAATTGAGTTTTAGGGAGTTTTTCCCTGAATTAAAGTTATGCTTTTGTTTTTACATTTTCTGATTCTTTGGTCCATTTTTTTTTCTGTTTAGCCGTCCAGTCGGATGATAGTATTATCCCTCTCTCTCTTTACAGAGGCATTCTTCATGGATAGTTTCTTGTACACGTACTACCGTGTAACACGTAATAGATTATTCCCGTTTCCTGGGTTTCATCGCTCTTTGAACCTGAACCGCTCTCTTCCTAGACGGAAATCGTAAATATAATCATTTTTCACACAGTTTTTCTTAGTTTAAAATTTTACTCATGTCGGATGCTGTAAATCATTTTCGCAATATAATGTTTAGGTGTTGGTTAAACCGCGGATTACTGTCGATTATTATTCCGAATTTTTTTGTCTCATCAACTAAACCAATTTTCAATAGAGCTTTTAACATTGCTTTTAAGAAAATCCAGTTCATTCTTGCTCTGTTGTTGCTTGTTCTTGTTCTTTCTTGTTTTCTCTTTGTTTTCTTCAAGTTGTATTTTGGAAAAAGATCACTTAGTGTTTGTGTTTCGTAATCCTGGTTTGTGGATCTTGGGGAGTCCGTAGAGTCGAAGAATTTTAACGTCAGCAAGTTCGACTCAGCAAAAACCGACGCGAGGGGAATCCAGAAGTTTTGTAAAAAGTGCCGAAGGAGAAAATAGAAATGAAAACCGAAATAATATCTCTTGTACTTGGAAAGGGAAAACGTCTATTTTTTAATGTTTAGGTAGCGGGCAGAGTTTTACAACTGATCTGCGGAGTTGTCCGTTTTGCAACTTTAATGGCCACTTTTGATGAGGGCTAGGTCGCTTGGTGCTATTTCGAAGACGGGATTGTTCCACTTCATGCGCTCTTGCAAGGTGTGGAGGTATTCTAAGGAGTAACTTTTATAAAAATCTGCAGTACTTTGTAGTAGTTGAGAAAGGTATAAGTTTTGAAATTCGATAGAGAGGCACAGAAAACATAATAGAAGGCGTGTAAGTCTTTGGACGTTCTCTGAAACACTATGCAGCTAGATGGAGTTTTTTTGATAGCTCTTCTATGTCAAACGTATTAAGTGTGAACTTGGAAGCAACAGGGGTGTTTTTCGAAAAATGGGAGGTCTAGTGCGACCTCGATACAGATCGAGATCTAGAAAGCGATACATTGAACATGCTTGATAAGCAAGTTCAGAGCCCCTTGTAACTTCGTCAAGAGTCGGTTTGCCATATATTTTTGATGTGCATTTTTAATATTTGTAAAGACCACAGTGCTTTTGGAGCAAATCATCCAAAAAGTGAACTTCGACGGTTTTATTTTATTCACTAGAACGGATTCTTTTTCGTTGAGTCGTTCGTCGTTCCACCACATGCTGTAGTTTAATAACTCTGTGAGCTCTAGACCTCGAGAAGCAGCTTCTGCTGGATTTAAGGCGGACGGAATGTATCTCCAAGAAGTAAAGGCAAGAGTATCTTGGATGTGACTTACTCTGTTTACCACGAAAGCTAAGACGACTTGAAAAAAAACTTTTGAAAGTTAAGGCAGTTCTGATTTCTACTCTATTCAGGGATCGGATATTGAAAGTGTGTTGCATAATATATTTCGCTGAGAGGATGACGACACGGGAATCCCAAGGGATCGAAAAGTTTTCTTAGATCCGAAAGTATTGATCGTATAGTATATATGGTTTCAGTTGTCCCGCACTGCTAGAAGAAATAATCGTACTACGGTTGCCATTGTAATCCCAATGTGTTTAGAAAATTTGGTTCTTCCTTGTCAAACGTCAATTACTTGCCCGTTTTCGTAGTTCGAAAATTCCGAGTTTGAGTAACTCGATCAGTTCCGTTTGAAGGAGCTAACACGGAAGGGCTTATCATGAATATAAGTCTGAGCCTTATCTACCCCCCATCCAAACATTCTGCGAAAACAGCCAATAATTTGACAACGTAAAACCACGGTGTCGAATAAAGATTTCTCCCCATTTTGAAAAATACACATCCGGATTAACACAACAACTTAAGGTGTTTGTTAAAGTGTTTATTTTTTAAGTTTATCTAAACCATATCCAAACATTTTTCTAAAACAGTCAACAAGCTGGCAACATCGCAATTAAAATTGACATCCAATCACAATATCATAAATAACGATCTAGAAATCATTAACAGGGTGTCCCTAGAACATTCACTTGGTAGGTCTGTGGATGTCGATCGATTATCTCAACTAGTTGAAATAAGAACATCGAGATGTGTTCATTCCTCTGAAAACGGAGGCAAAAAACCTTGTTCTTATGCTCGACAGTAAGCTAAGATTTAATGGTCACGTTATACATTAAAAAATTCATTGCTCACTTAAAATGCTTATATGGTTCTAAAAATATTTTAAATCAATCTTTCGCACGGACGTTCGCAATTTAAATTTAAGATTTAACGGCCTGCTCACGTGTCTACGTCACATCTCTGCAATGTTTGAAAGATCCTGTACCTATGACATGGCTAAAAGATATAATGCATTGCATCAGTCTCTTAAATTGTTAAACACCTGCGTGAAGTATTATTATCAATTAATATTTATGAAATATCTATTGTGAACTATTTCCAAAGTTTTAGATCCTCTATTTGCACAGATCCTACTAGGTATTTATTTATTTATTTTTTTAATGCGTACGTTTCCTGTCTAGCGCTGCAACCTGGAGGCTCAAAATATCTTATTTTGTTCATCTGAACCGTGTCCTTTTCATTTTTAATTAATACGTGAATATAATTATTATTATTATTATTATTATTATTATTATATAACGATGTCTCCAAGGGTTTATTTGTAAATTTATATAAACCATATCCAAGTAAGTAACATTGTCCGAAAACGGGAATTGTTTTTGAACACAATCAATGAAAACACAAATAATAATGCCAGAATTTAATGTGAATTTGAAACGATTCGACAAATTTTAATCCACACATTGATCCAGCAAGCATCTGGTGGTCGCGAGCCTCTGATACCATTTACCGGAACTCTTAAACGTTCTGGTTCTATTCGGGCTGTTAAAATCGACTTGGAGGATTCCGAATTTTTCACTGAAATCGCGTCGGATAATATTAGATTAATACAAAATGGCAATCGGTTAAATTGAATCACTTACGTGTAACCCAGATGCCATTCGAAATTGTCCATGAAACTCCACGTCGTGTAGCCCACTACGTTTATACCGTCCTCCAAAATGGCGTCCAACATGTTACTCAGGTAGCTCTGAAATTTGGAGATTATTTTCGTGTTCAAATCAATTTTGATAAAGACACGGTGTTGTCGAGACAATTGTCATGTCAAAATATATAATTTCCTGAAAATCTGAACTCTTAGTTTTTATTTATTTTGATAAATGGATTTTCATTTTCACTAACTTGCACTAAAATTTAGATCACTTACAATTATATACCGGGTGGCAACGAAAGTATTGTGCACAGCAGCTGACATAGGGCTGAACCTTGCGAACATTTGTGGCATAAAAACAATTGAATGTCGTTTCCGATTTCACCGGAAATAACCTCAACTTTTGGTATTCTAAATGAAATACCCCGTAAATTCTTAACTTTTTGAATTCGGCAAACCACAACTGAACTAGCCACGGAAAATAAAACAAACTGCGTGAAATTTTTTGATTTTAGGTTAGCTTTATATAAATTTAAATAAATACGAGGGTGGTATAAATTTTTTTTTTTACTTTAATGTTCAACACAATCTTCATCAACACTGATACATATCTAATTACGGTGTTCTAATTTGATTATATCAGTTTTAAACGTAGATTCGTGAAGCACCTCAAAATACTGATTTACAGCTTCGACAACTTCTTCCTTGCTCTTAAATCTTTTACCGCCAAGTCACTTTTTGAAGTTTGGAAACAGGTAATAGTCGCCGGGGCTTATGTCTGGAGAGTAAGGGGGTTGCAGCATGAATTCAAACTTCAATTCGTGGATTTTGGTTACAGTCAACGAATGAGCTGGTGCATTATCGGGATGATGAGATACATTATTATACTTTCTTAAGTTATATATAAATGGCATACAGATATTTTGGACTCTTTGTATTTTGTTATTGGTGTCTATGTCGAAACAGAAAGCGTAAACATAATCAAGCATTTTCTTCGAGATTAGCAAACCAGGATTATCCTATTAACCAATTGTCAGCACCGTTGGTTCTCCAACATATTCATTAGCAAAATATCTAGTTTATATATTAAAACCCTTGACAGGGACAACTGATTGAATTCCTTTCACTTCTTGAAACAGTTAAAAAATGATAGCCTGGTTAGTCTCAACTGTTCCTCTATCCAACCATTCAACTCTCAACACGGAACATATGTGTTTGAAAGTCAACAACTTTTTCAAATATTTGATACTATACAAAGTTACCCTTTTGTGAAAAACTAAATCCGAAAAAATTATAAAAATTGAAAAAAAAAGGCATTTAACGATGTTTAATGTCAGTTTTTGATCATCCTGTATTTGCTTATTGGTGTGATGTATTAGAAATACGATGTTACTTGATTCAAAGTGTGAAGCGCCAAATAAATTGCAATGAATTTAGAATTAAATAAGTATAAGATACGATATTACTTCTAACAACAAAAAGGTTTACTAACCTGCAAATAAGTCAATCGACCTTGATCGTCCAGTTGTCCGTTATCTGACCAACCATTCTCTGTCACAAATATTTCCGACGGGTGGTACTTGTTGTTTACCCAATTCAAAAGTTTCCTCATGCCTGACGGATAAGAGGTCAGCCAATCGGATACCGACTTTGGCCAATCTGGGGAGACGTAGTTGTTCGTATTCTTATCCAAACTGTAGTCGGGGATCGATATAGGGCTGTCGTCCTGCCACTGAACTAGGCTAGCGGTATACCTATTAAAAAAAAACAACATGAGAACTTTAGGATCGACTTTATCCGCGTACCGTTCATTTGTTTCCCGAAGGGTAGAAGAACGGATTGTTCTACACTAGTCGATTCTAAATCAATGTTCAGTTCCATTTCCATCGGAATCTAAGGTGGTCCTAAAAAGTGCAGAACCGATGATGCTATAATTAATCGAATGAAAAGTTGCCAGTGTCAAGAACAATGGACTGAAGAATTCTTTTTTGCACAATGGTTGGCTGTGGAAAGAATCCATTTCAGTGATAAAATAATTCAATATGCTGTGCTATGACTGCTATGCTGCATCCACTGACAGGACAAATAAGAAAACACAAAATCCAAAAGTTTACAGCAAATTTGAAGACACAGCAGCGACTGTTCCATAAAGAAAGAGGACAAGATGATGATGCCGTGAAAGCTAGTTTCATAGTTGGTTCCAAATGGGCCATGTCATTAAAACCGTCTCCGAAAGAGCGTATGTCAGAGTGTTGGTCCTGAAAGGAAAAATGAATTTTCGAAATTTTCATTGAAAATGCAACCGAATTAAATGTACAAAAAGATGATTTGATAGTCCTCCATTGCACCAACAGAACTTGTGTTTTAAATCTAGAACATTATGAACGTGGTTTTTGGATGATCACTCATTATCTAAGTGTGATTGGTCGTGGAGTGTGACGAAATGGCTGGACTTGGTTAGTTCATCATCATCACTTTCCATAGCATTTGACGAGAGCACCGATTTGTCCAAAACAACTCAGTTGATCATTGATTTCTTGCTTTACTGCCGCTAAAAGGATCCACTGCATGAAAGGACATTGTAAATAAATTTCAATAGCTATTCGGTGAAAATTAGTTGGAATACGCGCAGATGGTGGGGAATTAAATGTCCAAAAAGATGATTTCGTAGTTCTTTAATACATTATTCACCAACAGAATTTGTGTTCTAAGACCATTTGTCTTCAGATTGTGCTTTTTAGTTGATTACCTAAATTTAAGGACCTAATAATAATAATACAGGTACAGATGATTCCATACCAAACCCTAACAAACTATTTTGAAGATACTTACATGTTGAGGCCGAAATAGTCGAAAGTTCCGTTGACAAGGTCTATTTGTTCCGGAGTAAATTCGGGCAGCCGGGAGAATGGATAACCTTCCAGTGAACTTCGATTTGCTATCCTGTCAATCATTTCCTGAGGCCAATTACCCCTGTAAACCGGGTTCGCGTACCATCCAAGCTGTAATATAGATTTCCATCAAAATTCTTGACAATTTTATAAGAGAATATATAGTATAAATGGCCACGACTTGCATAAACGTGGAGAGCCACCAACCAAAAAAGTGTATTTGCTGTCGGACAATTGCACAAACTGTTAATAACTAGTTCAAGTTTTAAAAACCAAATCGTACGATTATTTCGTAGACGAGGTCATAGAAAAATCCGATAATATACGATCTTGTCACTACAATTTTCATTATATAGTTGTTGCAAGTTAACTGATAGCAAATCTTGTAATAAGAGTAATTGCTCACGGTCATAAACTAACACAGATTTTTTACAAAAATTTGAGATTTAGACAAACTTAACCCATTAATGCCCAAGCTATTGTGTGTTTGCTTGTACTGATTCATTTATTAATTATTTGTTTGTGATTCTTTTCTAGTTTTTACATCTCTATATTGAAGACCCTTGTATTGTATTTGTATTATAACATTGTATTCAGTTCAATTCATTTCATGGTTTCAGAAAAGTATTTCCATAAAGAGAAATTCTGTACAACTACAAGGGACGGTTAGAACAAATACTTTACAGCTGTGTGAGTACCTGAAATCATGAAATGAAATTCGATTTGAAACCGCCAAAATTCCTACAAAATCCAAAAACCTGAACATTGCATTGGAAACTATTCCATTCATAGATATTTTAAAATTAAAATACCTAACATCTGCTCTTCTCTCACACAATACACTACACGACAAAGAAAAAGACAATGAGTCCGCTTGCCACTGTGGCCCTTCTTTACATTTAAAAGATCACTGACCACATGTCAAAAATCAAAATCAGATTTACCACGTGACCAAAAAACTCTCAACATATTTGATCCACCAATGACAAAATTTCGTTTGAGACACCAATGCATATGCGGCAAAGAATAAATATGGGAAACAGGCAGAACACTATCAACAATCCAGGTCTATCTTTTAGCTCCGCCCCCCTCAAACAGTACGTAGGCAGGCACAGAGTAGAATGCAAACCAGTTTCTGTTATACTCACAAGAAGCCAACAGAATGCTTGGCGATCATTGCAAACTGACATTCGAAGGAGATTTTTGGCATTGTTCATTTACAGTGCCCATTTTCAACTGCATTTATATCAAACTACAGGCCTAATGTCCATATTTAGATTCCAGTGGTGTTGAACCAGTTCTTCAACTGGGGTAACAAATCTAATCTTGCAGCACGGGGTAGTCAAGCAACTGGATTTCACAGTTAAGATGAATATTTTGAACCCTTTGGTTCTCCACAGATGAAGCCACAATGTTAAGATTAGCAATAAAATTTAAATTTTATAATTTGTTACGATTATAACATGAAAAAAAATAACTATTAAAAAAAAACTTGAAAAACACTAAATAAAAAGTAATGGCTTCCAAAAATAATAAATCTAGAGATATATAATTTACCATTTAGCGCTCGTCTGTATCTACAGATGATGATCTGGCAGAAATTTTGGACCCCCGAAGAAAGTTTGTTGTCATCTCGTCAACCAATTCGCGAACAAACTTTAAATATATCATTGGTTTTTTGTTTTGGTGCCGTTGTGAAATTTTATAAAATAAATGTGCATTCACACGCCTCACTAAATCTTCCGATGTCAAGCTTCCGTAGGCAAGATTTAATAAACATATCCAGTGTTAGCATCCGCCAATACATCAATTCTTGTCCCCCATTTCGTAATCCAATTGCTTTTCCAAATAATCTAAATAGTGACTGACTTTCTGAGTTGGAGTCCTAAGAGTTTGGTCATGTGGATCCTTTTCATGAAAGTGGAGCATCCAAAAACTTTGTAAAAATCGTTCTTTTCTAAATATGCTACTAAAAAAGGGTATTTCGGCGTTAAACTGTTGTGACCAATAACTCTCGGATATTAGATAAGGCTGTTGGACCCATATTTAGGACAACCCCAATAAATGCGGTAAATTCTTCTACTGTAGTATCTACCCACGTGTGTCACGTTTTGACAACCTCTTCTGTGCTATTTTATACCGAACGTAGTTATTTATTTGTTCCACTATTTTTATTGTTATTGTTACCATTTTATTCCTAGAAGTAAATAGAATCGTGTGATCGTATTCTCTGTCTTTCAGTAATTATAATATCACTACCACTATTAGAGTCACTTTCGTCACTAATATTATCATCTATCATTTGCACGCTCGTCAATATATAATTCATCGTCACTACTTTGCAATTCATTTCCAATTTCATTTTGTAAAATTATCTTGGGCATTTGAATTTTTTTTCGAAATATACACTTAACTATAAGTAAACTACAGAACAAGTTAGATTTTTCCATTTACCATAAACCCTCACACACGGACACAATAATACATACTAACTCAAATCACCCTTACACACACAAAATGTCTGCCTTTTATGTTTTTACCGTGTCCAGAAGGTTCAAACTCCTGTCTAAGGCTAATTTATGGGGTAAGGAGGAGAGATCATATCTCCTCGTACCTGGCTGCGTCGGGTTGAGTTCTCTTTATTTCAACATTCTTAAAACAGAAAAATTACTCTTAACATATCAATACACAATTTGAATCTGCGTGGAAGACACCGACTAGTTATACCCCGTCACCGCAAAGAATTATTTAAAAGATCATATTCCTATAATATAGCCATTTGCATTAACTCTATTACTAATTTTAATGTTAATCAGTCCAATTCAACGTTTAGGAATAATTTAAAAAAGCAGTTGTTACGTACGCGCTAATATTAAGCTCTTCTACAAAACATGTGCCCCTTTCCTTTCCTTTCCTTCCCCCTCCATCTCTTCTCTTTTCTTTTCTTTAGAATTATGTGTATCTACGCTTGGCGCTTTCAAATAAATTCTATGAAATTTTTTATTATTATATTTCCGCTGTTAAATTGAGGCCTGAACAGTATCTAGAACTTCTAGATGGCTGCCCTAACAAGGCCTATTGTTGACCATTATTTCACTTATTTAACTTTGGCTATGTAATTATTTCTATGTAACTTTGATGGTTATAACAATAAATGTGTTATTATTATTATTATTATTAAATATTATAAAACAAATAGCTTTTAACAATGGCTACGATCCCTCTTTGATGGATAAGATTACAACTAAAAAGTAATTTCAAATAACTCTGAATACTATCTATCCCATTATAAACACCGAAAACAAAATTAATTAAAAACTGTGAAAATCTGAACATTTTTTGTTCTGATTTAATTTGTAGTATAACTTTTTATAATTTAGTTTCCGTATAATTCTGATATAACATTTTATAAATTTAAGGGTGTAAGGGTGAACACTTTATAAGCCCTTGTGTAGGAAATGAGATATTCAACTGCTTTTGGGAAACGTATATTTAAGCAACTCACGTTAAACTGAAGATCCCTTTCCGCCGCTTCCGCATCGAGAGCACTGTCTGAGGCAGGTTCGGCCCACGTACAATCCAATACTAAGCTAATTTTTCCTAAAAAAAAAACTAAATAATGGCAATCATCTTTTTTTACGAGTTTTGAATCTCAACCATGGTTTCTTATCTACGTACAGTCGATACTCTATATGTAGCCAAATTGAAGGGACAATTTTTTTTCGTTACAAGGAATTTTCGTTATAAAAGAGTTATAGGCACCCGAAAAATAACAATACGCACATGTGTTTGTAATATTTAAATATTTTATATACATATTTTAACATCTTCGGTCATTTTCTTTTGAAATTTTTTAATATGCCCAATGCGCATCTCGTACTTGGGCGTATATTTTCACCATTTTTTTTGAGAGGGGCATCTTCCCCATGATACATAAAAAAATGTCTAGCAGCTTAACCGAATATAGGGCTTGTTGAATGATTGGTGGTTTTGTCAGATCGACTTCTTCATCTTCTTCTTCCTCTTGGTGCTCTTCCTCACCCTTTCTTGCTTGTCTGTCAAGTCTGCTGTTGTGGGCAAATCCTGATCTATCTACATAAAATCTTCCGACCCCTCACTTGTAAATGTAATTGTTGTTTGAAGCTGCTTTATCAACTCGCTTAGTGGCTGATCGTCTTCCAAGTCCTGTTTGCATTCTGTTTCGGTAATAAGTCCTGCATGGCAGCATGACGATAGGAGTGTTGAATTGTTTCTGCTGTCACCTCCTTCCAAGCTTTACTATCTAGCATATTAATGGAAAATTTGTCTTCGGACTCGATCATTTCCATTAAAATATTTTTCCTGTATCGACTAGATTTGCAATATGGATATGTGCAGGGCAGTTATCTAAGAGAAGTAATATTTTCCTCCCTGAATCAAACAGTGGTGTTCTTTTATACGTACCGATAAAGGCATTAACATAATCGCTTACTACGAGAAAAACATTAGGACCACCAGGTTAGGGTAAGGAATTCTGAGAAGGTAAGAGACACTATTAATTACATGTCGGCCTACATTCTTTGCTTTGTTACCTGATGTGCCCTTTTTTTTCATCATAATTACCTTTGCAAACAGCGCCGTATATTCTTAAGAAGTTTTTTTTTTAATGACTTCAAGAATTATACCATTAAGTCTAACTAACGAGCGTGAAAACTGAAATGGAGAAATCATACCTCCCTGAGAAGCTCTGAATTCCTCATCGTACACCCGCCAGGCCTTGGCGTGAGCCAAAAGTTGTACGTAAGCACACTGGTACACTCCGTCTCCTATCAACTTCAAACCAGGCGCGTGAGTTCCCCATCCGTGTCCATTCATGCATGTCGTTTTCGGTTCGTTGACTGTAGCCCATAGTTTCACGTAGGGTCCCAAATTCTCGAAAACAACGCGCGCGTATTCGGCGAAATAATCCGCAGTCTGTACATTCAGCCACCCTCCCAATTCCAATAGATGTTGGGGCAGGTCCCAGTGGTAGAGCGTGACTAGCGGTTCAATGTCGTTAGCACGTAGTTCCTGAGATTGAAAATTGCTTTATTAAATTGGAGCGAAGACACTTTCACACCCCTTAGACCTGTTAGATTTTTGTTTGAAGGTCATCAATTTATCGAAAAGATCTTTATGATCATCGAAAAATACTGATAACTAAAAATTTTTCAAAGAAACTTCCTCAGTCTAATGCAATACCATTCTACCATTCTGGTAAACATTCTACACCGTACCTATGCAAAAAAAGTGTGACCTAAGCTGCTGATATAGGATCTTCTCAAAGATGTTTAAACGAGTCGGCAGTGTACCAATATGACCAAAATATTGGGGCTCAGTGGGGTTGTTATTTTTTTGAACAGGTATTATAAAAGCATTTATGCATGCGGAGGAAAACTGCCTCAGTTTTATACAGGTATACAGATATACAACATACGTTATCAACTAAATCTCTTTGAAAATACCCTTCAGATATTGAATCACAAATTTCGTTAGAACTATACCGATACCATAGTAATGCCATAAAGGGAAAACAATGCATGCATTAACTCTACCAACAACTGCTGTATTTAACATAATAAGTAAAGGGTTGGGCCGTACAAAGGCTGTTTCTCAAGGCACGTGATTAGAGAAACTGAGACCTAGGTTTTCAGAGAATGCTGTCGCAGGGAGCGGTTTTTATAAGATTTTATAAGGTATCCGGTATAATTTCTCTATTTTTCGACTTGTAAGAGTAGGCCAGAGAAAAACCATTGTTAAAAGAATCTCTAAAAATGGTCCAAATCGGAACTTTTGAGGACCTAAAGTAACTGTTATTCATAGCGATTAAAGATGTGTGTTTGTGTGTGTTCATCTCTGAATTTTGCGAAGGCTTAGTTGGTACAATTCCTTATAGAGTTCAGGTTATTATTCGAGCTAATAGCAAAGTTACGCAATATTAATTTTTATTTTCGTTTATTACAAACCACAAGTTCTAATATTCAGTTCAGTTGTCAGCTTTTTCGACTATCAAGCAATTAATTCAATACTAATCGGCATAAAATACATAAACAAATAGTCAAAATAATTCCGTACGTTATCAACCAGTAAGCTGCTATTTTATACGCAAATATATGGAATTTGGGAGTAATTAATTGAAGTTTGAGAAAGTTGATGATGTACTTATATCCGATTATCGCATAGTCCTTACTTGTTTTATCCAATAACATAACGATAAAACGAAACTTTTCAATACTCTAGTGAGAGAAATATTCGGTCGTCATGCTACCTCCAGCACTTTACTTAATTACAGTTGCTAAAAGAAGAGCAGCTTGGATCTCTCCTAACTTGCAATATATAATGAAATTGGAAGAGAAAGCTATAACTACATGAAAAAGAATTCGAAAAAATCAGGATTGAGGGTATTCCTGAAAACTGGGGTGGGGAGAAGAAGACTTATTGAGAACAGAAAATTGTGGAAAATTGGATGTTTTTAAAAGAGCTTGGAATATATGATAAAGAGTAGAGAGCACTTACAAAATGTTAAAATTATTATCGACAAATCTGATCCGGATTCTGAGCATTTAAGCTTCCAATTTTCCTGGATGTTGGAAGAGCTTCAGTACCAAAATCCAATTCACAAAGGGAACTGAAAGATCTACACATCTAAATGGTACTGGGGTATTGCCTGCGATCACGGTTTCGGGTGGACCACAGTTTTTCAATTGCTTTGTTAAAAGTGATTTTTGCTACAGAACGCGACGAATTAACTATGTATTAGCTAATCTTTATTTGCTGTTTTGGTTTATCTTCGTTTTCTTCAATAGTCCCACTTAACCTTCGAAAACTATATCTTGCGTTGTTCCTCAGGGTTCTATTCTCGGGTCTGTACTCTTCTCGCTATATCCGTCTCGGCAAATAGCACACTAGCACTGATTTAAGAACCCTGGCCAGTATCTCGGATTGCCACTACTTGAGACTAATCCGCCGAAATTACAGAAAAAGTTAGTTCAAGAATTTATGCTTTAAACATATTAAGGAATATTTCAACGACTCTACTGGAAATTGCAAAAAAAAACAGGATTGGCTTTTGTAATCTAAAACTTATTTATGTCCAAAAAAATTATTAAATAGAAAGTGAGCGTCATAGGCATAAAGATGATAATCACAAAACTGTAATGATGGAAATGGGCCCCTAAAATACTGCCTTCTGCACTCCCTTGTTACAGCCGAAGGGCTAGAGGTTGATTCATTAAATTTTACCTTTTGTATTGTTATTTAAAAAGTTTTTCCTAATTTACACGACAAATATCATCTATTACATCTGTAAAAGCGCTTGCTTAAAATTAAAGTTTCTATATACTATAATAAAATCTCTGGTGAGTCTGATAATACATCTGAATTTAAGACCCTCCAGTTTCAAATACCTCTCGTTTAGTCAACAGACCCCTTACGATTAAGACCATGAGCCACGCTTACCTGAATAAAATTTTTATAATAGTCAATTCCAGCCTGATTTATAACAGCTGGTGTACCGTCGGGCATGATCCTAGTCCACGCTATTGAAAATCTAAAATAAAAAAAAAATTGCAAAATACAACTTGTTCGAGTAGGTAGGCTCACTTTTGCAAAATCTAAATCTGTATTGTAATTTGTAACAACGTAACAAAAAATCCATAAGAAGTATATATTTTTTTCTAAATTATACTATTAATATACGTAAAACGTAATAAAACTCTAACGATATCTGATCGAATTCATCTCATTAATGTCTTCATTTATGAGAACTTTGACATACAAATTATAAAAGCTTTTCTTTCTTCTTTTCTTAGCTCTTGGTAAGTTTTTGGTTAGTGTAGTAATACTATATTACTTTTAGGGACATAAAATATGAAAAAGGTTAAAAATGCCTACAAAAGATAAGGATCAACCTACTGGAAAATCTACTCAAAAATGAGTTTACTCCAAAAATTGTTTTGCGAATATAGTTATAAAGACTGAATCAACACTTTAAAGATTTGGCATGTCATTTTGAAATTTGTGTGCTGTAAACCGCAATTTTTTTTAAAAATTAAATTAATATCACAATGTCCGTTTTTGTCATCATTTTGGTAAAATTTATTTTTAGAATTTGTTTTGAATCAAAAGATTGGTTGCAATGCAATTCATTGGGGACAGTTTCTAAATTTACCAACTTGTTCCACATGTTTTTTGCCCTACATTTCATTGGTCAAGAGTTTGGTACTGAAGAGCAATTCTTGAATTTTATATACAACAAAATCACACTGCACTTGATAATGATAAATACGGTCCGTTTCCAAACATAGTTCTCCCTCATTTATAAAAAGTAAAAAATACGATATAACAATCATATTGGTGACTAGTGGAACTCTATTGATTGAACACTAAACTTTAAACCATCTACTAATTTTACTGATACCTTAAACAAAACATTTAATAAGGTAAGCAACACCAACTATTATAAAATGTTTTAATATTACCGTTCACCAATATCGGGATTTTCTTGTAATAATAATAATTGTTTGGATTGCCTAGCAGACACATTAAGTTGATGTTTTATATTCTACAATAATTTCTTCATCTAATGTAATACACAAATAACACTGTATATGCATATCTACCTTCCATTCAACGTAATACAGGGGTATAGTTTATGTTTGGGACAACCGGTATATATAGCAAAGATTTCTTAGGTTAGGATATTTGCAATTGAAATTCTTTTAAGTTAACGGTACCTGTACAGTTTCACTCCGAGTTCCTTAAGAAGTTGGATGTCCTCCCTCCATTTGTGGTAACTATCGCAAGCTACATCTCCACTTTGTCGGTCAGCCACTCTGCCTACGCAATGATAATAATTGGCTGTACATTAGTTAAAAAATAAAAAGAAATGTCATATTGTTCCCGTTAATGAAAGAAATAAGGCTTTTTACAAATATTTTACTCACAAATAACGAGGATATTGATTTATTTTCTGAGTCTCTCAGTAGTTTTAATTGCAAAGTAAAGAAGACTGTTTTTAATCAAAACTTGGTACTCTAGCAACTGTAAGCGTTGATGTTACTATTTTTATTAGGCTCTACTATGTTGTAATGATAATGTAAATACTAAATGCGTAAATACATTTTTTAATTTTTTTTATTTTAATTTAATTTATAGACCGTGTCTTGGCAAAAGTAGCAATGGGACACCCTGTACATTATTTGATTTTGCGTTCTTCCATCAATTGAGGGTTATTTTGTATAGCACCTCTCCATACCTATCTCTAGCGGTTTTGGAGAAATTAATTATTTTCTGATAAATTCAATAGCGTGTTGCTATTTTTATTAACTGTTCTGGTAGACGGTTACGAACCCCCTCAAATGATTTCGAAATAGGAGAAAGTTTTCGTAAAAATTTGACCGTTTGGACTACTAGCCTTATGTAGCTATAAATTTGACTGTTAATGCGTCAGTTGTTGTTGACATATTGAAAAGTATTATCTATAAAAATGTTAAATTTGTTGGAAATGTTGGAAGTGTATTTTATGATCACTTTGGATATTGTTTAACTGTTGATGGATGGTTGTTTGAACATTTACTTAAAACATAATGTTTATTTTAAATAATGTTCCTTTTTAGCAATGTTTTGTAGTGCTATTTTTATTATAATTATTAATTATTTTTAATAGAAGACCTACGGGTCGAATTTATAGTCGTTCCTTGAGGCTTCCTTGTTGCTTAAACCGTGTTTTAAATGAACTCCATTCCTAGAATGATAAAAGGGACAAGGATGTCTTAAGAAACGAGTATGTCATTATATTCATTATAAACCTTTAATCGGGGTCCGTATGACATTTTAGAGGGCTGTCGCGGGGATCGCGGGGTCATGGGCATGCCGAGTGACGTCATAATCCCCGAGATGACTTTCTTTGACAAATTGACCTTTCTCTTCCCATCAAGGGAAGAGTGGAGAGAGGGCGGAGTCGGCTCCTGGGATGGACTTGTCTGGTACACGGTCGGGCGGCCAGAGAGGTGCTTCGGCTCAACCACGGAAGCAGGAGAGTCTTCTTCTGCTCGGATAGTAGGGCTGCACTTATGGCGCTGAAGTCAGTGCGTACGCGCTCCTTGTTGATAAAGGAGTGCAAAGGGGTACTGAGGAGGGTGGCTGAGGAGCGGAAAGTCACGTTGGTCTGGGTCCCGGGTCACACCGGTATCTGGGGCAATGAGGCAGCGGATGCCTTAGCCAGAGAGGGCTCCTCGCATATAGGGCCAGAGCCCCGCTTGGGGATCGCCCCGTGTGTGAGGCGGGGAGCTCTCGAAGCCCGGGCGAGAGACCGGGCCGCGGGGTGTTGGAGAGTTGCTCCGGAAATGAGGCTTATGATGGATGGGCCCGCTCTCCCTTGGACCAGGGAGCTGCTTGGACTGACCAGAAGGGAGCGTAGGGCACTAACAGGGGCCTACACAGGACATTGCAGGCTTAGGAGGCATCTTTGCTTGCTAGGCATTGGAGATGACCCGGAGTGTAGGTGGTGCATGGAAGGGGAGGAGACCCCGTATCATCTGCTCACCGAGTGCCCTGCCTTGACATGGGCAAGATTGGGAGTCTTCGGAACGGTCCTGATCGATCCGGACTCAGTGCACGGTAATGGGCTAAAGGGGTTGCTGACCTTCTATAGGAGGGGCGGCATTCTGGACGCCCTCTAGAGCGGCCTGGGGGCACAACGGGCCCATCTGGTGGCCTAAGTGCTTGGACGTCCGCGAGGGCGCCCCCGTTTAATACCAATACCAATACGAATTGAACTTTTGCAATTCGGCCATCATATTTAATTCAATAACTCAAGATTGGCTCGGTACATGAGTCGATCGAAAAGTTGTATTACAACTTTGCTATAAAATGTACAAGGGAGCGAATATTTCGTCACCTAGAAATTTACAAGGGATTTCCTTTCGGTATAGATATTCATGTATATCCTTAGATTGGTCTTTCAAAGCGACATTTAAAAATGTAATGTGCCCCGTTTAAAAAAATATAACTTTATTTGACCACTCTGTTTGTAATTGTGTCGCAATTGAAATAATACAAAAAAAAAACAACCTTTTCTATAATACTCATAAATTTAGAGATAAAACATTGGTGAGAATTAACGTTTACAAAAGGACCTTTGTAAATGAAAAAATAATCAACCATTTTAAACGTCATTTTCTCTGACGTAAGGGATCCTCTGTTCACTTTACTTACTGGGGTTATCGTGGACGAATCGGTCCCACATGCTCTCGCCTTTCCCATCTTCGTTCCAGCCGCCTTCGATTTGATAGGCAGCAGTGGCGGCACCAAACAGGAAAGATTCCGGAAAATATCTGTTGGATATGTTGGCGTTTTGGCCGACGCACCTAAACGAACCATTGCCAAAGTTTAATGAACGTTTTTACAGTGGCGTAGCGCGAAATCGTATTCAAAATTACCCAAAGTTTGATACCTACGTACCCCTTTACGGCCAAGGCGAACAACAATGTCAATAGATATTTCATCATGTTCAATTAATAGTGAACCAACGTAAACAACTTGGTTCTAGAATAAATATGTTCATTTATATAAAGTTTTATCGTAAAGGCGAATAAAATAAAAACTGAAGTGTATTCTCGAGTGGGTCACGTAACAATAATTATTTACGTTTCAAACTCAACTCGACGAAAATACCATGTGGTGATTTTTGCAAAAATTTCTGACTTGTATATGATTTCCCGATATATGGATTATCTGATAAATATAAATGGCGAGCGAAATGGAGAGTTTGGAAAATGATCATGGATTATTTAAAAAATGGACCCGTTGCCCACAGAAACAGGCAAAACCAGCATTAATAATACGCTGTTCAAATTTGCTAAACGCGTTTTCATTGGTCATGACGTTAGTGCTTGTAAAGTCTGTTCATAGATATGATAAAAGTGACTTAATGATACGCACATATTTTGCATAATTCGCACACGATTCAACACACGCTGCATTAAAGACGAAATAAGAATATGAAACACAGGTAGGTATAAAATTATTTTCTATTACGGAATACAATTTTACCTGAATTTAAATTCCGAAACTCCGCGAAGCTGCGCACCGCTCGTGTCAAATAGACTCGTGAGTCAAATGCCGTTTACCGCACTTGTTGCATAATATATTATTTTCTACTCCCTTCTCTAAAATACGCAATTATACACCAATCAAGCTCACTGAAAGTGTCATTTTGCCACGTCAGTTTAGTTTTACCGCACGGCTTGAATTTTGACGTTTGTGAATTCCGACGGTTATGTCAGTGAATGTATTCGTGTTGTTTTGGTTAGTTGCAACTAATGATTCGTAGAAAAAGAGTTCGACACATTTGGTCACTCGTATATTAAGCAATCCATCCGCTCGTGCCTAATAAACTCGGGTTTAAAAGATTCTTCTAGAGTTCTACCATCTATGCTTCTCTGCTTTTAGATTGAAAACTATTATTAAAAAAAAAATGTTTAACTCTCCACTTCAAGATACCCAATTATGCGAAAAGGTCACTTCGTAATCCGCGGTCTTTTCAGGTACTTTAGTCACGGGTTTAAGAGCAACCGGATGTTTTTGGTGAAATGTATAGTGTATGCAACATGCATGCACTGTTGATTAGCGTAGACAAAAGACAGTCTAATCAGTCTACAGACTTTATAAACGCATATTGTCGTGTGTTTATGACTTATGATAACTTATTTCAATCATGTCTGGTATAATAGAAAGATTATTGTGCAAATCTTTGAGAAACAGAATCATTTTTGTACTTACAAAAGTAAAGGTAACCCTTTGTGACTATCTAGATTTAAAACATTAAGGCGTCAAATCAAACCTCAAACAGAAAGCATCCCTCAAAATTTTGGTCATGTGTATAAAAAATGAGTTCGGGTTTAAAGCTGCAATGGGCACTAGAGAAGCACTGTTCAGCATACAAGTATTAACATAGAACTGTCTAGATGTGTTGTTGTGCTTCATTGATTACGAAAAGCCATTGGGCCGAGTACAACATAGAAGACTCAGTAAAATATTATTATCTCATAGAACGGATCGAAAAATATCAGTAGCTTGACTGGAACCCTGAAAGAGAAATTAGAACAAGAATAGAGAAAGCGCGTGCGACATTCATAAAGTTTAGAAACGTACTGAGCTGCAGAGCGTGGACGATGAAAACTAGCAGAATAAATAGAATAGTAGACATATAAATGACTCAACTTCTCTCTTCTCTCTACTTCGGGCGCATAATTCGAAATGAATAATATAACATCCTTTAGCTCATACTCGAATTAAAGATAGAAGGCAAGAGGAGAATGGGTAGAAAGCAGCTCTCATGGGAGAGAAACATCAGACAAAGGCAGATTCTAACATGTGGTCGGTTCCAGTGAATGGATTGACATCTAAAGAAGAAGAGTTCAATGCCAGGCTTGATGTCTTAAGGCGGTAAAACTTTTAAGGATTCCCAAACCATAGTAGATATTTCAGTTCAATCTATGTTCCGTCTGAGAAAAAAACTGTAAGGTAAACCAACTACATCCCAACCAAATCGTGTACGTTTTCTCAGTTGTGGTAGATTGCCAAAGTTAAGTTAAAATAATCGGCTCATATCATATTAATGTTGAGCAACACGGCTTTGTTTCAAATAAGCCGTGCACAAGCAATCTGGGTAATCTGGCTCAATAGTTATGTGAATCAATTGATGATTTAGCATATGATTAAATAGATTCTTATATTTTTTCACAGGGAATAAAACATTTAGATACAACACACGACGGCACGATTTAAAATTGTTTTTGTCATGTTTTTATTTCTACATCGATTTCAAAATTAGGGTAAGTTTTATTGTTCTCGTTCTCGTTGTCTTGTACAAAAACCCTGTCAATTTTTTAGATATTTTTGAAAAAGACCGAATACACCGGTCGAAACGTTAAATAAATTTATTATGAATTAGAAACTTTCTTCTTTCGTTTTACGTAACGGGCCATAATATATACCCTAGAAAAAAGTCTTGATTTTAACATATACGGAACGGCCCAAGAACACAAAAACAAGAACTCCAACGGGAACATATTCATAGCATATTTGATACTTATGAAATAATTTTCTAAGGAAAATTTCATTGCATACCAGTGTTTTTTAGACCTACGTGGCTTCGACAGTGTCTTCCATTGGATGGAATCTGCCTAAAACCGTTTCAAAGTGATTGTTATTTTACGTGGAACATTCCCCAAAGTGGTGACGTCTTTGTGAAGATTTGGGATCTATCTCGACATACGATCGATTATTTTGAAGTGTTCAATAAACAACAACCTCGCAATGCGATGGTATTAATATTTAAACATTCAATTAATGTATTTTGCATCGCATCACTCAGTGCTTAAAATATTTCGTTTTCGAGGATCAGTGGAAAAAGGCAACAGCCATACTACATATAAGCGATCATATATTTAGGACTGCAGATGAAGGCAAGTTGACACTACTAATTCTAATCACCAAATTTTTAATAAAAATGTTATTGGCTTTTCCCAAAACGCAATTAATCTTATAGCTTCATATCTACCGCATGGATTTCAATCAGTAACATACAACGGCGATAATAAAAGTAAATTAGAGGAAATTATAGAACTTTGTAAGAAACATCTGAAGCCTGACAGAAAAACACATCGAAAGGAGGTTTCAGTGCTTATGTAGGAAAGAAGAAACCTGAAAAATACAAAATAAAAGAAATACAGAAAGACATCAAATGCAAGTGTCGTCAGAGGAATGCACTGAAATAGAAAATCTGTAGAGACTGCACGATTCATACAGTGTGCATAAAAAATAAATGGGTTTACGTGAACTGCTGGAAGACAAAAATCATACATCCTTGCAGATGAAGACAGAAGAACATTGTGTTGGAAAAATACACCAAAACCTTCTTTGATGGCCAAAGAGGAGAAATAAATATTAACAATAACAATGAAATTGGACCCACTATTTTAAAGGAAGCCAAAGACACGAAAACTCCTGTCCCTGACGACCTACCTACAGAGGTGCAAAAACAACATCTGGATGGGATAACTGTAATACCAAGGGAATGGCTTCAATCAACGTCTGTTCGTGTTCTGTATTGAGTTTCGGATAAATATGGTTTACTGTTGTCTGTATTTGTTTCTTATTTATAATTTTATCTATGATGGACGGATTGGAGCCGTTGTTCAGTGCAATTTGTTTAATGATATTAAGTTCTTTGTTGTAATTTTCTGTTAAGAGTGGCGTATTAAGAAGTCTGTGTAAAAAAGAGTTAAATGCAGCCATTTTGTGTGTATAAGGGTGATTTGAGCTGTTGTGTATGACTGTGTCCGTGTGGGAAGGTTTATTATATATTGAAAAATCTTGAACTGAGGTGGCTTTTATGAAAATCCATTTATCAAAATAAATAAGAACTAAAAGTTCAGATTTTCACGAAATTATCTTTATGACATGACAATTGTTTCGACAACATCGTGTCTTTAACATTTGTTTATAATATACATAAATGACGTAGTATTTGCAACAAATGACGCATCGTTGATTGAATCGGAGAAAGATCTAACTAATTTAAATAAGAAGGCTGTCACTACACTCTCCTTGATTGAGCAGTGGTTCTCTGCAAATAAACTTAAATTAAACTCCCATAAAACAAAGACTCTAACTTTCTTCTAGAAGAAGTAAAAAATCTGAACCAGTCAAAGTCCTTGGTGTTTACCTGTGCGGTAAATTGTCTTCTCAGGTTTTTGTTCTTGGGGGTGTTCCGCCGTCGAGCCACTGCCGTCCAATATTCAAAAACTTGGAAATACTTACGTTACCATGTATGTTTATTCTCCAAACCTTAGTTGAAATCCGCTCAACTTTGTCTGGTTTTCCGACTCATGCTGGATATCACAGCTGCATGACGCGAACAGCTGACAATATCATAACATTAAGATAGAGGTTGTGTACTACACAAAAAAATATACTTAATATAATTGTTGTTGTTTTTTCAAGAGCATTGTTTCTATTCCATAAACGAATTTGTTACTCATCAGGCACAGTAGATCGAAGTTATTTTATAAATTAATTATTCTTATGGTTTAGCTGTTTATATGTAATATATTTATCTTGTTTGTACTCTTCCTGACTTCAAAAATACGTTTTTGTATTTATAAGTGTTCAATAAACGATTATTTATTTATTTATTACAGTCGTGGCCATTTATCGTGTTCCGGACTATAAAAGTAAATCGACACGAAGCGGACTATAGGTTTGCGACGCAACTTTATGTGATTTTTAAGCTTTGGCTTTGATCGCGTGAATTGTAAAGACCTTGGATACGGTCATGTACCCTCTAACCAGATTGCACGTCTACCTTCTGATAATATATCGCTTCTAGGTTATTACGCAGACACGTGATTGAATTCACAACAATAGACCATATTGATTGCTACTTTGTTTTTATAACTTCGTGCGTGTGTAGAAAAGGAAACGAATATAAGACACAGCTTAGAGAACTGGTATGTCGTAACTTTCTTATGATATTATTCATCATCCAATTAATTTTGTTCCAATTCTATTTTTGTACAACACGTATCCAAATATGCTTTAAATAGACCGCACTCGAAATTTTCCGTAGTCACGAAAAAGGATTTCTTAATCTGAACCGACAAATGGCCTGCTTGCATAAAAGAAAAAGTATTCTTAATTTTAACATAAATTCGTGTTCAGAACAGAAAAGAACATTGACTTATTACTTGTCGAAACATTAGACTTAAAATAATAATATTAGCATCGTTTATTTTCAGGTTTAGATACTTAACCTTGAAGTAGATGATATAAACAATTTTTATAACATTCAAACTAATTTTTTTTAAGCAGAATTTATTTAAAATTATCGGCACATTTAAAAGTATACAAATAAAATTTAAGAGAAACTCTTGACGTCGATCAAAGCCAAAAAATATATAACTCTCAAAGTATCTGGTGATTTAAAGCAACTAAGTAAATCATATCAATTTAAATGTTCCTCTTTAAATAGCGTTTATTCAAAATTATTGGCACATTTAAAATGAGTAGGTAATATATATATATATATAAGTTTCGCTCTTAATTTAAGTATGTGGGAGCACCTGTATTACTTCAGAAGCAACAAGTCTATTGCAAATATTGCCCAAACTTCAACAAAAATTTCAGCCTTCTGTTAAGTTAAGTTAAGTTAAAGCGTCAGTGATATAATATTTTGGAGAGAGAGAAAAAAAAGAATATTTCGAAAACAGCGCCACGTAAGCATGCACAAATAATCAGAATGGGACAGTGAATCCATTTATCTATTTGGTAAAAAAATAATATTTCTCCTTTTTTGCTCTCTTTTTCTCTGTAAACTTCCAACCTACCATGGACCTTCAACCAGGTATTTTCTTATGATATTTTATCCAACAGACTTTGGATATACAAATTTAATTAGAACAAAAAATATTCAGATTTTCACAGTTTTTAATGACTGCTGTTTGGGCAACACTGTGCCTTTATCAAATACAAAATATGACTATATTCCGACACTTATATATAATAACAGATAGTAATAGATTTTTAATTGTAGGTATTGGGTTATAAATTTAAATTTAACAACGGAGACGTATTTAAATCCAATTGGTCATTAAGTAATAAATTCGAACATCTCATTTTGTTCAACTCCATAGCTTCCAACAAATTTAGTTTTTTGCTTTTGAATGATTATATAAAATATCAAAATTATCATCAAAATTGTGCATTTCGGAATTTAAATGAATGGCATAGTTAGAATAAAAAACAATAATATTAAATTACGAAAAACTCAAAAATCCGGAGTCTGCGAGTTACAATGTCGATCTGGTCCCAAAACTTCTATCGGACAAACAGATAGAACACTTAGGAAACCCATTAACGAACATAACAAGGCGTATAAAAATAAAAGTTCGGATTCTAACTATTCCGTTCATTTAAATTCAGAAATGCACAACTTCGACGATAATTTTGATATTTTACATAATCATTCAAGCTATGGAGTTACTCTATTACTAGTCTCAAATTTTCGTACTAGAAACGAAGTCAAAATGTCCCACCATCATAGAGTCCCTGCCTATGCCGATAATTCAGAAACTTATGTAGCAACTAGGTTTTAAACCAATGACCTTGCGGCATTCAACAATCCACACGGCCGCTGGCAATAAGTTTGGATACGGCATATTCATGTGAGTATTTCCTCAAAATATGCCAGCACCTAATAAAACTTTAAGAATGTTAAAAGTTATTTTACGAGAATATAACAATGTCGCTTGATGCAAATCAGGTTGTGAAAAATCATCATGAATCTCTAATCAATAGAGGACTTATCCGATAAGAAGATTTAAAAGAAACCTGTCTACTTACAAAAACGCCAATATCGTCGGAAAAGGAAAGGGAACAATAGCGATCAGGACCTAATAAGAAGGACAATATCAACGCAAAGTTGTCTCTACCTTGGATTAGCTGAAAAATGGGATTTATCACACAAAAACTCAACTTTTGGAAGTCCTAAATTCATATGAAATTAAAAAACAGTATGCATGCGATAATTTGGCCGAAATTATAAAAATGGAGGACTTTTACACTTCTACACAAAACAACAAAAATCTTACTATAATTAATCTCAATGATGACTCTGCCAGTGAAATAGAATTAGATTACAGAATAAAAATGTAATTATTATCATACCCACCTAAATAAACAAAAAACATTATATTCTTACCAAAACTTTTGAGAGTCCGTCCCTAATGTTATTTCCTTTAATACCGACGGCAGGTAACTTTCATAATTGCCATCGCAACTCTTACCGACTATATATTATCTATCTTATATAAATTATAAGATTATTTTACGCAGGATGGAGTCATTTTTGAAAATAGTATTTAAACGTAGATTAATGGAAGAATATAATCCTTTCCTTCGTTTGTAAATTTATTGTAACCTGGTAAAAATTTACGAACTGTCAGAATTTGAAATCGTGTTGCGCAGAAGCAAAGCCTCCTATGTTATTTTTATGTATTTAGTGATTGGTTGTTTCTGCCTGTGATATTATTTTTTGGAAATATAAATTTTCAAAACAAGATGAAACTGGTTCCATTCTATGTAGAATAAAGCCTAAATTACAAAAAGTAAAAAGTGTTCAAATCACTTTCTTGTTAACTTAATTTTAAACCATTTATTCTATAAAAATACGATCTTGAGATAAAATTTAAATACTATATTAAGTAACAAGTTCGAGAAACTATATTTTGGTGACGAGTTTTCCGTATAATACAGGGCGGCCAGAAAAGAAGAGAAAAAATTTAAATGCTGATTCAAAAATCAAATACGATCCCAAATAAAAATTATTTTTCTAAAAGAAATACTCTTGCTAACGGTTTGCCTATTAGCTTTGAAATTTTTGGGCCAAATTTTACGTAAAATCCTTAACGATTTTGGTTTTTACAAATTTTAAAAGTTAAAATATCTTTTGCGAAGTTGTAGTGGTAATTGTACTAATTGATTAATAATTAATCTGATGTGCACTTTTGTAACTTTTAAAATTTGTGAAAATCTTTATCAACAAAGTTTGAGCACATTTTCTAATGACTATGTGCAGTGAAGGGCTTTGAGTATCAAGGGTTTCGCATCAAGTTTGGTCTGAAAATAAAAGAAAGCAGTAGTAACAAGCTTGTTAAATTTAAAGGGAATTCGCAAGCTACAAAAAAGCTATTCATTATTTTTTTTTATATTTTGTAATTTTGTAATTTCAGGTTCTTTGACTGGTGCTGGTACTTTCCTTTGTCAGTTGAGCAACTAACACCAATCGAATCCGCACCGTAGACGAAACCTGGCGTTCTGACATCAGGCTGCAGATATGGCTGACAGTGTAAAACTTCTTACAGAAAATCGGTCCAAATCCGGTAATGCACATACCACCAGTTTGAATTCCAATAGTATATTATGCAATAAGTGCGGTAAACGGCATTTGATTCACTTTACTTGACGCTTCATTGAAAGGTTTTAGGGACGATTAGGGCCAGGCATATCTTGCAGCTTGCGTTCTTGACATTAACAAGTTCATCAAGAAGTGTTTGGGCACATTATCGCAAACCAACCTAATAATACCAATAATACCTAATAATACCAACGCAAAATAGTAATAATTATTTTTTTTTCGAAAGAAGGTAATAGTTTATTTTGCAACCATAAAATTTAACTAATGCTACTGACAACTTTATAATTAAAATTAATATTCCTGGGTAAATTATTAATCAACTACTAAATTACTTATTTCCTAATTTTTATTTAATCGATCATAAAAATAAAATGTATTTAATATAAGAATAAATGACAAAAACAATATGGATTTAAAAGTTCATTTCATCATCATCAAGATTTATTTAAATTTGTCTGTAATAATAATAATAATAATAATAAATAAAAAAAATACCCTAAAGATATTATGCAACTAATGTAACCATTTGGTGTGTTTTAGATTCGTACAAGATATTCTTTTGTGATGTGTGCCAGAAGAGTGTTCATTTTAACGACAAGGAAAACCACATCAACGGGAATAAACACCAGTACAGGGTGCGAAAAAATAATAGGAATAGCGGTAAGTGCAGTTTAGATTTTTAGACTCCCTTCTGTCGTTTCTATTCGGCCGTGGTAGGTTTCTTAAATATACGTCGGTGATAGTAATCGCAGTCCACATAATATTTTAATTGTCGCGTAAGGGGAACAAGGTACGGAATTGGGGAAACGGATGTTCCTAAAAAAAAAAAAAAGTAAATCGATAACAAAATGCTGGAAATTGTTTTTGAAGTTTTGAAATAGCCACCAGAGAGCGTAATTGTATTTTAAGACCCGTTTCCTGCAAAATTTTCTTATAATAATGATACTTAGATTGAACACATGTGCTCCAACATTTCCGGAAATAAATGTCGATAACTCCAAAATGTCTAAATGGATTTTAATAAATTTACAGTTAAAATGAATTTTTCCTAGGCGATTAATTTGCTATGAGTGATATGATTTCCACTGAGTGCCCTGCCACCGAATTACGTTTTATGAATGTATTTTTTTTAAAGATTTTTTTAAATAGTCTAACAAGGGCGCTAATTTAGGATGTTGATAAAAAATTTAAAGCTCAAAAGTGGTTGAGTTTTGTTAAGCAGCTCCACTTTATTATGGGTTGTTATTGAAATAAAAGTTTGTGGTCTCTCTTAGTTATACATTTTTTAAAAAACCATGGATATTATTACGACGTTCTAATATCCTATAAATTGGATTGTTTTTATTAATTACTGACGTTTTGAGACCATAACAAAAATAAGGCATCTTTTTTGATAGAAATTATTCATTCCTAATTATCGAGATTATAATAATAGTTTGCTTTTTTAGTAGGCTGTGAAATTTGATATATCGGAAAATTTGACAACACGTTGCATTTAATTTTTTCTCAGAAAAAGATTTTTTTTTGCCATTATGTCAGGAAATACCAATTGGTAGGTTGATAGCCTAGGAAAAGATCTTTTTGACGACTTCAAGTTATCGATCGACCGATATTGACATTTATTTCCGTAAATGTTGGAGCATCTTTCACCGGTGTCATTCAGAGAGAGAGAGAGAGAGAGAGGGCACAAAAATTGCAACAAAAAAGATTTGAATTTGTCTCAGCTTTACAAAGTAGCCTTTAAAATCATCTGCGAACAAAATTATTTCGCAGTTAATGAAACAGTTTTTTCTGTCTAAACAATTATTAGCATAAGAAAATGAGTTCAAAAAGAGTTTTTAGTTTCCTCACATACCTAGCTAGTTCAGTTAACGGCAAGAAAGTCATTGTCTATTTTCCAAAGGATCCGAATACTTTGCGTTCACAAGATTATATTAAAAAATATAAATTATAACGTCTTATGTTCGTAATCCAGTTTGAAAAAGCTGCCTTAATTGGTTTTTCAAAACCGAACACTTCAATCAATCAATCAATCAACGAATTGAAAAGAGTTTCTAGTTTTTTGAATTAGGGAACGCTGCTCAATATAATTTACAAAATTTAAGCACTCAAGACTTAATATATAATAAAATTAGATATTTCAAGAACAAAATAAATTGGTTTGAACCCGAGACCTGTTATATACGTAAGCTCTAATCATTTTAGCCCTGGAGAACAGCGATTTGGCCTAAGTAAAATGGCCGCCGACGTCTGATCGGCTCAATATCTTGGGAGGCCCTGCGCATAGCCTAATGTTAGTACGGAGGAAATTTTGAGGGCCGTAAATATTTGTTGTTCTCTTGAAAATTAAATGATATCAATTTATTCAATGACATCTTACAAAAGGCATATTTTTTAATATTATTATTTGATTAGCTGGCGAATAAGTAAAATTTCAAGTCGATACCGATTTGTGGTTCTTTATGTTTAGGAGATGAGCTTGACGCTGCCTTGGAGTGCCCTGTTTGCACAACGAAATTTACGAACGAAGATTTTTATAAGAACCATTTAGGAAGCAAAACACACAAACGAAACTATAAGCGACAACAAAAACTAATAGGTAAGTGGAAGAGGTCTAACCGCGCCAAGTTCAAAAACCGCCACCATGTATGTCATCTAATTAGTCACTTGAAGGGTTTGCAGGAAAAAAAAGCAAAAAAAAGAACTTTTTACCATAAACACCTTTGACATATTCCCAGAAAAAAATCTAGTGATGTTGTCGCATGAGCCCTCCAATAAATCCACCTCTATCTATCCTTTTCCATTTAAAATTCTTGAAGTTTTCGATGGTAATGAGAAAGAGCTCCATTCTGCGGGAAGCACATTTGTTGAACCTTAGTGTTATCAATTTCTTGACAAAGTTAGTAGGACACAATAAAGCGTTTTACCACAAACCGAAACTCAATTTTACCAAGTTGGCATCTTCAGAGTAGATTAAAACTAAACTTAATAGAACAAATATTCTCTCTATATATATATATACACATCGGGAAGTGGGAGGGGGACTGTTAACGCAACCAATCAGCGCGTATAGTGGGCTAAATGGGATTGGACCTCTGTCCTTGTTCAGTCCCTTATTCCCTCTCTTAACAATTTCTAAGCTTTCGTAGGCATCTAATTTTCTACTATTATTTACATGTTTAACTAATTTTAAATTACTAATATCTACCTTATGATTATTGTTGAACATATGTTCGGCTACACTTGATTTTTCTAATCTACCAAATTTTAAATGAGCTAAATGTTCCTTAAATCGAACATTAATTGATCTTTTGGTTTGCTCTACATATGACTTGTCACAATCGTTACAACATATTTCATAAATTCCCGACTTTTCAAGGGTATTTAGTTTATCCTTGGGATTACCCAAGAGATTTTTTAATTTTGATCTGGACTGATAGACACTTCGAAGACCTGCGGCCCTGAAGACTCTATCAAGTCCACTTGTATATTCTGTATATATACTGAGGTTATTATATTCGAGTACTTTCCTGAGGTATTCCAAAGTTTCTGGAACGCTTGGAAATAATGAGGAGACATCAAAAGATACTAAAAGTTTTATTTTTATTTATTATTATTTTATTTTAGGTAAACAATATAATTTGGACAAAGCAGGATTAGATGTCTGCAATTTGTATTTCAGATTTTGGGTAATAAGGTTTTTACAACTATTTAATGTGCTTTTTACCATCTTCGATAATGGATTTCTATTTAATTTCTTATAAGGACACTCTTCAAGGAGTTTGTCAACTCGTAGAAAATAGTCTTCTTTGTCTAAGATGACAACTTTATTACCCTTACCTGCTTTTAAATAAAAACAATTCTTCTCTTTTAATCCCCTAACAATGTTTTTTAATGGAATGACAAGTTATCAGAATCTGTAAAAAAAATATTGAAGTTAAAATATTTTAGCCGACTAAAAGCTTTTGTTATATATTCCTTCCTTACAGAAGGAAATCTACTTTAGTCGCCTGCGTTACTATTTTGAAAGTGAGCAAAAACTTACATTAAAAATTTAAGTGAAAATATCTTTTGAAGTCTTTCTTCAAATGCATAGGTTATTCCACTTAAAATAAGAAAGATCTTGCTTGATATATAGATTATAGACATTTTGGTGGTTAGTGGCTGTCAAATAACTTAACCGATTTTTTAATTTCAATGGATATAGTGCCGAATTTGAGAACAAACGAGTAGTTGTACAGTGTGCTAAAATCGCAAAATCGGTATGAACCTAATAAACAAGAGTTTTTGAACGTTAAGAAACCCTCGCCAAATAGCGCAACGTGAAGGAAATGGACAGCACACTTAATTCTATAAGGTACTTACAAAATTAATATTATGATGGGAAAATTATTACTAGATCCAAACAAAATAAACCCATTACTTCGGAAATTTTACCATTGGAATCGACACACTTTTTTTTTAAATCAACGATGATATAGGGTGAGTCAACTTTAGACTAAAGTTTCTTTACCAGCGTCAGTTTACATATATTTAATTAACATTATATTTTAATTTTTCTGAAAAAATACTAATTTCCACACTGGCAAGAAAAATTATTCACCCATGACGTGAATACATATACAACGGAATTTGAATATGCTAATAACTACCTGTTGCTTTATCTACGGCTCCAACAAAGTTCTTTCTCCTGTTCATTTTAACCTTAGAGAGAAAGAAGGACAAATATCGGAAAAGTTAAAATAATATTTTTTCAAAGTTAATATTGAATTGACCAAGTTGGACGTTATTTACTTCAAAAGAGTCGAGGAACTCTGGAACTGCCCACCAGACCACCCTATTTGTAGCCCTTGGATTTGCGCTCCATGGGTTGTATAAAACTAATGTACTCTGCGCATGTATAAAATATAATACTTATTGAATTTTTCAAAGAAACTTCCACACGCCACTGTAATACTTTTTACAAAACTTCTGGATTCCTCCTGCGTCGGTTTTTGCCGAGTCGAAATTGCTGACGTTTCGCCAACCATCATGTTGGCTTCTTCAGAGCTTCACTGAAACTGGCTCGTATTTTACTCACACTCATGAACCGGGAATATTTTGTTGTTGCAAATTTTGTTGCATATATCTATTTCATTTAAGTAGGTATTGTTATTAAGAAAAAAGTTGAAGAATTTTAACGGAAATTCAAAACAAAATTTGCGATTTTTTGAGGCACCCTGTACACTTTCAAAAGATTTTAAACTGTTCATCCAACAATCCTTTATATTTACTATTTTCTCGTAACTTTTTTGTTGTTGTTGACTCACCCTGTGTACGTAACAATATAATATTACAAAAGTGTAAATAAATGCAAATAACTTTGACATATTTACTGGTTGTGAAAAAAGATGTCATCCAATAATCAAGTTTTGTTGCACTTGAAATGTCCTTATGGATGCATCATATTTTTCGTATGCAAAGCAAAATTTCTTCCTGTGAAGATATACTATGATAAAACTCTTTGATTTTTAGAAGACAGTCAGGGAGATGGACAATCTGTTGACCTAGTTGTAAGTATCTGTTGATCAACCGAACAACTGTTATTAAAATCGGGAACATTGAATCGCGCTCAAGGATTTGCTGATTTGTCAAGTGTGCGAGTTTTTAAATATTTTTTGAACTGCATAAGTTTTAAAAATCTACTTACTACGTTTTGGAAATACTTACCATAAATTGTATGTTAGGCATCAAGTAGATAGATACTCTATAATTACTTTTTTTTTCAATTCTTTAGATTCTCTATGAAAAGGACCCTAAGCATGGGAATCGTAGTACCTGTTGACATAGGTTAAATTAGAAAAAAGTTGGATTCTTCGAAGTTTATAAATATTTGGAATTTTTTTCTGACTTTATTTGAAGATATATCGAAAAACTAATAACCCTTTCTCATACTACTGGATGACGGTATTTTTAGATTTCATATCCGGCGATGCTTTCTCAGAAAACCATCATTATCTATTTATATCTCCCGAAAAAAAAAATCTCTCCCTCCTACTTAAAAATACTTTTAAAAAATAGAAAAAAATGATATTTTCTTTGTAACTAAAAACTAAAACATGGCATCGTTGAATTTGAAAAATGGAATGAGATGCAAGGTGCACATTTTATCGGGCCATATAAAAAAATTAGTTTATGATGGCTTCTTCGGAAAGGAAAAATCTATATTGTCAAATTAAGGTTTTTCCCAAGTATCTCAGCAGGTCATTAAAATTTTTGAAGTTAAAAACACAATCCTTTCCTAATTTAACCTAAGCTCTATCTTCAACAGGTTCCCATGTTTTGAATCCTGATGGACACATTGTATATCAAATCAATATCGTACTAGATAAATAGATATAAGTATTCAACAATGCATGGACTTAATTATATCAATTTATTGCAAATGTCAACTAGCAAGTAGTGTAACATATTCCATTTTTGGTTCGATGCCTAACAAGCCATTTTTTTTTAGAAATCATTCTCTGGAAAGCCGATTGGCAGGCGGATGATCAAAAGTGGTGAGATGAATTTAATACTGCTAGTAGAAATACGCGCAGTTCAGCAACTGTATTAATTCAGATTCAAATTTATTTGTAGTGGGAGCGGATGAATCGATTAGCTTAGAGGCGCTGACTGAATTCCCGGATTATTATTATCATCGTGAGGTTCGTAAATAACATCCAACCATTTCAACACACAAAACTTCGTTTGGCAGACATACGTGGCGCCATTTACGCTGTATGCGTCATGAATGATATTTATTTCAACGGCTGAGCCAATTTACAAAATAAAAAACTACGATATCGATATAAATAAAAAATAGCAAAATGCAAAAGCACCAACTTACGTAAGGAAAGATTTAAAGTTGCAAAAAAAAACAGGAAAAACTAGTTTAAAAAAACAGTAAAATAGTTATCACAAAGTAAAAAACAGTAACACACTAGTTACAATCAACCACTTCTTTTAATTTTGTCTTTAATAAATAGCCACAGTTTGCGTGATTAAACGAAATATAAAACATTGATAGATTTAAAACTCACGGACAAAGTCTAGACATCGGAGTGGGTTCTTCTAATTTATAGGCCTTCTATTATAACAAGCTCACATATGCAGATCTCAGATATGCCATTTAAACAGTCTCCAATCTACCAATGTGGAGACCAAACTACCGATGCGGCGATTTTAAAACAGTAGGGTGATTGCAGTGTAGTATAACGTGTAATAAAATCAAGACTTCTCATGCTCTTGGTAACAAAGTGTTAGTCCAGCGAGAAGTAATATTAAAACACTTTTCAGCATTTAGATCAAGACAATTTTTTCTACACCACAAGACATCGATAAATGATTCAGTTGTTTTATGTAAAGGATACCCAGAATACAGACCCGCTTCATTCAGATCTCTTATAAACAAATTAAGGAAAATTGGAATTATGTGTGAACCCTGAGGGAGACCACAGGCCATCAGAAGTTGTCTGGAAATATATAATATAACAGTCCCAGTAACAGTCTGAAATTTACGAACAAGATGCTCATGGCTGACTCTGTAATATGCCTTTGAAAAGATCCACCTGTTTACATTTATACATTTGAATGAGATCCCCGCGCAGGCGACGCTGACTTATGTGGGCAGATTATTTTGAGACGGTCATCATTTGTACGAGGTTGTTCATCATGTCAATCATGACAATGAAAATGTCGTTTTTGTTATTGTTGTTGTCTATTTTCATGCAGCGTGTCCGAAACTTGACCCTAAATATTCACATTTTCAAAGTCTTAGGGTTTGTTGCATCAGGGTTTTGTTCGGTGGTCTGTGGTGTTCTTATTCTATGGTTTGAGAGGTTAGAATGTGGGACTCTCGGCCAGGTATCTCGGGCGCTTATATCTGAACCTCATGACGCAGGTTAAATAAAGGACTTATTATTATTATTTATTATTATTATTATTATTATTAGTAGTGGAGTTCTCTTTTATTATAAAAAAGCCTCCAATACGACAGAGTTAATTTGTTTTGTTTACAAAATACTGGAGAGCAGCTCTAGTGTTGTTAATGTACGACATTAATTAACATTTACCAGGTACTTTTCGAGTTTTCTTTCTACATCTACTGTGGCTCGTAGAATTTGTTCATAGACAAAAGCTGTTCGAGCCGTCTCAAATAGTTCTTTTCTGGTATTCTCTTTACTTTTGTTATATCCCCACAAATAAAAATCAAGTGGTGCCAATTTAGGAGACCGCGGAGGCCACCTCGAAGGGTTACGGGGATCAATGAGAGAACATTCATTCATTTTTACTTATTATTGTCCCTCTTGGAAACTTCGATTTATGGGTCCAAATTATTTTCGAAACCAATTGAGGAAATACGATACCATCAAAAAACCTAATTATTATTCAACCTAATCAATTATATAAAAGTAGACAACAGCAATAACAAAAACGTGAGATTAAGATGATTTTTGAACATTTTGCAAACATGAGGATCGAATTTTCAAAAACCACACAAATATGCAATTTAATACAATTTTTTTACATTATCAAATATTTTAAAGACGGTTAGACAAAATCGCAAAATGACATAAGGGGTGTTCCATTTCGAATAACCAATGTAACTGAAACTTTCGGTTGAATCCGAAGCGACAGGTCGTGGAAAATAAAGGGTGTTTTTAAGTTGCCGATACTTTTTTAACTGATGGCCATTTTGTGAACTGTCAAGTGAATTATGTTCAGTTTGACCAGATTGCCCTTGATCCCGATTGGCATAAGCTATTAAGTTCACTTTTGCTTGAATGGATACGTCAATAAACCGTATTTGGAGTGATGGAACAATTGGTCCGTACTTATTTACAAACGATGCTGACCACAGCGTTACAGGTACAGACTGCCATAATTGCTGACTTTTTGGTTCAATTGAACAACTATGCTCGATGATTTATTGAAGGAAACATTTGGTAACCGCGTGGGAATATGTGAGGTCGACGATAAGCCCGAAACGATTGATCACAGGAGGATCCCGGCGTTATTGCCGATATACGTCCACAATATTGGAAAAAGTCATTAAAAATTGGACGTTCAGATTAGACTAGTACGTCCGAGCCAGTCGTGTGGGTCGTATGATAGAAGTGATATTTTAATTGCGATGATTCCCTTCGAATACAGTAAATTTCATGTCAATTTATTTGTTTTATTCCATTTAGTTCCATACCCCTAAAAACACCTGTTATTTAACGTCAAAGTGAAAACTTTAGAGAGGAAGCCGGTTTTCGATAGTAACTATGCTTATCTCTAATTTGTATTTATTAATTTGTTTACGATTTTTTCAGAAATACCACGTGAAAAACACCAAACTCGACGAAGGACAATTAAGGTTGTACATCTACTCCGCCGTGGCCTACTGGGCCGTAAGTTTGGCGCTCGACGCTAACGTCAAGGACTATCGGATATCGGTCAACAGTCGAGAGTGGAAAGGATTCGGGGACGTTATAATCGAGCTTCACTCGATCGATTCCGGGGAAGCGGAAACATACGTCATCAAATTTAAACAGGTCTCCGACAACATGAAGACCATCGACTCGGTAACCAACGGTAAATTCAACTTTAGGAAGACGATAGCGAAATTATGGGAATCCACATCGACGGAGGACGTCCGTTCGGTAAAATTCGTATACTTCACTACGGCGCAGCTGAGTAAAGACATCGGAAAGACTTTCATGGTGAAACCGGCTTCCGGCGAAGAAAATGTCGCGATAAAACTGAAACCTACGAGTAACAAACGCAAAGACGTACTCAACACGACGAACGATAACGAAAACGTATACGCATTCACGCCAGACAAAAATACAACCAGTCAGTTTCCGAATATATTCCTCTATAGCCACCAGAAAAGGGAAAAGTTCTTCGGGGCCAACGTTTACGCGCTCATTTCCGGAAAATTCGAAAAATGCAGGGAAATTCAGTCCGACGTCGTAAGATTCGTCGAGCATTGGGGTGAGGGGAAGCTGGGAGGAAATTACAAGCTGAAGAAGGAAGACGTCGCGTTGAAGATTGGCGATTTGCTGCTCGGCGAGCACAGACTGAATCCGGAAACGTTCTCGTTCTATAACGGCTCGTCTTTCAAAATATGGGACTTCGCCGTTAATAGCGTAGACGTTACCGTGTTGAAGAAGCACCCTTTTATAATGGCGAAAGTATGTCAGCCGTTAAATACGAGGATAGAGAGGGAACTCGGCGTCCAAATCGAGACTAGCACCAAAACGGTTAAAATAACCGCGGCCAATTTGGACGGGATAAAGAATCCAGTGCTGAAAATGTTCCTGTTCGAAGAAACTTCGGGGAATCCGATCGACGATATCCCGCTGGACACGATCTACGTGATGTTTTGGAAAGCGGGTTTGCTGCCGTTGATGCTGCAAGCGGAAGACGCCAAAAGTCAGCACTTTATACTGAGCGTTGTGGAATTTGTTAAAAGTATGAACGTCGATCGACGGTATTTGCTCAAGTCGTACGACCGGGATGTAAAAAAATTCGTGAAACCTTTCAAAACGTTGAAGTTCTTTATCCATCTCGACGATCTAACGGAAATGCCGTCCGCTATATTTAACCACCTGAAGATATTCGTCAGCGAACACTTCGAGATCAGCCTGAAAACTATTAAGGAAAATGACGTTTATTTTCAGAAAAGTTTAACGACCAACGAATTTTTTGATATATGCGTGGGCAAGTACTCGTTCAAGCCGTTGGATAACGTGCTGAAGACGCACGAGGCTGCGGAAATCAAATTAATTTTGGACGACGCTCTGATGTTTAAACTGAGAGACGAAATATCGCCAAAGAAGAACATTTTGTTTCACGTGAGCGACGAAAGTCAGTGGTTACGCGGCGTCAATCCTAATATCTTTTAATTCATCTATGAGACAGTGTTGAGTTCAAAATTATGTAACTTGCTTTTTTATTTCGTTTTTCTTAGACATGCCGGACATTTCAGTCAACGTGACAACAGGGCGTTGCACGCCAAACCGACAAAGGCTGCGTTTCTGCTAGACCAGTAACAATGTGAGATACAGTCCATTTATAGTAAAAAAAATTCAATAAATATTAAGTGATTGAGGAAACGCTTGTATTATTAAACAAACATAGTGGTCCATCGAGTGGAGAGTTTTCATTCCAGCAACAAAGCGCAGCTGAGCCAAGGCGGCGCGGCGCGGTGCACAAAGCATTGCTTGAAGGTCGTCGTTGCCTTGGCCGTGGAGTTTATCGGCGCGGCGCTGGAAATAGTACGTGCGGGGCCATACGATTGGGCAGTGTTGCTGCGACGCGACAGAGGACGAGACAGTAAGGGCCGATCCTTTTCAAACCTTTGTTGGATTCAGTTTTTATTTAATTTTATTGTCACATTTTATAAGTCAATTTACCCTCAAAATACAAATAAAAGCAGTACAAACACATCGTCAATTTTATTTTATAAACTTTAAACAGAATTAACACATTAACCAAAGTTTACTTGGTCAATGATTAACAACAAATAATCTAAACGATCATACTTATGCGATATGCGTTCTCCAATCTGTCAAGAAAGTAAAGAGGGCTATGCGGATGCCAACCTTATGAGTTTGGCGCCGCGTTCTGATTGGCTCGGCACGTTGGAATATTAATGTATGCTGCAAGATTGGGCCAGTGGAAGATGAGAAATATGGCCGTTGGCGAGCGTTAATACGTGTGACACGTTAAATTACGTTTCCATATTGGTGCCCACTTCATTGGAATAGTAAATTGCTTAAGTTCGGTTTTGGGTTTAATCACACTTCCGGGTTAACAGTTGCTACAGTATTAAATAAAATATTTAACCCTTTAATATCCTATGCTTTCAATAGTATACTGTGACGAACACGCATAGTAGGCCCACCTGGACGTACCATCGTAGGCCTGACGCGAGTGTCAGTCGGCAACGGGTTGATACAGAGATTTTACCGCGTATAACCGTTTAAATTCTCTTTTCATCCCAACAAACTGCCCATTTTTATAATAATAAATACCGTTTGCTTGAGTGCGGGTTGTTACTCCAAGTAAGCGAGTGTAACAATACCCTAATTCGTCTGTTACAATTGGAAATACATTATTGTTTCTGGATAGCAATTTAATAGTAAACCAACGTTTGTACTCGAGTTTTGGAACACAAACTGCTGAACGCCTTTTGAAGCTCGTCTAAGGTGACGAAAAATACTTCGTTCCTGGGAACGGTGTTTCGAAAATACTTGGCAGCTTGACGGCCTTTCGGGAAAGGGACGTACGGCAAACCTCCCTCCGTCACCCTTTCCACCTCCCTCCGTCTAAACCCCCACGTGAAAGACTCCAGGGACCCCTTGAGCGAGACTATTGCCTCGAAGAGTCGATAGTTCTGGAAGGAGATTTTCCTGTGAGCCGCCGGCACACCGAGTTCTTCATAAAGACCGTGACTGTCCGACACGAAAACGATAGTTTTCAGATGAGGACACGTGCACAATATCGTGCTGAAATCGTCGCCCCCGACGACATCCACGAGGCAAATCTCCACCAAGTTGGGCAGACGTTCGACGGTACCGAACACCCGTCGTAACTTGCGTCCGCTGCACTTCTCCAGCGTCAACTTTTCCAAGTGCGTTAAGTTCGGCAAGAGGTTCAACGCGAACTCGTCCGATATACTGTTGCAGTCGCCCAAAGCCAACGACCTCAGGCTTTCCATTTCGCAAAGGAAACTTAAATTACAATCGGCCAAGTATCGTACCCCGCGGAAGGAAACGCTGCGCAAATGGCGGAATGTCTGGAAAGTGTTCGGCACGTAATCGAAATAGGTGCAACGAACGCTCAGCTCAATGAGGTTCGGGAAATTTTTCAAAAAGTCCAATCGCAGGTAGTCTATCTCGATGGGAAAGTTGGACGGTATCGAGTGGCCGTTCGCGGTCTTGGTGATGGTCCAGACGTCCAAGGTACGGCAATCGTGAACGTCTAGTTTAGTTAAAGAAGCGACGGGCTCCAAGTAACTGGCGTCGGAATACGTCTGGAACGAAAGACGGTTATGGCCGCACCCACCATTTGAAAGATAAACTTAGGGGAAACGCGGACATCAAGGGTCACCTGTATTTTCGGTATTATAATTACTATTTACAAAAATTAAACTGAGGTGGCTTTTACTCGACGAAAATCCATTTATCAAAATAAATAAGAACTAAAAGTTCAGATTTTCACGAAATTATATATTATGACATGACAATTGTTTCGACAACATCGTGTCTTTAGCAAACTACCTGCCACTATATATACCGAAAAATGACCATAACACTTTAATTAATGTTGTTGTGAGAATTTAAGTTCAATCAAGGAGAGGTATTTAAATCTAACTGATCGTTAAGCAATACATTTGAATGTCTCATTTTGTTAATCTCCATGGCTTCCAATGAATTTAATTTTTGTACTTTTTGTGGCTGTATGCAAAATATCAACATTGTCGTCAGAAATGTGTTTTTATGTGTTTAAGTGTGTAGCATAACTAGAATCTAAACTATTGTTTTTAAACGCTCTTTTATGTTCGTTACTGCGTTTCTACCTGTTTGTCCAATATAAATTTTAGGACAAGATCCGCATTTCAACTGTAGATTTTTGAGATTTTGGACATTTCGTTTTATTGCTTTTTAAAAATTTTCCTATTGTGTTGTTAGTTCTGAAAGCTATTTTTAAACCACATTTTGACAAATGTTTTGAAACTTTTTCACTAGGTTCTCCTATCTATTTAATTGTTTTAAATTGTTCGTGTTCTGCATTAGATTTCGGAGAGATAGAGTTTACTGTTGTCTGTATTTGTTTTTTATTTATAATTTTATCTATAATGGACGGATTGTAGCCGTTGTTCAGTGCAATTTGTTTAATGATATTAAGTTCTTTGTTGTAATTTTCTGTCGAGAGTGGCGTATTAAGAAGTCTGTGTATAAAAGAGTTAAATGCAGCCATTTTATGTGTATAAGGGTAATTTGAGGTATTATGTATGACTGTGTGAAGGTTTATGATATATTGAAAAATCTAATTCGTTTTGCACTTTTGTAATAGTTAAGTCTAAAAAATTAATAGAGTTATCCTATTCAACCTCGATAGTGAATTTTATACGATTATGTATTGAGTTAATGTAATTTAAAAAAGAATTCAATTGTCTGTCCTTTCCAACAAAGCAAGCAAAGACATCGTCCACGTATCTATACCACCATAAAAAACTTTTACTTAAAGGATGTTCTAGTATGATATTTTCCAAATTATCGATAAAAATCTCGGCTAACAAAAGACTAAGTGGGTTTCCCATAATCAAACCTTCTTTAGAGATATAAATCTGTCCATTAAAATCAAAATAATTTTGGTCTAAAGATACTATTAATCACTCTAATAAATCTTGTTTCACCAATGGGCTATCCTGCTATCTATACTGAGAATTGTACATCAAAAGATAGTAGTCTTGCGTTAGAAGGGATTTTGAACTCTTTAGTTTTGTTGATTAATTCAAAAGAATTTTTTATTGAAAATTTTGGTTTAAAAACTGTGTGGAACTTTAAAATATTTACTAATTTTGCAGAGAGTTTAACTGCTGGAGCTGTTACATAAGACAAAACAAATTTACGCATGATGTTCGCGATTTTTTTTACAAAAAAAAAAAATTATATTGTTAAAGCTTTCCGAAACCGTATAACAGAGAGAGGGAACTTTTGAAAAAAAAAAAGAAAACTCAGAAACCAAAAATTAAAGAGCATACATTTAAAAACCGCCTTGAGAATTTGTTTGATATATGTAATCATAACTCCGCACATTCTTTAACAGAAGCTTAGTATAAATATTTAAATGAAGAATGGTAAACGTCAAATCGACATAGTATTTTTTTAACTTCTGCAAACTTAGAAGTTTCGACAGAGACTCTGATGAATTCCGATTTAGGTGAAGAACCAAACATCAATTGCACAGGTACTTATAGTATGATTGATTCTACAAATAGGTTCTGTATTCTACAAATTCTAATATATAAATTCAATAATATGAATTGTTTTTTTGTAAAAAAACGCTAACATTCTACGTAAATCTAATTTTAGTGAAAAAATAATGTTTCCCATGTTAATTAAATGGGCAACTAATATAAAAATAGCGACCCCTTAGAGTTGAGCTACGGGGCTCATCTTTGGCGAGCATTTTTTTTTATATCAAAAAGAAACATTTGAGACACAACACCCAGCTTGGGAAAGAAAATCAGACAGCAGAGATCACCCGAAGAATCAATCTCACCTGGATAGCATTCGGGAAACTTAGCTATATCTTCCGCAACCCGACTATACCAGTGAATTTGAAAAAGAAGGTCTACAATGTGTATATCCTCCCAGTAACATACGGACTCGAGACTGTGACACTTACAGTGAGCAGTGCAAATCGACTATGAGTCTGTCAAAGAGTAATAGAGAGAGCAATGCTGGGTGTAAGCCTAAGAGAGAGAATCAGAAACGAAGAGATAAGGAGAAGAACGAGGGTCTGTAACGTTGTAGAGCGGATAGTGAGCCTCAGGTGGCGTTGGGCAGGACACGTTGCCAGAAACAATTTGAAATGGACCAAACCACTAATGCAGTGGCGTCCAAGGAGAACGAAAAGAAGTGTGGGGCGTCCTCAAGCGAGATGGATAGATGACATTCAACGACATGCTGGGAAAAACTGGATGCAAACCGCACAGCAAAGGTTGGCATGGAAATCACTGGAAGAGGCCTATGTCCAGGAGTGGATGTCAAGAGGCTAAAGAAGAAGAAGAAGAAGAAACCTTAATTGTATAAATGAATACATATAGTATACTATAGATCTGCTCAAAATGATAGTTATGAAACACAAATATCAGTAGTATACTTACAAAATCAACGTATATGTTACAATTCGACATCTGCAAATAAGAGGTGCTGTGTTTTTCGAGAGCCACTACCAGTCCGTTCAAATGCACGTTGTAATTTCGCAATTGCACGGTCGACCATAGGCCGTCGATCTGATTCCACAGTGTACATACGCGGCTCGCCCTGAGTACGTCCGAAAAATCCAAATATTTAAAAATATGCACCAGGGTGTTGCTGACGAACCAATGGTCTTGCGCCAGCCGTTGCCCGAGAAAACTATCTTCGGACTCCATGTTTTCCTCTCTACCAATGTCGATAAAATCGGTACTCAGTGCTGCTGAAAAAACAAATTTCATTTTTGGACATTAGTTATAATGAGAGTTACTCATACTTTTTGCGATAAGGAATGATTAGATTTCGTTTCTCGGATGAATGGGGCTTGATAACCTATTTCCAGTTAAGTATAGAGTGTGAGCGAAAATGAACAAAAAATGCAGCTATGCATTTTTATCATATGAAAAACGATGAACAATAACGTTATTTTAAATAAAGCCAAAATTATTTCTTTACGATTAAGCGCGTTCTTAAGAAATATTATAATTTCTTGCCTATACCACAGATCTATTTGAACAAATATTAATAAAACAAAAAAATCGCAATAAATAGATACACACGCCGATCCCCAAACTTTGCAAACCCTCTTCAAACTGATTTATTAAAGTCGAAGAAACAGCAGTACCCTCCAATTTCGTGAGCTCTATAGGTAAAAAAGAATATTTTCTTGTTATATATATTAAGTTTTAATAATTTACCAATGGAAACTGGTTTCTTATACATATATATATATATATATATATATATATATATATATATATATATATATATATATATATATATATATATATATATATATATATATATATTCTTCAATTTCTCTTGGGTATTCGGTCTCTCGAAAACAATTAATGTGATTCTTCTAAATATTTATATACGTTTCGATCGTAATTTCGATCTTTTTCAAAATATTCTTATTTTTCTTATTTTGTATAGGTGACATATATATTTGACGTTGTGTTAATATATTAAAAATAAAAATAATTTGTCAGCGAATATTTTATACGGATTGGAATGGCATGCAAAACAGGTACGGATGTTTTTTATTATTTTTTATTATATTACATAATTTAATTTTGTTAGTTTAAAATTGAATGATATATTTTGTTAAGGTTTTTAGAATCGGTTTTGTGATTAACTGAATTTTTGTTTTTTTGGATTTCTATACTTTCATAAAGTTCTCTTTTTTTGGTGTTAGGTTCTGTTAGTAGGACTTCAAGTTTTTGAAAATTAAATGTATGTTTGATGTTTTAGAAATGGGTATGAAGAGCTGTTTTGTATTTTTTTTGTCATACTTAAGTCCGTTGATTCTATTTTTTAAATATTGGCTTGTTTGTCCTATATATACACTGTCGCAATTAGAGCATGGAATTTCATATACTATATTGCTTCTTTTTTCAACTGGGATTTTTGCTTTGAGTTTAGTGAAGAGATATGTTTTTTGTAAATTATAACTTTTGTGTCCTTGAAAATGGTTTGGAGTTTTTCTGATAATCCAGGTATATATGGTAGCGATATATATTTTCTTTGAGGATTTTGATGTTGATTTTTGTTTACGTTATTATAAAAATTGTTGGTACGTTTATTAAACATATTATTAATTAAGTTTATGGGATAATTATTTTCTACAAGTGCGTGTTTTGCTTTTTCAATTGCGTCTGGTCTATATTCTGGATCGGATAACATTAATGCTCTGTCTGCGAAACCTATTATGACGGATTTTTTTTTGGGTAGGGAATGATTAGATTTAAAATTTAGATAAAGTGATGATTTTGTTTTCTTAGTATACCAACTTGTTCTTATTTCATTTTGTATGTGATGTAGGGATAAGTCTAAAAAGTTAATAGTATTTTGGTTCTCAATTTCAATTGTTAATTGTAATTTTTTGTGGAAATTACTGAAGGAGTTTAGCAATAAGTCTGTTTTTGTTTTTCATTGAGAAAAAAAATACAAACCATCTAAGCACCACTTTGAATCATAAAAAGTCAAAATTAAATATATAATTGCATTTTTTTTCTCGAAAGCAAAGTCTCGCGAAAAACTTCTTTCTTAATTAAAAAAAAAAAGAAACGATAAAAACATCAGTGAAGTGCGTTTTTTGTTAACCCTATTCTTTTAACATACTGTTTCTCGAAAAAAATGCTACTCTATGCAATAAGGTTTATAAAACCCCGCAATTTTAAAAATTAAATATAATAAATGGAGCAAACGCGAACAAGATTTTCTTCTTGATCTCTCTTGCTAGGCTGTACATTTTACGGTACATTTAAGAATGTTATTTGTATATTGAGAACTTTTGATTAGATAATATTAGTTATTACATACCTTGAGTGTTATATTCCATAACTAAATAATAAAGACTTGAAACCTCGGTTGGAATACATACTTTATCAAAATATTTACGTGCTGAAAATAATAACGCAAAAAAGAAACCATAAACCAAGTTTGAAGGTCCATTCTAATCTAACATCGAGATATTGATTGTTGTTTTCTTAACCAACTAATGGCACTGCATCAACATACGGCGAATAAAAATAGAATTTATAGCTGTTTTTTTTTTACAAATTCGTCCAGAGCAAAGTGGGTAGCTGATATATGCATAATTAATAGTGTGTATGTTGTTCGTTGAAATTATTTTATTGTAAAAACCAAAACAAAGCAGACAGTAGTGGTTGTACCGATAAAGCACTTGTTGGCACGTTTTTTAATGACTTGATACTTACCGGGTCTGACACTAGTAGGATCATTTACTTTTGTTTGTTGAAATAATGAGGGTTTGTGTAATTAATTTCCTTCAGTTTTCGAGGTTATGCCATTCGCCTGCTACATACTACGTTCCAAACCGCGTTCTGCTTCTTCTTTACTTCAATGGCCGTTACAAGCCTGTTAGTTTTCCCTAATTAATTATCATTCACATATTCCACACGTGTTCTTTGTTGTTACGTGTTGAGATGAAATATGTAAAATAAAAAACACTGAGGCTTCGTTAAAGAATTTGTTTTAGGCAAATCCTACCCAAGCATGGACCATAAAAAAAAACAGAGGATCTGTTCCGAGATAAAGCGGGCGCGGGTGTTTATACAGTTGCCTGCTCATTCTACAATAAAATTGTCTGTTACGTGTTTTTAAAAGTCCGACTTTTCATTAATTTCAGTTTATTTTCGAAATATTGAAGTAAAACATTACTGAACGATTTAAAATGTATTAAAAGATTTTGATAATTCTTTAGTATAAAGTTGCGTGAAATTTTTGAGTTTAGCTGCTGCTCCAGCTACGTCACCCGGCTGACTCATAAGTTTCATGTATAAGATTTTTGTTATTAAACGATAAGCATTCTCTTTATTTCTGAATACATACAATACAAATGACGCCTGTTGTTTAACTTCCGGTTTTGGGCATACAAAGTATCTATTATCTATTAATACAGAATTTATAATTACATGATCACAGTTGTTTCGATTATAAACTACCATATATGGTTTAGAAAACCAACAAAAAAATCAATCAGTGAAATATTTAACCCTACTGGATCGTTGAAAAAAAATATTGATATTATAGGTTTGTTTCCTTTAGTTATGCGCTCATATTCATATACTCTTTGTTATTATTAAATAGTCCTTAATTTTAAAAAGACCCACTTTATAGTATCATCTTTGTGACATTCTGGTTTTGTTTAATATTTCTGCAAAATAAAATTAAGATGGCGCATAAACGTAAATTCAAAGTCAATATCGAAGATATATTGTTAATACAGTACCATTCTTATTACCCGAATCGCGAAAAGAAACTATTGAAAAAAAAAATTCCGATTAACCAAAAATTAAAGTAGTTCAACGATTAACTGATAGTGAATTGCTTAAAAATATGTATAGCAAGGATTTAGGTGAAGGCGTGAGTAGGGTTGCAGAATGAAGAAAACAATTTCATTTAAAAAAAAATAAATAAATATATTCAACTAAAACATATCTTTAACTCTATCTAGTGATACGCGTGTCCGAAAAAATCTTTCGGATAATCGAGACTGTATTGTATTTTGAGATCAACAACTTTTGGAAATAGGCAATCTTTTACAAAGCCGAATTTTTTGCAACGGTAATTGGAAAAAATGACTTTTAACAGCTTTTTCCCTGTATTTATTTATTTTTTAAATACCAGCACAGACTTACGCAGCCAAAATAAAATTTTCTTAGGAATTCTAAAACAATTTAAATTAGAAAATTATTCTTTACCCAGCAAAATAGAAACCATTCGTACGTATAACAATAGAATAAGTCAAAGTAGCTTCGCCTTTAAATTTTTCGACAGCAAAATTTCAGCAAAATAACAGGATGTGAAGACAGTGTAGAAGGTGAAATTACTGACCAATAAGTAATTAAGTGTTTGCAAAAATGCCATTGAAATAAGCAGTGATGACAAAATTCCAGTAAAAAAGTCAAATTCTCAAGGAGTGGAGGCCTTGGAGAAAGCGTGAACTTATGTAGAACAAGAAAATGCGACTGCCGCTAATTTTTATTAAATGTTGAAAAGATATTGCGGTCAAAAACAAAAGTACTGCCAGGCGATTATTCGTACGCAATTTGGTCCACATTCTTTCGTATAATCCGGATAATATAATAAGCCAAAACTTTATGCGTTAAGTTTTTTGATGTCTTTCTCAGTTTCCGAGCATCAAGATATTTGGTGGCAAACGTGGCAACGCCGTAAATCGATATGTCAGTTTGCCGCCACCCCTTTTAATTTCGGCGCTGTCAGTGATAAAACCGGGTTGGATTTTTAAATTATTTCTCGTTAGTTTTCTAGTGACCCTTAGGCTAGCGAATTTTGTAGCAAGCATGCTCGATTTAGAGTACGATTATTTTTTAGAAGAGGACAAAATGTGAGTAGAGCTTATCCCGCAGCAAGTTATTGATTTTTGTATTCACACACGCGAGCTAGAGATGCGTAGTTATTTCAGTGCATGAGATCATACGGGGTGTCACACTATAGCGTCCTCGGTTCACATCTTGCAAAAGATTGGCGACAGGAAAAAAAAAGAAATTAGGAAATTGCACAGGATATGCATTACCGTACCTGCCTAGCAGTGGACCGAATCTAAACATATTTACGATAGAAAGGGACAACTAGTACTGTCGATTCTTGTTGTTCTCTTGCTGAATTGTTTTACTACCGCATTTTCCGTTATAACTCTTGCTGGAATCTTTTCCGTATTAAATATAATAAATATTCATCAAAATATATCATATTTTATTCTTAGACTTCTACAAGCTGATATAAATTAAGTGTTCATCATTGGTAACTTGTTATGAGTAAAGATTAACAGTCAAATCAAATTAATGGTGAAAACAGGAAAACAATTGAATGAACACTGTGTATATTTTTTTAATTTAGCGTTCATGAATCACCAACAGAACTAAAAAAGGTCATATGCATTATTTACTGTTTTATTTGAGAATCAATAATAGTGACACCAATTTCCATGTCTTCATTTATTGTAAAAAATATTTGTCTCCTTTTTTTGCAAAAACGGTTTTGTGCTGTTGGTGTATTATGAACTTACAGGGAGTTTCATTTAAAAAGGTTACATTTTCCCCTTTTTTTTCCTAATCCCTACATTCAATTGTTGGGGAAGCAGATGTCCTTGAAAATTTGAGTAATCGCCGTCTTGAATTTTGCAACAGGTTTTCTGCAAAAATTTTCTTATATTAGTGATACTTAGACTGAACACAGCATTTTTGGTCGTACAATACCTGTATAGGGGACTTACACAGAGAAGCTTTTAGTTTTTGTTGCTCTATAAGCTGAACTCTACAGGATGTATTCCATAAGCGTAAACTTCTCGAAACAAATGACTATAAAAACAAAAAGGCAATAATTTCCATACAAAATATAATTTGATATCTTGAACATTAAAAAATATTTGATATTTTGAAAACATTGTAGCTGCTGAAACAGGTGTGTAAATTGAGAAACAACTTTGTTTTCATGGGGACTTTCACATAGGTAAATTATATATTATAAAACGAATTTTAAAAGCAGTTTAATTTTACAGGTACGTCTTAACTGATATAAATTATCTAATTCAAATCGCCATGTTTTCCTTGTTAAAATCGAAAGGACTTCATATTTGAGGCACCCATCAATAAAGTCTATTAAAAGTTTTGAATGTAATATCGGATTTTAATTATTACCGTATAAAAATAAAAATTTACGACGTAGATTGTTTTTAAATGAAACGTTTTCGATGCTTCTGTAAAATAATTTTTTAGTATTGTCAAACAATACAGACATGTTAACGTTTTTATAAGTGCGATATTAAGGGTTACCAGTTATTTTTAAAATAAAACAGTTATCCTCGTATTCAAAGTTGTTATATAGTAATTTCGGAAACGAAGAAATTCAATAGATACGTATTCTATTAACTGTTGAAAGTTCTTTCTAAACTCGTCCGCCCTGTACAGACATATTATCATTTATAACCCGCATAAGCGTTCCTACTTCCTGGCTCTTATCTGTTTGATTGGTTACTCGCGTTCTACATTCACGGTTATTTTGGCGAAACGTTTTATTCGGTTTGAAAAGTGCCTAGCGAATATATAATAGTGCGCGGAAATATATAATAATATGTACCATTCCAGGCTTGACGGTTCATATTTCTATTACAGTTATCGTCAGTTGTACGGCTACGAAGACAAAATGTAACTATGTGCTTTATATTGCAACCTCCATGTCATGTTTTGAGGAATACATTGAAAATTTGCAATGACAGGGATCGCAACTTAAAAGTTACATCGTAAAGTTTTGCCCTAAATATACACTTTGGGTCAAAAAGTAGATACTATGTTGGTACTCTGTACCGTCATTTATCACAGTGAAATTTTCTGCAGCTGAATTTAAACGTGGCCGTAAGAGCTTAAGAGATGATGAACGTCCAAAAACTGTAACTACTAGGATAGTAGGCAAACTCAGATGACACGCACGTACGTCCAAATAGAGGTTTTAAAAGGATTTCCAGCTTGCTGGAACTTAATTTCTCAAAATGGTTATTACAAGTCCTCTCCATAAGTCTTCCTCCCGGACTTCGTTACCGATTCACTCTTTCCAATTTAAGATGTTCTTTGGTATTCGTCGTTGTGGTATTCTGTGGACATCTCCATAGCACACGATTGTCCTGTCTTCATTCTCTCTCGTCTGGCCCATCGCGAGAAGTCCATTTCCGTGGCTCTTACTTAGTGTTCTTTGTGTTTTTTCTTCAGCCCTGTAAGTACTGCTTTTCACGATTGTTTCTGTCTATTCGTCTATATTTGGTATATAATGGACATACACTCGGTCTAATCGATGTTGACTTCATGATCCTACTGGTCATACTCCTTGTGGAACAACAACTTGATCATCCGCTGGTATTCCCATGTTACTTCCTTTTCGTTTTCAGTTCTTTAGTGTATTTTCTAAATAAATGAGATATGCAGGGACCTATCATAAGACTTTTGGTAACATCAAAGCTTGTCGTAAATCCCTCGTTTGTTTTAACCCTAGATCTTAGATCTTGATACAGTTTTTGGCTTTCCAATAGTTTTACACAACTTTGGGTTTGGGTTTTTGTCTTGGGCATCTTTAAATTGTTGTCTAGTTAATATTGCTTCCATGGCCTTTCCCATTGGTTATTATTTTTTTATCATTCTTCGTACTCTGGCTTCTGATTTTTCGTAACTTAGTTTGTCGTTTACGTTTTTTGAGCTTATGTATTTGTGGTAATTTTTCCTGGTTTCTTCTATTTCGTATTCAATCTCTTCATTTCACTAGTGAGGTTTCCGTTGTTTTTCGCTCTTCTTTTATTAACCTAGTGCCTATTCTACATTTTACATTTTATACATTTATATTCTATATTGTTGAATTTCACCTGTTCCATTTTCTTCTTCTTCATTTTCCAAGCTAATAGTGTTAATTCTTAGCGATGCTCCCTCATTTGCAGGTTCTTTAATGTCAGAATGGCCCTTGTTTTCCTTTTATACTTTATATTTATTTTATATTTTGGTGTTTCTTGTTAAATCTTAGTTATGTTGTGTTTCCTGTGATCCTCTTCTTCTTTCAATACACTCAAGGTCCTTCGTTGGCTAACATCATTAGCTGAAAGCTATGTTATCATTAATTTTTCAAAGAAACTCCACAGGTAATACTTTTTACAAAACTTCCGGATTCCTCCTGCGTCGATAAAGCAAACTTGCTAACGTTTCGAAAATCATCCTGTTGGCTTCTTCAGGTTCAGTTAAGCTCTGAAGAAGTCAACAGGCGAAACATTAGCAAGTTTGACCCAACAAAAACCGACGCAGAAGGAATCCAGAAGTTTTATTAGGACTATGTTATCATTATAATTATCATCCAGGAGATCTGAACATTTTGGTTAGTAGGACTCCACCTTATATATTACAAACCTGGATTTGCTCCATATTTTAGCTTTTCACTGTATAATCATAATTATACGTGCTTATAATTACAGAGGTAGGCAAATAATCAAGTAATCGGTGATATGGCAGTACCATTATTTTTCTTATTTCGTGGTACCAAGCGGTTTATTCAGATTTATAGTCTCCAGTAGCTTCTTTTTCAGCATAGGTTTCTTCAATTGCGGTGTATAGTTTCTTTTCAATAATGGTATTTTTCCGGATTTTCTTCAGTGGTACCTGGAATTATTTATGACTATTAATAAAATAATTTTGTTGACTGCTCAACTCCAGTCATATTCGAACATATTTCAATTACTTAAACTCCCAATGTTGAGCTTTGGTGGCGTAGAGTTTTGAACACATGGAGAAAATCATCATCAGTATATTACTACACCCACTAAGTATTACAGTTTAGAGTTTTACATGGTAAACCAAAAAAAAAACTCTCAGTCTTCTCTACCAACAGTTGGCCATTAATAATGGTTTCCCCGTGAACTCGTTTAAACAGATTTTTGAATAAACTTAACCAAAACTTGCGCCGGTGTTCCTTTCAAAAATATTTTCTGCAAAACTTTTATTCATTTCCGGGTTTCATTCAGAACTGTTAGTAATCTTACTGTACTATACTGTCCTGTATTGTACAGGCTGTACTGTTTGTTATATTACTCAAAAGAACAGGATTTTTTTAACTCACAAAAAATAAATAAAAATTCGTTAGATCCAGTCAACGCCAAATATACTTTTGCCCATCATATCATAACTGAGAAGCACTCGTTTGCATCATACTTTTCGCACTAGTCGTCACATTTTGTTATTTGTTTATTAGGTGGTGTTTTGCTTTTTTTAGGTGCACTTTAAGTCAAAATATATCAAAATAAAAATAAATATAATAATAAAAAAACCTGACTGATAATCAAACTTCAACAAGGTCTCTGATTATGCGCATAATAAATTGGGTTAGCTATTGTCGCTTCTCATTAGACCGGAGCTTTCTGGTCAGACTTCGACAAATAACGACATCAGTAGTTGGATGGATAACTTTGTTAATATTGACGTTACGATATATCACGGCATATTATGGCATTAGAACGGGGAACCATCTCACAATGTAAAATCCGTAGGAGACTATTTGCAAAATAAATACAATGTCTGTAATACTCTGGCCTCCTAACAGTCCAGATCTTACTTGACACCTTTTTATGGGGATTCCTAAATTACATTTTATAGCAAAGCTGTAATATAACTTTTTAAGCCAATCCTCAGTTATTGAAAAAAAATTATTGAAAAAAATTAGAAAAAACCAAATGTACAGTAACGATACTTTTATTTCTGATTGTTATACGTTATTAAACACGTTTTAATTAAAGCTAAATATGTGTTATTAAGTTGAAGAAAAAGTAACCATAATTAAGTGGTATTATGCAGGAAACAGTCTTAGAGTGGCGTATTATTACTCAGTTCGGGTCCAAAGGCACCGTAATAAATAACTGCAAATGTTCAGATGAAAATGTCGATAACAGAGCAGAAGAAAGTGACAATAGAGGTTACTGCGAAGATTATTGGACAAGCTGTAAATTAGCATCAAACCACAGTATTGCGCATATTAACAAAACACATATCTTTTTCTTATAAATACGAAAAGCACCCAGAGCTCTAGGAAGGTTATGAAGCAAAAAAGATTAGCATTTTGTTTTGAAATGATGGAAAAGGCAAATAATGATAATGAAAATCACTTTGGATATTGTTTAATTGTTAATGGAGGGTTGTCTGAACATTTACTTAAAAAATAATGTTTCTTTTTAGCAATGTTTTGCAGCTGTATTTTTATTATAATTATTTAATAAAAGACTTGAGGACCTTTGTTGCTTGAACCGTCTTTTAAATAAAATGAACACTTAAGACTTTGTCTTTATTGTAAACCAACCTTTATCTGACATGTCATTGTCCAGTTTGACGTTTGCAGTGTTACCACCATATTTAATTCAATAAATGAAGATTGGCTTATTAAAATTTATTCAAACTCGGCACATGAGTTAATTTTCCGCACGAGTTGCAATCCGGCCCCTTCAAAAAGTTATATTATAACTGCAAAAGGAGCGGAATGTTTAAATAACTCCAAAACTGCCAAAGCCAGAGCGATAAATTTAAATACGTCGTGGTTTTTGAACATACAGAATTCAAAAATGCTAATGGCCATGTTGTGAGACTCACCACTTTTACGCCACAATTTTGTCAATTTAAATGTCGAATTTAGTAACTCCGGCAACACCGCTTTTTCTGTAAAAAGTACCGGAACACTTAAACAATATGTCCAAAAGTGCCAAAGCTGGAACGATAATGCAGTGTTGTCAAACTTATCACTTTACACTTTTTATCGCTCCCGCTTTGGCAGTTTTGGAGATATTTTGAGCGTTTCGATATTTTTTACTAATCCGGCATGCCATTGCCATATTGCCATATTCCGCAGAAATGCTGTACCGCTAGAATTTTTCGCAGGGGTATGACGGTAACGTCGGGCAGTGTGACGATTAAAAAGGACGACAACAATCTCATAGGCATCAGCATAGGCGGTGGAGCGCCATTATGTCCTTGTCTATACATCGTTCAGATATTTGACAACACCGCAGCCAGTCGGGACGGTACCCTTCAGTCCGGCGACGAGTTAGTTTCCGTAAATGGCCAGTCCGTTAAAGGGAAGACGAAAGTGGAGGTGGCTAAAATGATTCAGGCCACCAAGGTAACATATCCCGAAGTTCTTTTTGGTATTCTGAACTTCCATTTTCTTTCCTATTTATTTCACAACGATCCACGTGTCTGCTGGTGAAAACTGCTTAGATATAGAAATTAAAACATGAATTTACGTATTAATCTACACCGTGTGCCACATAAAACGATCCACTATACGATCTGGAAACCTATAGGAGATACGAAAAAAAGTTTCATAAAAAAAGTTTCTTGCACTCTCCTGGAGATTTAAAATATTATAATTTTGTTGATACAGGGTGTCCCGAAAGTGTAACCCCCTACATCAACTTTGTTATTTTAAAGGGAACACCCTGTATATATCCACATTTTTTGTATCCTTGGTTAAAATAAAGGTCACTTTCTTAACAAATCCCTAATCGAATTTTGCATAGTTTACGCAGAAATTGAGGTTATGTGTTTTTTTTTTTCGTATTTTGATAGCCCCATATAAAATTGTGTTGTGACGCTACTGACCCAGGCATTTCGACGAAAATTTAACCACAGACTAAGTAGATGATGCATTACTCAATCAGTTTGACGGATGCGCCTCGGCTTATACAGGGTGTCCCAAATAGGTGGTGCCGTTTTGGCGAATTCAATTAACAAAATATCAAGCTTCTCAAATGGAACTCCTTATTTATTTATATCAGAAAACAAGGTAAGTTTGTAATTTATCTTATATTTAAATTTCACTTATTTTTTGAGATATTCGAATTTTAAGATAATACTTGTTGAATTTTAAGCTGCCCACATTTGGTCACTTGTTTTCAATATTAAGAGCGCAGAGGCGGCCACTAAACTTTATTTCGATATTTATTCAGAGCAACACAAATTTTACAAGCGGATATTTCGGACGTTAAACAATAATTTAGCCAATGATGTTTCAAAAAGCCAAGGCAAAATCAAAACCAGTTAAATGAAGAACAGGAACTCTGGGAATTGAATATGAATGCAGAAGTATTGGAAAATCCACGATGTGCCGGAGGAGTAACATTTTGCAATTGGTTTACCGGAAAATGCAATGAGTACATTAATTTCCCATTATCTATTGTTTAGAGCTCTCGCTGAAGCACAGAAAAACCTCATACTGTAGTGTTTTTTTTTTTAATTTGACAGCCGACATCAGCAAGATGGTTGTCCCGCTCGCAACATACTGATTGTACGTGAACTTTTAAATGAAGAGTGTGAACAATGTTGGTTTGCAACTACTGGTGCCATTCTGTGGCCTGCGAGATCGTATGATCTAACTCCTCTTTTTTTTAAAAGGGGAGATTAAATTATATATTTAAAGATTGAAAGCAAAGTTAGATTAAACCACTGGAGAAGCATATAGCGCTATTCAGCACGAAAAGAGAACCTTCAGTGTATTGGAGACAAAATCACGCGCAGATAATTAGACGACAATCCCGGAATTTTAGATATTTACCATATAACAGGAATGACTTTCTCAGACGCAGATTAAAAAGTATTACATACTGGAATTGAATCTGGACCTATTGCGGATTTAGGTTTAACTACTCTAACAGCTTTTTGCACCTGATATTCGGAAAACTTTCGTATGTTTATATTTGAGAGAACCCCCGTTAGAAAATGACTGCCGGTGTGATTAAAATTTATAAAGCTGGGTACACCCGAGATTTCTCTTTCTTAGGATCTTTTTTATTGTCATATTCAATTGATATCATATCAGAAGATAGCTTTTATAGGAGTCCTTAATTTCAGCTTTTATCTTTGAAATAAGGCACGAGTTGTTACAGAAAATTTGCTTATTTTTGTAAGAAAAGCTATAAATATGAAAAAATACAAAATTAAATTTCAAACCCAATAAAAGTGCTAAATCCTGGGTGTTATATTTCACACAATTTAGTTTTTTAATTAGAAAAACCACTTTTTTGTTTGTGACTTCTCTTTATAGATAGGTCAAAGCATTAAATATTAACCACTTCCGTGGATCCATAATGAAAATTGCGAAGTGTAAAAAATACATTTTCCCGCAAAAAAAGGAAACATACGCTTTTCTCAAAAATTATTCAAAATTTCTTATTTTATGTAAGGACAAAAAATACTCAAAATAAAGCGAATAATTTGAATTTCTAAAAATATTCATGGCATTGCATAAAAAAAAATTAAAGATCCTGGCACAACACCCTATATACATAAAAACACTATAAATAAAATATATAATTTTTCAAGGAAACTTCCACAGGCACTGTAATACTTTTTATAAAACTTTTGGATTTCTCCGGCGTCGGTTTGTGTTTTGTCGCTTTTGTTGCTTAGCAAGTTCGAGTCAACAAAAACCGACGCAGTAGGGTCAAACACTTTTTGTCTTTAATTTTTTTTCTTCAATGGCGTATTTATTGAAATAAGCTATAGGAGCATCTTTACAATCTCCAGTAGCTCAGCTTCCTGCTTCTTTACTTCTTGTTGCCAATGGATGGTGTTATGGGTGCCATTTTCGAATTTTCTTGAATGGTAACTGGCATTATCCCTGATTGTAACAGACCCAGCAGGAATAGGATCTGGTATTTGCTGGAAGTAGTTTTCAAAAACAACAGCATTCATGTCATGATGATGGTCTTTATTTTTGTTCGATATAGGATGAAGTGGTCATCAACTATAACAAACTCCACGCCGATCCGCAACAGGGTAAAAGTCTGGACATCGTCCTGAAGAAAATGAAACACCGGCTTGTCGAAAACATGAGCTCGTCGACGGCTGACGCGCTAGGCTTGTCCAGGGCTATTCTCTGCAACGACACTTTGGTGAAGAAGATGCAAGACCTACAAGACACGGAACTGATGTACAGAGGATTGGTCGACCATTGCAAGCGCGTGCTACACGTAACTACCACATCGAACGTGAAAAACGAATGTGTGTTAACGACAATAATTCGTTTGAAAGGCTCACATGGAACTAATGCAAACTGTGAAAGGGATAGGTGACGTGTTCGTCACTTTGGCTGTTAGAGAACCTCAGCCGAGGGCGAGCGAGGCGTTTCGTTACTTTGGAGAGCAACACAGGAACATGGAAAAGGCTGGACTCGAGATGACAAAAAAGGTTAAGCCAGTAAGTTCAGTTGATTAGGTAATAAGTGGTTTCTAAGCTTGGCAACTCCAACACTAAGTCAAATGATCTAGAGTCATCGAAGCATTTGCCCGTGAATTTTTGAGTCTAGTTATAATCTCCAGGATCAGTTGATTTTGTAGGAGCTATATGGATTGAAAATCATTTTATTCTTATATTCTTAGTACCTTCTATTTCTTTTCATTCACCTTTAACACGTACCATACATCATGACGTTGTTACTCAATGTTCATACTTAACCAGGGTGCTTATTCATAATATACAACAGATGTTCCATATTTACATGTCATTAGAATTTTTGCAGCTAACTGACTATTGAAATTTGAATTGCAATGTTTTTGTACGTCAATTCAAGGGGTGCGAATTATTTATACTCAGGGAGACTAGAAAAAACAAACCAGTTTATATTTCTGGAGCGATTAGCAACAAGTCCCTTCCTTAAAGGTTGTCAATTCCGATTCAGAACTTGACATTGAACAGAAAACTGGTCATAGAAAACTCTCAAATCACAACAATGTCTTATTTTACTGTTTTTAATTTTATTTCCCTACAGAATAGGGTTTAATGGCTGCGTATATTTCTGGCCTAATAATGAAAAAACAAATATTTATCATAGGCCGTTGTTTTAGTTGATGTGTGAGAGGTCCTGGTTAGCTCTAACGTCACTGTAGTCACGTGACCTGTTTTACAGGCAAGCATTTACTTCGATGTGCTTGTTCCGCGAACAACTTTTTTTAGATTTTGTTTTTCTTGGAAGACCCATAGGGACCATTGCTGTTTTGTTTCAGGCCCATATGCTGTGCAGATGTTACACCACGTTGATATTTTTTCAACATTTCTTTGCACAAATAGACACGAGCCTTTCTTACTGCCAAATAATAATGGTGCTTGTCATACTAATGACCAAGGATGCCTCAATCTCACGGCATGCCAAATGACAATCTTGCATTATCAGTTCACGCACAACATCGATGTTTTGTGGTTCTTTTCTTAATAACCCATGTCGATAGTTATGAAAAATAATGGTCAATTCAAAGTAAAAATATAATGATTGTGGATTGTGGATTCCGTTTATGAATATAAATTGTTGATCAATTTTCATTTTCTTGGTATTTTTGCTAGGAGAGTGAAGCCACTGAGAGTCGGAGACTTGCGTGGGGGAACTAACGATTTTGCTTTCATCTGAGAATTGGTGTCTTTGAATGTCATAACTACTGTGTGATTGTAGTCCCTTTAAGGCACTGAAAATAATGTTCCAATATACTTTTTGATATTTTTAATTAAGGATCACAATGAAATGTAGTCCTTTTAAATTCCCAGTGACTTTGTAAGGATTTACCCATATTAATTAAATACTAAATATTTCCATATTGCCATAGCTTTTACCCTTACCTTCGAGTTAAGTCGATGAAAGGAATTTAGGCTCCTCGAAAAAACTCGCCATAGCACTCACAGTGCACGTAGTTTGGCAACATTGATTGCGAAGTCAGTGGTACCTTCTATGATGCTAGAGAAAGATGTCATTGAAAGATTGAAAGAACAATGGCGCAATGTTGTTCGTTTTATCAGAAGACCTTTCATTTATGAAGCTGTCGAATGTCAAATATACTAGCTTCGGGTGTCCTACATAAGTTCATTGTTTTCTCCAACTTTAAATCGGATCCCGTTAACATTAATTAATGTACATTATACAACTTCCTCAAAAATTCCTGTTACAATTTTATTTCGCACCATGTCTCGCGAATCTTTATATTCCTCCCATTTTGTCTGCGCTGTAGGGTTCTGTTCTGTTATAAACATCAACACTGGAACAGTCTTGTTTTTTACAAATTCTCTGCATTTCACACCCTTTAGGTAGAGCTGTTTGGTTTCATTTTGGTCGGTCGCCACTGTTGTTTAGTCAATAATAACAAATAAAAGAATATAAGTGATGACTTCGTAGCGTACAATCATGGTACGAGTAACTTGCTTAAATTTCAGACAATACTAAGGTAACAAAGTGCAAACTGGGTATGAAAGCTAGGCCCGGAAAATTCCAGATGGGAGGTTAAGATGTGGTATATCAACATAAGATATTGATTAAATACTTATATCTGTCTAGGGTTGACGGTACCTTAGATGTTTACGGCGAAATGTACAATTTGGTCAGTTCCATAAGCGGCGATGTTAATTGCTAATGACGTGGGATCGGGCGATCTTGCTGGCCAATCCCATGGCCACAAACGTTGAAACCCAATGATAATTCGTATACCTAATTCATGCGACATCTCTTCAGTGCAGTGAGCAGGTGCCTCATCAAGAGGTCCGAAGTTCCTGAAGACTAGTATTCTCGAGAAACATTTACCCCTGTTCTCAACATTTGAGGGTATTTTGATTCAATTAAGGAACTCTCATTTCTTCTGTGAAACGAAAATTGTCGATAGACCAAAAATTCAAAAAAAAACCCTGTTCTTAAAATTTTGCCCTGTCGCGTCGGTCCAAATAATTTTTGACAGAAAAAGAGGGTCCTCCTCAATATGGACCACCAATATTGCACAAAAAGACACTCTCTTATCATAATTATTTAAGGTGAGTAAATTCAAACAGAGCTGCTTAATTCATCTGCTATGCTACCAATCAAACTATTTGGATTGGTTTTGGTAATTTTTCTTTCTTTTATTTATATAATAATTTTATTACATCTCCAAGTGCATAATCTGCGTGACTACATTAATAGTGGCCATTTGTATATTTTTCGGAACCTAAATCTCATTTTACAAATAGCGACATGGCTTATATTGATTTAATCTTTTTCTAGCTTCTTTTTGCAAGGTGAGAACAATTTCGCTTTGATAAAGACAATATATCTATTGTATATACCTGGCCTACCAATAAGCAATAACAATTCAACACAATATTAGCACTGCGCACTGCGCTCACTGACACGAAAAATAAGAAAAGTCAAAATCCAGAAACGCAAATTTCGAAAAAAGGCACCAAATAATTCATAACCAAAGCACACAAAAATACGAGGGTCACTTGCAAAGATTCTGCCCCACCCTGAAGATGACGCCACTAGTTACTAAAAGCTAGTGATTGTAGTGTTAGTTATTCACCAAAGTTTCGGCCATTTTGGAAAAGTGGTTTTTACTTTAAAATTGATTAGACCTGTTATAAAATATTTGCTTTTGAAAATCAATACTCCTACGCAAATTCAGTTGAAATCGTGGGCAGCTGAATTTAAAAGCAAAAGCTGTTTTTTTTATATATCCATGGAGTCATCTTAATGGATAACCTTAAAAAACGCGTCGTCTCATATCTCAGCTGTTGGTATAGCTTCACCGTTCACTTTTTCATCAAATCTAGCCAGCCTCAAGAGACTTATTTTTGTTCCCTTGTCTGAAAACTGCTCTCGGAGTACAAAGATTTATGTCAAAAAAGCATGATGTGATGATGTGAAGAAGTGTATAGAGTGGCAAGGAGAAAATGTAGAATGTAGAGTACTTTCTTACATAAACAAGACATTTTGCGAGCACTAATATACAATCATCGTTGTTTTCTAAAATTACATTCCTGCTGAGTCGATTGTCACTTTTACAATTAGATCTTTATCAGGAACCGACTCAGGAGGAATCCAGAAGATTTGTAAATAACAATTAACATGGTCGGATTTTGTCTGTACCCTCCATTTTGTCTCGAGGTACTGGCAGACATGGGGACGTATCTACACAAAGCAATTCCGGATACTAGATTGACGGTTCGAAAGTATGCTGATGCGAAGTTTGAGTATTTGGCTTACTGCCTAAAAGTGAAAGAGATGGACGACGAGGAGTGTGGATACGCGGCTTTGCAGGAGCCAATCTATCGGGTCGAAACTGGAAATTATGAGTACAGGTATGTAGGCAATGCCCTAAAAGTCTACCACAAAAAAATTATAAATGTGACGTGAAATTTTTGTTGCATAACTTATTATACTACATAGTATACAATGACAAGAAAGCAATTTTCTTAATTGTAAGGATACTGATACACTCTGAGTCGCTGACGTTTCGGCAAGCTTAATGCTGACTTCTTCAGAGCGCAGACTGATTTTATGATTGAGACAGAATCAACATACAAAGTAGAAGATGTCATAATAGTCATAATAGATGTCATATAGTATAATTTATATTATTGCGTCTAATTTTGTTGTTTATGCGGCAAATATCAGCCTTATAGGATTCAAATCGTAGGGTCCGCGTCTACGAAATTTTTTGTTGATAAGAATATCGAAGTATGGGAAATTATTGTTAGGGTCTCATATAATGGTAAAATGTTTGTTAGGGAGCATAGAGTTTAAACGGCTAAGAAAATATCGCCCAATAACAAAAGTAACATCAAGGTGTCTTCTAAAAGGCCGTTATAAGAAAAATATGTTCTAGATAAGCATTTTTCAATTAAAGTGAGAAAGTTTGGTTCCAGGGTATAGGGTCTTAATATAGAATCCTGATATTTTGTTAGAGAATATGTTTGTTCTTGCCCGAACACAGTGAAAGGTGTCTTTGGTGCGCGAATTGAGCCGTGGTATGGTTTGTTCATAGTAGAAAATAAAAAATAATTTTATACCTACCTGTGTTTAATATTCTTTGGTTTGGTATACTACTTAATTTAAGTTTATTCTTATTCGTGTGTTGAATCGTGTGCGAATTATGCAAAATATGTGCTATTATATTGAGACTAAGGAAGTTGTAAACAATGTTTATTTGACTCTCATTGAACGTGGTGCCAGCAAGCAAGCATCTTTAGAAGAAACGGCCACATTGACGAAAATTCCAACATCAACTGTATGGAAAATTGTTCTAGGAAAAAAAGAAGCGATGCTGACATTTTCTCAAGTGTAGATGAAAGATTCTTCTCTGGATTACCATGAAGACACCACCGCTGATTTATTTGGAAGTTGGATTAAAAACAAACTAGTTCCAAACATTCGTCCTAACACCGTAATTGTAATGGACAATGCAAGTTATCACAGTAGACACTTGACTAAAACCCCTTCCTCATGTTACACAAAAGCAACAATCCAAAACTACATATATAATAACCACGTTTATTTTCACGAAGACTATACCAAAAAGCAATTAATTTAGGTTCTACAAAGCGTAATCAAGCAAGCAAAATCTAGGGCATACAGTTTTAAGGTTTCCACCTTACCACTGTATATTTAATCCCATTGAACATGTTTGGCACCAACTGAAATCTGCCATTCGTCGTAACAATGTTTTTCCCCGTGTTTACTCCAATGTCCTCAAACTTATAGAAACCGATGTTTTTAACATCCCTCCACAAAGTTGGGCAAATTCTGTTAAACATATAGAAAAAGCGGAACAATCGTATTGCAAATAATATAGAACATATAATAATTAGAACAAGCGGTGATAGTGATAGTGATACTGATATATTATGTGAATAATTTCTAGTAATTTAAGTAATGTAATTTTATTTTAGATTTAAAGATAAATACATACATAAATAAATAAATATTCTTTAGTATCTTTCCTAACAAAACCCCAAATAATTAAATTCTAAGCAAAGTACGGACCTGTTCGGCCATATTTCATTCTTACAGCTTGCCCGGGTCTTTCCTTAATTCGCATCAGTTAGTCACTTTCTTATATCTATGGACAGACTTTACACGATTATCTAAATACTCTATTAGATGCGGACTATCTATAATGTTCTGTAGCAATTTATAAACAAAGATAAGTGACACACACTTGTCAGGCTATTCATATTAAATTTTTTCACGTAAAATTCGTAGATTATGCCTCTCGCTGGATACGCGCCTTTTGTTTCGAACAACAGATACTTCACAAACTTTTTCTGTACACCATCGACCGGCCAACTATGAAAAGAGTAAATCGGATTCCACACAATCGAGGCGTATTCAAGCTAAGATCGAACATAACTAAAATACAGGGCCTCCAAAGCAGCAATGTCGATAAAAGAATTGCAGTGGCGTACTATAAAACCATAATTACGAATGTAAGTCTTTGACCGAAATGCACGCCCAAGTCTTTAGTATCTGCAACACGTCGGAGAACAATATTTGAGATTCTATATTGAAAATCGATATTTTCTTTCCTACGAGTGAAGCTTACAACCTTACATTTATCTATGTTAAGACTCAATCAGCAATACTGGAAATGGAAGTATAAATTTTTAAGTCATCCTTAAACAACAGGTTCTGCGTATTATTGAGATTTGAAACAACGTCATTAATAAAAATTAGAAATAGTAATAGTCCTGTGGCACAGCTGATGTTGTGAAATATCTATCAGATGTATACCCATTGTAGGATATGTACTGTCCTGTCACTTTTAAAAATTGGACAGACCCTGGACGGCGCAAGGTTAAATCTTTTAAGTAAAGGCTTGGAAAAGACACTAATACAATCTTATACTAAAAAAGAAGGAATTCTGATATAGAAGAAGCCTTAATAGCAGATCTTTTTTAAGTTGACGATAGGATCCTGAATTTTTTCCTGATATTCATTTGTGTTCATGACAACTGTGACGGGATAAGATTTTAGATATTTTAGAACAATGCGTTGAAATATTAGATTTTGCATTTTTTAACGAGTTCTTAACGGTTTGAAATAAGACAGTAATTTGTATGGGATAGACTCGACATTATATGTGGGGCAAGGCCGAAGTCGGAAGATTTTGCAAGAACTGATTTTGCCGTGTCACAAAGTTGGTGTAATATTGGGTTGTTCGGAAAGTCATTTCGTTTTTTTTGGGAAACATGAAAGACAGTTTTCGTATACTAAATAAATATTTTATTAAATTATATATTGGCCGTTCTGGTCCAGCACCTTTTGCCATCTTTCTGGCAGTAACATAATTCCCCTCTCATAAAAGTTTTGGTCCTTGCTGGCAAAAAACTGGTTCAGGTGGTTTTTGACATCTTCATTTGAGGTAAAGGTTTTGCCATCCAAAAAATTTTGCAGGGACCGGAACAAATAGTAGTCGGAAGGTGCCAGATCTGGAGAATGTGGTGGATGTTGCAGCACGTCCCATTCAAGCTGTAAAAGTTTTTGGCGAATGACCAAACTTGTGTGAGGTCTCGCATTATTCTGGTGGAAAACTACACCCTTTCTGTTGATTAATTCGGGCCTCTTCTCTTTAAGTGAATCATTCAATTTGTCCAGTTGATGACAATAGACTTCTGAATTAATCGTTGTATTGTCCGGCAAAAGCTCAAAAAAAAAAACGATTCCTTTGACATCCCACCAAACGGAGAGCATCACCTTTTTTTGGTGATTGTTGGCTTTTGGCACGCTTTGAGCCGGTTCATCTTTTCTGCTCCATGACCTCTTGCGTTTAACGTTGTTGTATACAACCCATTTTTCGTCCCCAGTAATAATCCGCTTCAAAAATGGATCATTTTCTTGACGTTTGAGGAGCGAATCACACACGTCAACGCGACGACACAAATTTCGCTCCGTAAAGACATGGGGCACCCACACATCGAGCTTCGAGGTTAAGCCCATGCCTTTCAAATGGCCATAAACAGTCGAATTCGACAAATTTAATCTCTCACCGATCTCTCGTGTGGTTATTCGCCGATTTGCATCAACTAATGCCTTTATCGCATCTTTGTCAGCTTCGACCGGCCTTCCAGACCGTGGTGCATCTTCGACATCAAAATTGCCGGATCGAAATTTTGCAAACCAGTTCTGGCACTGGCGTACTGTTAACACGCCTTCTCCATACACATCCGTCAATTTTTTTCTCGCTTGGACAGCATTTTTACCTTTTCTGAAGTAAAAAAGTAAAATATGACGAAAATGCTGCTTATTGCTCTCCATATTTAAAAGGGCACCAACCAAAAACTACTGCGTAGAATTAATAGAACTTTTTCACACACAAGCCTTGCAATATCAGCTCTCAAGACGTATAATGGTTATGCGGCTTAAGTGTGAAGTTGGTTTCGAAAAAACGTAATTAAGTCCTCTGACGGGAAAAAACGAAATGACTTTCTGAACAACCTTATAATATACACATCCATATGCATACGGTTTCATTTAAGCTCTGAAGAAACCAACAGGATTGCTGGCGAAACGTCAGCAAGTTCGATTTATGGAGAACCGACGTAGGAGGAATCCACAAGATTCGTAAATAGTATTTCTGTAGCCTGTGGAAGTTTCTTCGACAAGTTTCCGAAACAAAACATTTAATTGATTCGCAGACTAATATTGCGGTGTCGACAGCTGGCCCGGGCAAGATTCGCCAAGCTTCGAGCGGACGTGTTGGTGAAAATGGAGCTGTTGGACAACAAGCACGTGCAACAGCTAGGTGGTCAGCTGCTCAGAATAGTGAATGCGATTTCGGAAATGCACGCCGTCCATTTGCAATTGCTTAGCGGACCTGCCCTGTTTCCCGTAGAAGTCGACTTGTCAAACAATGCGTTCCAGTACAAATCTACAACGCCTGTCGTGAGGGTGAGTTTTCATAGAGTCTCTTTTAAGATAAATATCTACCATACTGAAAAAAGGCACTAGGCAACATTGAACCAATGTTTACCATACATATCTCATATCTTAAATTACTTAATCAAACACTCTATCTAATTTGAAGAAAGCTAAAATAATACCGTTACGTAAAAATAACAATTCGGAAAAATTTAATAGATTTAATAGATTTAATTTAATGAGAAAAAGGAAGAGCTAAGGAAATTCAATTGCAACAGTTCATGGAAAAAGAAAAACAAAACATCGAACAAAAAATATATGAATTTTGGCCTTGTTGGATTACTCTTAACTTTTGATAGCACCAATCATATTCTCAATATTTATAGTGAGAAATTTCTCATTACATAATCACAATGTGCATCAAAATGCAATTGTGGATCTAATGCAATTCCCAAATATTTTATTTGTTGTTTTATATTAATATTAACACTCTCCAGATCCAAACCAGTCAATCTATGTCTTTGGCCATACAAACAGAACTTCGACTTCATGACATTAATGCATTGATATCTCGTTGCATTTCTTCGATAATGTAATTTTGCTGTTTTTCACAACTTGAGCTAGATCATTAATATACAGAAGAACAATAATGGCCCCAAAACAGTCCCCTATCGTACCCCATGATCCACCAACACAGACTCAGAGACAGATCACTCATACTTTACTTTTAGTGTTCTGCCAGATAAGTAAGATTATAGCCAATCCAGGGCTAAGAGATTTATACCCATATTTTCTAGCTTTGCTACTAAAATATCCCTATTGATAGTCTCAAAAGCTTTTCTGAAGTCCAAAAACAGAGCCAAAATAAAACTATTGTCATCGACAGCCCCAACAAATTCATCACAGTCTTGACTAGAGACAATTAAATTGTTTTCGTCACAATGTATCTGCAGCTGCTCCTTTGCAACGAGTTTCAATAAATTCTTGTACACTGGCATATTGCTAATCGGTCTAAAATTGGAATGCAGCTTAACACCTGGAACCTTCCGCACCGAAACCACCAAAGATGACTTCCATTCCTCTGGAAACTGCCCTTTAGAAAATGACGCATTGATAAAGTCCAATATTTGGTTTCCAACCATGTCTAAAGCATCCTTGAAGTTTTCACCCCCCACCAACATTGTTCATTCCACCCACAATCCTTTTTAAGTGAAGTGATTTTCCCTATCTTGGTTTAGATCTAAACACATCAAATTGACAGATAGTTATTGTCGATATATCAGTGTAATTTTTGTGCTCTAGGAAAACGAAGACGATGAGGATCAGGACATAGAGAACGGGGAGGAAGTCAAAGAGTCCTCGATCTCGATGAATACGATTTTGGAACAAATTGATTCGGAATCGAAGCAAAATGAAACCATCCAAGATCAGCCCTTGTTGCCTAACTTGTCCGCAGATCCGACAGAGCTGGACTACGACCAGATGGATAACCTCACTCTCTTGTCGACCCTGGGTTTAGACGGCGGTAGTCCTCAGCAAATAAATCAAGAAGAAAAACTTCTGTTGCCTGATCTATAATTAGTTAAATATTCGTTGCATTTTAATGTGTTTTTTGTTGTTAGTAATAAAGAATTGTGGTTTTGCGATACTTTTTGATTGGACACTTTAAAAGGAAACTCTCCTTTCTAAAGGAAATAGATGAAGGCTAATGTATGGTTCTGTAGCTCCGTTTGAATATAAAGGATGTCGCTGTTGCATCAGGGTTGTTCGGTGGTCTGTGGTGTTCCTAATCTATGGTCTTGAGAGGTTAGAATGTGGGACTCTCAGTCAGGTATCTCGACCTACCCATAAATGTCATTTTCTTCTTTTTGTCTATATTCATCATCCAAAATTGTCACTATCATGTGAGACCCTTCAGTAAAAGATATTTTTGTCTGTGGCATAAAACGTAGGAAGTTGGGAAGGCAATTATTCGATGGAGTCTGTCAAACTTGGGAAGGAACTCAGAAACACAGAACACACAAAAAGAACACAGTCGTCAGATAACGAATGTATTTGGTGATTACCATGGCGGTCAGCAGAAGACAACAAGATCAGTCCAGTCAGCTTGCCGTTGCTGTGGAAAATGTCATCCACCAAGAAAAAGTGAAAAGTTAAGTGCTCTCTTTGTTGTAAATTAAACCATTTTTCTCGATTTTATCAAAGTGGTGGTGTTCATAATTTCATAGGTTTACATTCAATTGAACAATATATATAGCTACTCAACAACCATTGGATCAGTCAAGGCCAATCGGGAGACTGAGGGTCTACGAACATTGAGATCAAATGATATTATTCCAATTAGATACCGGTGCGAATGCAAATATAATCCCAGTAAATACTAGGACATAATAATTATAATATTCCCAATTTACAAATAACGAACAAAAAGCTCAGTTCTATTACGAAACATTCACTACTTGATCAACTATTTCTCAAGTGCAGAACAAATAATAAAAAAAGGTTGTCTGGAACTTGAATTGATAAAAAAATACAGATATTTTTAAAGGTAACCTTTAGTTTGAATAAAAGTATCATATCGAACTCAAGAAGGTGCCGTACCATCACTTTGTCCTGCAAGGATACCCTTAGCTTTAACAGATAAACTGAACCATACTTGGAACGAATTAGGGAAAGAAAATAATCATTAAAAAGTAAAGGAAAGTACCGATTGGCTTCACCCAATGGTAAGTGTCAAAAAATCCAACAGTAATTTACGTATTTGCATGGATCCATATAAAGTTAACGTATCTATAAAAAGAACCTACATTTCATTTACCCATTTGAGACGGAATAAGCTCTACATGAGATGTTAGGCGAGGGTTTTCTGCAAGTAAAATTAGATAAGGACAGTCCAAAACATTTGCTATAGCTTTTGGTAGATACTTGTCGTTTACCGTATGGCCTTTCATGTTCTGAATGAAATCTTTGGAAATATGGAGAGATATTGTTCTATCAAATGTCATTGCTTCGAAATTACTCAAAGTAGCTTGGAACACAATATCCATTTTAACAGAGAGAAATGTAAATTTTTATGTAAAAAATAACATATATGTTACATTAGGACATAATTAATGTAAAATTTAAGCCAATATCGAGTCCTCAAAATGTGAAGTTTAAAGTTAATATTGACAAAAACTCCTTGTTCGCAATTTTTCGACGCAAATCAGTCAAAACGGAATGCCGACATGGAGGATATCTCTAAGAACTCCAATGAGGCGGTGGCAGATATTGTTGATTATTGCAACAGAAATAGTCTTATATTAAATCATGATAAAACTGAATTGATTAAAAGAGGCATAGATAAGAGCACCTTAGTTAAGTGTAATAGTAAAACGATCGAGGAGAGGCGGGTTGCGAAATTTCTGGGAGTTTATTTCGATTCTGATCTTTCCTGGTCTCATCAGGTGGACTATATTCGCAAAAAAAATTCCACAGACTGTTTTATCATTTGGCAACTTAGAAGAATGGTCGACGATAAAAATCAAAATAAATAAGAACTAAAAGTTGAGATTTTCACAAAATTATATATTTTGACATGACAATTGTTTCGACAACACATTGTCTTTATCAAATGTAATTTTTAAAATAAAACCTTAATTAATGTTGTTTTGAGAATTTAAGTTCAATAAAGAAAAACAAAATAACCGAATATAATGTACGCCTATTGTCCATTGTTAGTAACTTTTTTCTATAAGTTTATATTAAACTGGATCCCTAGCTCATATACCATAAAGAAAAGCAAACACAGCTTTTCGACCCTTTGTATTCTGTTGATGTCACACAAATCGAAACATGGGGCATGCACAGTATCACAAAAATTAAAGTGACTTAAAACCAAAGGATCAGTCAACCTTGTTTTTAATGACTGACAACAATGAGCATAAAAATTATATACCATAGTCGAATACATCGAAAAGTTCAATATTGATTGGTGGCTGTTACTAGATGAAAACACATTTAACAAAATAAATAAGAACTAAGAGTTCAGATTTTCACGAAATTATATATTTTAACCCCCCAATTGTTTCCACAACACCGTGTCTTTATCAAATGTAATATTTACAAACTACCTGCCGAAAAATGACAATAAAATTTTTAATTAATGTTGTGAGATTTTAGGTTCAATAAAGGAGAGGTATTTAAATCTAATTGAACGTTAAGCAATACATTTGAATGTCTCATTTTGTTTAATCTCCATGGCTTCCAATAAATTTAATAAAAAATAAAATTAATGTCGTAAAAAATGTGTTTTTCTGTGTTTAAGTGTGTGGCATAATTAGAATCTAGACTATTGTTTATGTTCGTTAATCTGTTTCTTGAAGGATCTACCTGTTTGTACAATATAAATTTTAGGACAAGATCCACATATCAGCCTCTAGACACCTGATTTTTGAGATTTTGGACGTTTCGTTTTATTGTTTTTTAAAAATTTTCCTATGGTGTTGTTAGTTCTGAAAGCTATTTTTAAACCACATTTTGACTGTGAAATCTCAAAAATCAGGCGTCTACAGGCTGATATGTGGATCTTGTCCTAAAATTTATATTGGACAAACAGGCACATCCTTCGGGAAACGCATTAACGAACATAAAAGAGCGTTTAAAAACAATAGTCTAGATTATAATTATGCTAAATACTGAAACACAGAAAAACACATTTTTGACGACAATTTTGATATTTTACATATAGTCACAAAAAGGAGGAAATTAACAAAATGAGACAATCAAATGTATTGCTTAACGATCAATTAGATTTAAATGCCTCTCCTTTATTGAACTTAAATTCTCACTACAACACCATTTTAGGTTTTATTGTCATTTTTCGGTATATATAATAGCAGGTAGCTTGTAAATATTACGTTTGATAACTACACCGTGTTGTCGAAACAATTGCCATGTCAAAATATATAACTTCGTGAAAATCTGAACTTTTAGTTCTTATTTATTTTGATAAATGGATTTTCATCAAGTAAAAGCCACGTCAGTTAAAGGGTCTGTTATTATTTATGCTGATTCAGCATTCTCAGTATCTACGACGAGACGTTCGCATAGGATAATATGTGTAAAATGTGCTTCGCATTTCAATTCTCCTTGTAACGGCTTAATGAAAAGCTCGTAGTTCTGCACGTGCCGAAAAATTTCGTCCCTGAAATGCCGTTTACCACACTTGTTGCATGTTATATATAACGAGAAATGTATAATAATAATAAAAAAAACGGGCATTTGCCTCTTTTGCTGGCCCGTAAACAAATTAAAGAACGACGGGCGATCAGTCAAAATTATATGACTAATCTTTTACATTAACATTAATTCCATCGAGGAAGTAATTTCTCACGCACATTTTGACACAATTACGCGTAACTTTTAGTTTTCGGATAAAAAAAAGCAGTCGCGCCCAAGTACATCTGCAAGCAAAAAGGCAAAGGATGCTCTTTATATTAATGGTGTTTGGTGCAACGCCCGCGGTGCAGGCCGGGTTGTATTTTCCACAATCTGGTTTTAACGACGTATTAACGGAGTATATCAAAACGGGCGCGTCTTCAGATTTTGAAACTTGCAATATCGTCGTGACGGACGGCAAATCCTGCGACGCGCCGCTATACATCTACGCCATGTTTAATCGCTGTTGTAAAAAAATAATCAACAACACGGCGAACGCAAGATATCTAAGCGACACCCAAAAGACCACCACCATTACTTTGGTAAGAGATTTGGATCGTCTGGAATCGGTGTCGGAAAGTCTCACCAACTCCAGTTTTTTTCGCAACCGCGGACGCTTCAGATTTTTAATTTGCAGCCAATTGGAAAACGATTCGAGGATCGTCGATAGTTTACGGATGATTTGGAAAAGCGGAATATTAAGGGCCAGTTTGGTGTACTTCTACAACTCGCTAAGGGTCGTGTCTTACGATCCGTTTTCGGACGAGATACGAAACGCGAGCGCGCTCTCACCCGACAACTACAAAAACGAATTCCTAGAGAACGTAAAAAACCTTCATGGGCATAAAATAGAAGCGGTTGGGTTTTACGACCCCGCCAAATTTTCTAACACTTCGTTAGATACCCTCCTAATCGAAACTCTAAGTATGGTAAGGAACGCTTCGCTCCGTTTGACCGTGCTTGATACGTATGCAAATTATACGACGATTATAACAGCCCTGACGTCCGGAAATGCAGACATTTATCCTTTTACCGTATCTACGGTAGCGTTTTCACAGTTTGAGGGCGCCGTGGATTACACGTTTCCGCATATGATGAATAATATCGTCGCTTTGGTGCCTAAACCGTCACAGAGATCGAATTCGATCAGCCTAGCGGAGCTCAGCTATAGGATGACGGGCTGGGTCGCGTTTGCTCTCATTGCGGTGGAGATTTTGGATAAGAACTTGCGTCTACATCGGAGAGCGTGTTCGTTCTCAGTGGGATATTTCCTTTTCAGCATGTACGGAATGCCCATAGCGAAATTTAAAAATAAATCTACACTGATTGCCAGTTTGATGGTCTTCAACGTGATAGTTTCTGTTATGGTTACGGTTCAACTTTTGCAAGACTTCATCAAACCGCATTGGGAGCCGAGAATCGTAAATTGGGAGCAGTTGCAAAAGATGA